TGCGCAAGTCGCCTCCATGCGTGGTGTTTTCTTGGCGAACGGCCTAGGTCACCGCCCTTGACGGCTCCTGGGAGAAGAACCTCACCGTGCTGTGCGCTGCCTAAGAAAGACCGATCCACGGTGCGGAGTGAGATGGCTTGAGGTAATACGAGGGCCTTTCATTCATTGGAATGGGGTTGTGGGGTGCTTGAAAGCCGCATATTTGGTCATGATTCTAGCGGTAAACTAGTTGCAACTGTTTAGCCCCTTATATAAGGCTCAAACTCATGGTTGTGTTTTAACAAAAAAAGGCCTTTTGGAAACAAATGTGACTTGTCCATTTAACCTGCACAGTCTTAGTCCTTTTCCTTCGGGGGACAGAACACCCCAGATGAGCAAAGTAGATCACCCATGATTCCACCGTACTTGCGGGAGGGATTTACCCCGTGAAGGTCCTTTCCGGGGTTCTCAAATTGGTGGACCCCGTTTTGGTTGGTTAAGGGGCCAAAATGAAGCCGACTGTTTCAGGGGGTCAGGATCTTGAGAACACCATGTCTATCCTTCCATTTTTGAGAGCATCCGTTTGCAGAGAAATAAGACGTGGCATGGCTGCTTGAGGGCAGGGGTAAATCGGTTTGGGTTAAGGCCTGTACCAAGGGAACTCGCATAGAGTAGCATATGCCATACCCAAAGCTGTTTTTGTGGATGAGGCTGTTGTGATCCGGAAGACCTCCGATCTCGCAACCTAGCTCAGACAAGCAGAAGCTGTGAAAACGAGGCGCAAACTAGCCGGACAAGGCAGTCGCAACATAAGTACCTTGGTGTGCGACGCTGGTTTGCTAGTTTGCGCCGCTGGTGTGCGCCGACTTGGTGTGCGCGTACCTTTTGAGATGTGGTGCGCCACGCTGGTTTGCTTGGGTGAGATCCGGCTGTGGGGTGAGCGGTGCGCCAAGCGGGGTGAGATATGGGTCCATGGGGTGTGAAACCACGCGCTGTACTGCCACATGGCGGGCAGTCTAAACACGTTGGAGACACGGCGTGGAGAAAAAACATGACTCAATTGGTTTTGAAGTTTGAAGTCCCCAAAACCCTATCCTAATTTAGTCCTTTGTGGTATGGCCTTCTCTTTTCTGGCTGAAGGGCCCCTTGCGGAGCAAAACACCCGCTGAGCGCATGTGAAACTGGCACGGAGTCGCCTTTTGGAAGGTTCTGTGTGAACCCCTTGCCGAACAAATTCGGGGGGTTCCTCCAAAAACATATTTGACGTTTTAGGGCAGACTAAATATGAAACATGATTTTAACATGATCTGAGCATCCTTTCTTCTGTGCACCCCAGGCTAAGGATCTTTTCAGGCATGCCACTTCAAGACGCTGTGTGAGACTCATTGGACGGGGTAAACCATCAGCGGTGATGCCGTGTGGCCAAAGCCCAGTGAACCATTCGGGCGGAAGGACATGGCTGTGAATTTGAACAGGGAGCCGCCTCGCAAGCAGTTGGTGGACATGCATAAAGGATGTCCAAAGGGTACCCAAACGAGGATGTAGAAACAAGAGTGCCTTGGCAGCTGTCTTGGCGGCCCGATCGTGTTTTTCGAGTCATCCCGCACACTGGCACCGAGGTATCCAGTTAACAGCCCCCTAGGCGCGGACGGCGATTTGACGCTACAGGCGAAGGTAAACAAGCGTCACAGCCCATGTTCGGTGAATGCTCTCATTTGTCGGCAGTCTTGGGACTAGACGGGCCCTGAAGTGCAGCACGGGTTCTTGTGGGATTGGGGATCCTCCGCTACACATCATGTAGGTTGGGATATATGTCCAACAACTATTTGCTCTCATTCGACCTCATCGCCATGTGTTGCTCGCTCAGTTTTCCAGCAGGCATTTCCTTGAGACAGCCCGTTTTTTTGCCTTCATGAACAACAAGTTGCGGTTGGCTAAGATTAGCCATCAGGATTTGACCTTCGGACAGGTACAGCCCAGGCGCTTGCACAAGCCTTCCAAACAACTTATGTAAACTTTGAATGTTCCCAGATGGTACTATTCTGTGGTATAGTTTCCGTATGGTGAGCATGTGTTCGGGATTTGCCGCGGGTTTACCCAGGGCAAGGTCCTTTAGGGAAGAGCATTCTGGCAATGCCCTTCGCCCTAATCCAAACAGGCTTGACCGAAGCCTCAAGAGCAAATATGGAGTCTCCTCCAAAGTTGTTTTTGGAGTTTGGGCGCACAAAATTAAAAACATATTCTGACATCATGTTTTTCTCTGTACCCCAGATGTCTCACTGGAGGTATCATGCCTGGCTGTCATCACACCTGAGACTTTGGCTGGCGGAATTATCGTAAAGCCAGCCCAACAATCCATATGAAGGCTCCAAATGCAAGATGTTGCCAACATGCTTTTCACAGCAGAACGTACATGGAGGAGGGTTTCCACTGAATAGCGTCTTAGAACACTTTTTGTAGTTGACTTGTTGCGTACACCTGTGTCTTCTAATGCACAATGGTGTTGACCATTGTGCTTTGCTTTGGTGCCACGCGTTTTGATTTTGGAAAGCTCCATTCTTGGTATGATTGTCCTAAGCAGTAGCTTTCATACGTGTATATACTTCACTACCCTCAAGCTCTAAGTGTCCAACAAAGCATTTAGCGCAGTGCACCCATTCAATCATTCCCAGGTCCTGTGTTAAGGGCAGCTAAGACATTATTAGGCTAGCGTCCATTTCTTGAGACTTAGTGAATCAGACGTCTGTGTTTTGAAGGCATCAGAGGCACATCAGGAAGCACATCTTACCATTGCGGCCAAGCTACCAATGACTGAACTTTCGTCACGGCAAGTTTGCCAGTTGCAACATCGTCACAACGAGCCCACATTATTTGTAAGACCCGAACACGTCTGACCGCATGCCAGCCGAGCTTGCAATCGATATGTAGCTCCCAGATTTAACCATAGACTCTGAGCATATTTATTGTGTGCAAATTCAAATTGAACAAGTGGCATTTAAGAGTTACACGTCAGTAGAATGTAGAGGTTGAACATGTTGTAGAGTTTGCCCGGCCACGTTTGATTTGGCAGAATTAAGCGAATTCGCCAGGTATTGGATTTGTAGGGGATCGGGGCAGCACGGAAAACGTGTATGTATACAATATATATATATATATATAGATATGTATATTATGCGTGTACACAATATATATATATATATATGTACATACACATTCCGCTCTCAACATCTTCCTTTGGGCGTGCGTTTCTCGCTGTGTTGCACATGTCGCGCGACAAGTCGACTGGGTCGAGCAACACAATATCTATCACCACCCCATCGCATGTTTGAGTTTCGATTTTTTCCTCGGCAGGTTTGACATTTGGTTAGTTGGCCCTTTGCTTCAGGAAACTCATGCAACATCTGTTGAGAAGATCTGGGGAGCGGAAGCCTTGCGCAGCATGGCACGTTTCTCTCATGTTTGTTCGCTGACAGCTTGTCATTTGTCTTTTGTTTGCTTGCGACAAACAAGACACTTACTCGATCCTTCCTTGCAACCAGTTGCAACTAAAGGCTTCGCAGGCATAAGAATCTGCCACAGCTTTGACCATTGGGACCCCCACATCAATAAACCTATCGGAATACAGCTATGTTCGAGATAAATCAAAGCATGTTGGACAAAGCATTGCCACACAGAACATTTTGGTCAATGCTAGCAGTGCGAGATGAAAGGATAGACAGCAAGAATGTCACTTTGGTTTGGATCGAACTTAGCAAGGTCCACCCTCCGAGTGGATGCAAATGTTTTTTTTTGGGTGTTCGAAATCCTCCAAACAGAGAACAGGGGTATGTCATGTTCATACATCTCATGGGATCTTCTCCAAAACATGTTTTTGTTTTTTCTCCCCATTTTGGGCTAGACAAATGAAGCATCAGAACCTCTGATTTTCTGCGTAGCCCTGTGGAGGTGGCAAGAAGAAGCTGTCCTTCACCCTGGAGGAGGATTTCCGTGTGAAGGTCTTCGAGGCCAACGGGCTCGGGCTTTGAGTTATTGACAGCTTGGACGTCAAACTCTTTGGGCTTGACCATTTTAACCCCCCCAAGGGATGATCTATTAAAACAAGTACTTCCTGGAGTTTGGGGCCACTTTTTTCTGTTTGGTCCAACTTTTGGTGCTAAAGAAAAGCAAATTTAGTTGTTTGTTTGCCAATCATGCCAATCGCAGGAATGGAGTAACCTACAATAGATACTTGGGGCCTAAATGATTCGCGCAAACTGTTGGTGCCTGGGAGTAAAGTCGCAATCTGTGCAGCTTCAATGCGCTGGAATGCACGGCCAGTGAATTTTAGCCTTTGCTTGCTCATGACTTTTCTTAGAGCTCCGATTGAACAAGTCCTGAGCTTGTGTGCTTCTTCAAGCACGCCCAATGAAAATTCAGCAAGGTTCCCAACAGGAAGCATTTTCTGGAGGAATTCCACTTTGTTTGAAGTAGGAGCATTTACATTATTCTGTCTTCAACTTACGACATGCTCGCTTCAATGAAAGCCAGATTCTGCCATGATCGTAGGACAAGCTGTGCAGTTATTCAGATCTTGATGAATCTTGCATGACCATGGGGCCAATCTGTAGGACAGGAGAGTACCTAGTTTGGCAGAAAGCAGAACGTGTTTGGTTTGACTACATTCTCAGCTGGGCTTATAAACAAGTTCCCTCAGAAGATTTCGTATGCTATCTTCGCGGGGAACACATTCAGGTCGGCATATGGGGTCCTCGTCAAAGGCTACCCCACGATTTCAAACATTTTTTGATGAATCCGAATGTGCAATGCAAGGAAGGACTGGAACTACGTATACATGGGCATGAGGTGTGGTGAATCAATTCGGGGAAGCGCCGGGTGCAGAAGAATCTGGTTGTTTTCCCTCGCGCCTGGCCTGCAATGGTGTGGTGTTAAAGTCAAAGTCGCTCATGATGGACTCTTGTCCATGGGAACACATCCATCCCTGATTTATGACATGCACGGTGCGGCTGCTATACCCTCGCATCATGTGGGTGCGTGTCAAAATGGCGGACCCCCAATGACTTTGGTATTTTTTGCTGTGGTTGTCCTTTAAACCAAGGTTCCCTTCCCCACAAAATTTGCCAAGCCTGGATCTTTCGCGGGTGGCCCATCCGTGAGGATGGGGTGCTCCTGTCGGAGTACACCTGCACCGGGCTCAAAGATCTGCTGGAGGGCAAGTGGAAGGAGTCCGGACCTCACGTCGGACGGGGCCTGGACGGGTCCTGCACGGGGCGCGAGCAGAAAACTTGTTTTTTTGTTTGAGGCTCGGACATTATTGACCCTGGGTTGGGGAAGGGAATCCAGAAGGAAAGCCGGGCCCGTATTCCCACGTGGAGTTGGCACGTGGTGTCCATGATGCGGGAATGGGAAGCGGGGTCATTCGCAGCAGTCTCCTTTGGCCAGGCGTTAAGCTGAAACTGCTTGAGCTCCGGCGTGTTTGGATCAACGGCACAGACGAGATCTGGCTGCAATCTTCTGACAACCGGGTGCCATAAAGTTTCATCACTGAAGAACATCTGTAAACCGTTGGGTGCTACTGTTGGATGGACGAACTCCTGCACCGCTTGGAAACCATGGGAAGCCATTGTTGGTTGGTATTTACAGGGGAGTCATCATTGCAGGGCTTTCTGGGTGATGCATGTCCTGAATCATGTTGGTTCACTTATCCCCTCCGCCCAGGTACAACACCACGGGGCCGCCCAAGATCAGCGTCTCAGTGCCCCTCGAGACCAGTGGCATCCTAGAAGCGCCCGCGGCACGGTTGGTGTGCCCACCCCCCCTAAAAGGTATTGTAAAAACAACTGGCTCGGTTCCTACCCGGTCTGGTTTTTGAATAAACCTTTACAACCACATTAAGGGAGCCAAAAAGCAATGGATGCTGCTCACCTAGAATGGTCTTGGGGTCTACTGTTAAATCAAGTTACCTTATGATCATTGAAGTACAGTATGTTTTTAATTGTTTCGCCCGTGATATTATGTCCTCCCTGGGCGCGCCTCCCTGCACGTTAATGTCCACCTACGATTAGTAAACTACCCCTGAACAAAGCTAAACTTTTTCCCAAACCAAATTATAAACTACCCCTAAAAAAGCTAAACTTTTTCCCCCAACAAAAACTCTGATCTTTCCCCCCCCCCCCCTTTTTTTTTCGGGGGCACGCTTTCCACTCAAGCTGGCTCATCATAATTCTTGATTCCAATTCCATCAGATCCCAAAATTATTGAGTGATTCCCTTCATCAAATTATGTATCTGGAAACCTTCAACAATCACAACTTGACCCTGCCAGCAAGGCTACCCCCCACTCTCTTATCTTTATTCAGGGGCAAGCTTTCCATTCAAGCTGGCTCATCATAATTCTTGATTCCAATTCCATCAGATCCCAAAATTATTGAGTGATTCCCTTCATCAATTTCTTTATCTGGAAACCTTCAAAAACACAGCTTGACCCTGCCAGCAAGTGTTTCTCATGCACTCAATAATTCCTGACCCTAAATAAAGCAAAGCTGATTCTCACTCATGCAAAAGTTCTTGGCCCAATACTACTCTAGAATTGGCCCAATTCTAAACTAGTATTCCCCCCAAAGCAAAATAAGAAAAAGCAACATGCCCCTCTACTACTTTAGAATTGGCCCAATTCTAAACTAGTATTCCGCCCAAAGCAAAATAGGAAAAAGCAACATGCCCAATACTACTTTAGAATTGGCCCAATTCTAAAGTAGTATTCGAAAACCCAAAAAACAAAGCCCAATACTAAACCAATTCTAAACTGGTCCCGACCCTGATTTTTCCCCCGCCTTATATAACTTTATTTAGGGCCATTCCGGGGGGGGGGGCATATTTATTAATCAGAGGTGGACATTATGCTTGTTTTGGAAGGCAAGCCATGGTGACCATCAGTTCTTGCTTTCTGAGGCAAGTGACAAATCTAAAAAAAAGGTGCAAACACTAACCTGCCTATATGTGGGAGTGAGTGTGCCTGTGCTTGTTTGCGGGTGCTGCTGCTGTTGCTTTTGCTGTGGCTGTTGTTGGTGCTGCTGCTGTTGTTGCAGTGGCTGCTGTGGCTGTTGCTGATGTTGTTATTGTCGTCAACGCTGCACTGCGCATTGGCGCAAGTTTGCAGCGAGGCAAGCAACCTACAACAAGTTGTGCAGCGTTTGAGTCGCAATTCACGCATGCACGTGGTAAAAGTGCTTTGTTGCCATGTGTCCCGGTGTAAGAATTTTGGCACCTGACTCGGTCTTTTTCTTGGGCACGACTTCAAGCTTTGCACAGCGGGCCCAACGTAACACGCTTGCCCCTCCCATATACTCCAACTGTCACTGCCACCGCTTGCGACGGGGTGCAAATCGGGGCCTTTTTGACTTTCCACTTCTGGTGTTGTTTTTGATGTTGTTAGCGTGGCCGCCCAGAGAACGCATCCTGGCGCCCACTAGCGGTGTGGAATGATGCGCCCCCAACGCTGAGGTTCGGGCAATGTTTGAACACATTTTCCCGGGCCCGGGGAACGCAGTGGATTCCTCTCGCGCCAAACAAATTGTTGCAGAGCTGCCTGATCACATTGCGGCGTTGCACTTCTACCTTTCGTGATGCGCCCCTTGCTTCGAGCTCGCGAAACGCTGAGCTGAAGACTTGCTAGGTCGCTTCAGAGGCTTACATGTGTTTTGCGCGTATGGCACGTTGGCTTCTACCGAGCAGAGGGCGGGGCGGAAGGAAGGGGAAGGGGAAGGGGAATGAGGGTGAAGGGGGGAAGGGGGACGGGGTGCGAAACATGTGGTTCGCCAGCTGCTTCAACCCATTGGTTTGGTCGCATCTTGTGGAAGCCATATCAAGCCATCGCTTCAACCTTTGTCTCCAAGGCTTTGGTGGCCCTCATTGCCAGGTGAAGCAGCCCATGGCCACCATCGAGGCCACGGCAATTTGGTGGCCGTGAGTTTTTCTGAGAGTGCCGGGCTGAACTCAACTGCCCAAAGCTGACCGTTTGACGTTTTCCAATTTCGGTCATTTGTTTTTGTCATGGCCCCAGAACGGCTAACCATTTTCTTTTCGGAGTCCCTTGGGCAACTGAGTTCATGGGGCAGGGCGCACAGAAGCTTTTAAGACCATATTGGTACCTAATTCCAATGAGCTCCGGGCGCTGCTGAAATGGATTTGGTGTGCTTTTGGTTTCTTGGTATTGTCTCTGTCCATTCGGGCCACAAGTATGTCTGGTCTTTCGTATCGGGATATGGCCATATCTGCCAGCTTACTCGTTAGAGGTTCGCCACTGGGTGCTTTTTTTTGGGTCATGGTCCTCTCTCCCGCGGCCCGTGGGCCCGTCCGGCCCCTGCCCGTGCGCCCGTAGGCCCGGGCCCGTGGGGCAAGCAATCAAGCAGCAAGCGAGGCTTGTCAGCTATCCTATCAGGTTCCTGGTCTTGGGGTCTCACCGGTGCCCGTCATTGGCCCAGGCCCGTGGGCCCGTGGGCCCGCCCGTGGGCCCACGTACCCGTGAACCCGGGCCCGTGGGCCCGTGGGCCCGGGCCCGTGGGCCTGTGCCCGTGGGGGCGTGGGCCCGTGCCGGGCCCGTGGCCGTGGAATCGTTTTTTGAGGTGGTACTGTAGCCTTTTTGCGGATGCTTTAAAGGAAGGGAGTCCCCTATTTGTAAGGCACTCAATTAGACCATCATCGTATATGATATAGTCGTTGGTTCTCCAAAAGGGAACCAAAAAGGGGTCGCAACAGAAAGGGCTAAGATAAATGGGACATCAGTGCAGGCATTGTTCGTCTAATGCAAACGCACGCCAAGGCCCAAGGAAGGGATAGACAATGGCGACTCCTTGTTTGCGTCCCCGAACATTGCAAGAACCCCAACTTTCGAGGGGTATTCAGTACCAGGAAGTTTTGGACAGTTTGGTTTGGGGCTGCAAGCCAATTCCATAGTTTTCAACGCCGGGTATCAAAAGGCCAGGTTCAAGGGTAGAGGGTGGGACTTCCTCTTTTCAGCTCAGATGGCGGGCCGTGCAACGATCCACTCCTACCTGGTTTTGCCCTAATTTTGCATCAAGTCGCCTCACTTGGAGGTCCACTGTAATCATTGCAACTGGGTGTCTCGCATTCTGAGCCTCGGCGCAAAGCCTCAGGAGCTGTACTGGGTGAACGTGACCAAGGCAAGCCTTGAGCAGGGGAGCGAGTGGACAGTCGTGACGGATTCAATGGCTTTCCCTTGGCTGGGATCTCATTTGGATTTACCACTTTTCCAACAATTGTGGACTTGGATAGGGGGCTTCCCCAAAAGGGTCGCTGCGAGCGCGCAGAGAGAACGTGCAATAGCGGTTTGTGTAGGGGCTGGCAGTCTCATGCGAGTGGGAGGTTCATATTATTCTTGCAAGGTTCGCAGAATATGCACCAGAATTGAAGGTTTGGTGGGGGGAAAGCTGAGGTGGGTTTGGTGATTGGCCTTAAATCTTTGGGTTAGTTGTGACTTGGTCAACTAATTCAGCGTGGCATCTTCTTGCTTGCTTGATGTGGCTGCTGCTTTTGTGCATATCTTGGATTTGCCCCACCCCTCAGAACTACTAGCAGTCCCCACCCCCTTTCCCCCGACCCCGGATTGGTTTCATTTCACGGAAACCCGGCGTTGTCCTTTTCCCGTTTGGACGTTGGCGGGTAGACGAGCGAATTATCTAATTCGCTGGGATTTGCTCGTCTCTATTCGGCTAGTTCACCCCGCCAGGAAGGGGTCAGTCGAAGCAGCCTCCGGACTAGAGCGAGAGAGACTGTTTGAACAACCAGCCTTTGGTGCTTTGCAGGGAAGCCAAACGGAGGTTGAAACATTGCTGGTTACAACATGTGACTAAGAACTTTGAGATTGGGAACCACCTCAAAAGTGGTTGGTGGACATGGACCCCCATCTAAATGATGCCTACCAAAGGGTCCCCTAGGGTTCATCCCTTAACACAATGGTTGACCCAATTTGGATGATGAGAATCCTTAGGCACAGGCTGGTTATATGAACCCAACCATTGTTTAAATGCGGATTGTTCTTGTTATAAAACACTGGTTCTTTGAATCCCAGGGAATTGAACCAGTCGGTCCCGAGACGTTTTGAGAGCCAGGAGAAGCCGAAGCCAAACGTCACCAAGGCCAACGCCAGCGAGAACGCCACGGAGGGCGAGGCGCTTTTTAAGTTGGCCGTGGCATCCGCCCGCTAAACGGGTGTGTCTGTGTGTCGTCTTTTGGAGGTGCACTTCTGCAGGTGGTTTCAAGGGAAACCAAAAGGAACCAACTTGCATTTGCTTAAGAATATGTATTTGTTGTTTTTCCCTTGTGGGTGTCAAAGGGAATCTATCCCACTGGACATGTTCTTATGCTTTGCAGGGGGGCCAACACGCAAATCGAGGCGACATCGTTGAGGAGATGGACTGCTCAACGCCGAATGGCCCAGATCTTTTTCATGAGCAGCTTCCAGGGGCTCGGAGTTAGATCAAGATCCGGGAGTTTGATCAAAGCAGGCAACACATTTCACAACAGAGCTCTATATAGGGAGTATTGAGAAGAAAACACACACACACACACACCAACAAGCATCATTATATAATGAAACCACTCAAAAACTCAACTCGCTATGAGTTTTGATGGGGAACCACCTCGAAAGTGCTTGGACATGAATCCCCCACCGTGTCCACCAAAGGGTCCTTTGAATCCATGCTCAAACTGCCCCCCCAACAAAAAAGGAAAGAAAAAGAAAGGCACCTTTGTTCATATGGCGAAGACTAAAACCTGCGTACCCCAGCTGTTCAACTTGAAGCCACGCCGCAGAATCAATCAGGCGACTTCTTGCCAACCATTCGACATGTCGCCTGAAATACAGTCCTTGCTGCGTGCCGCGCGCCTGGCTTTGCTGCTGCTCGTTGGTGGTCTCGCCACAGCGGAGACAGATGTCGCTCAAAAAGTGCTTGGCATGTGCTTTGCTTTGTTTTGGTTCTTTTCATTTTTGGTCGGTTGCAGATTAGTGTGGGTTCTCATGTTTAGTTGGGCTTTTAGTGGCCGTTCTGTTCTTGTGTAGTGGCTGCAATACTGCGAAACGCCAAGCGGTTGCTCGCATGCGAAGGATTGGAGAGTCTCGGTGTACTTTGGCGCGGGGCCAATGGCGGAGATGCAATATGCCCTCGCGGCTTGGACTCAAATTGCTCGGAGGGCCTTGTGTGTGTGTTGTTCAAGAAAAATACAACCTGACACAGGGTCTGGGGCTCCTTCAGAAAGCCTTTTGGTGAGTTCCATGGGGTATTGTGTCGCCAAACGCGTGTGCGGATGCGGATGGTTCGGGTCAACACGAAGAAAGGCTCTAAGGGCAAACTGTTTCAGATTCAATTGCCCGCGATTGGGAAGATTTAACAGATGATCCTTTTCAGATGCCTGGAAGATTGCTTGGACCCTTTCGGTTTCGGATATGCACATAGTCTGCGTGGATGGCACACCACACAAATTTTAGGCAAAGTTGTTAGGGTGGTTTGCTCCAGATACATGCCTCTTTGCAGTGTCATTAGCCTATGTATATACACTGTGGATCACTGTGGCGAAAGTGTACCCCATTGGTTTTGTCAGAAGCTTCATGCCATGTCAGGAAATGGTGCCCTCCACTTTCACTGTACAAGCAGCTGAAGTTTTGTCAACTTTCTGCGTGTACAGTTGTGGACCACCCAAACACAGACACAGACACACATGCACACGCAATCTTGGGCAACAAGTACCGACCTCACCTGCGGGTTTACATCTCATGAAAGCTACATCCTACAGGACAACTTTGTGCTGGTTGTGATTTGGAAAGACGCAGCGTGTGATTGCGCATCGAGGTTGCCAGCATCGGCCTGAGCTGTTGGCTCAGGATTTCACTCAGGATCAATCTTGACAAAACTGTTTGTGCCTCCTCTGGTACATTGTTGGCCCTGTCGATAATCACACGTACCAGCCAGCGGATTTAGAGGATCCCCGAGTGAAACCAGTGGTGATTTAGGGATGTCGGTTTTCGGGATCTCTGTACAACTGCACTAACGAGCAACCATGAGACCCACTAGGATCCGTGGCTGTCAGCTCCGTCGCTGCAAGGCGCAGTGGGAGCTTCACTCGCGCAGCCCTGCTGCTGTCACCGCACTGGCGGGCTATGCGGGGAGCAATGTAGGCGAAGGCTCCGGAGGCATCAACTGACTGGCGGACGAAATCCGGGACGAGCATCAGTTGGTAGCTGTGTCCCAATATGCACAGGTTTTGTCCGTCTCCGGGCGGTGGATTTTGTTCATCAGTGCGAAGCGATGGAATGGGGATGAGGGTTTGTCAACAAGGGAAACCAAAGGCAAACTACCATTTTAGAGGGCTACTTGAGAAACACCCGGATGGGTACTTACTGACAACTGGAACCGCGAATAATGCAAGGGCCCAGACAATTACAATTACAATGGGGTTGTGAGGTACTTAAAACTTAAATCCACGATTGAGTCATGATCATCACAGGAAAACAGGCGTTATTTTTTAGCCACGTTTAGCAGTAGAGCCGGCGAAGACGGCGGACGGAAGCTTTAGAGATATATAACAATTAATAGTTATCCTTTGCTTGGCTGTCTTAATTGTTTTCCGGTTTCTGTTTGTCACATGTTGCTTCTCTGTGTTTGTTCTTCTATCATATCTGTGTTATGTAGTTATGTATTTGTGATGTCTTGTCTTTCTTTAATTCATCCTGTGTTTGTTGTGTGTTGTTTGTTTCTCTATGTGTGTCTCTCCTTTTGTATTTTGTTCATGCCCTTATTTCCTTTATCTTGGCTATTTGTGTTTCTTCAGTATTTGTTCTTGATTATGTTGTGTCCTTTTCTTTATGCTGTCTTTATATTTTCATTATTCTGATTCTGTTTATATATATATATATGTATACGCATATATAATTTGCACTTTGTGTTTTGTGGGTGGATTTATCCATGTATGTTTGTTCTGTTGTTTCTTACCTTTGTTTTTATTTGTTATGTTGCATTGTTATTGAGTTCCTTATTAATGTGTTTCTTTATTGTGTTCCTTTTATTCAGTTATTAGTATTATTCTTATTCTTTATCTTTCTCTTTTTTTGTCATCGTTCTTTTTGATTTAGTTTTTTCTCTTTCATTCCTTCCTTCCTTCCTTCCTTCCTTCCTTCCTTCCTTCCTTCCTTCCTTCCTTCCTTCCTTCCTTCCTTCCTTCCTTCTCCTTCCCTCCTTCCCTCCTTCCCTCCTTCCCTCCTTCCCTCCTTCCCTCCTTCCCTCCTTCCCTCCTTCCCTCCTTCCCTCCTTCCCTCCTTCCCTCCTTTCCTCCTTCCCTCCTTCCCTCCTTCCCTCCTTCCCTCCTCCTTCCTCCTCCCCTCCTTCCCTCCTTCCCGCTCCTTCCCTCCTTCCCTCCCCTCCTCCCTCCCTCCCTCCCTCCCTCCCTCCCTCCCTCCCTCCCTCCCTCCCTCCCTCCCTCCCTCCCTCCCTCCCTCCTTTTGTTGTCTCTACTTGTATGTCGTTCTACATCGCTTTCTACATCTCTTTCGCTGTCTACCTAGCTATCGATCAATCCATCCATCCATGCATCCGTCCATCCGTCCGTCCATCCATCCATCCAGTCATCCATCGTCTATCAATTTATATGTTTATGCATTCTATCTACATGCCTATCTATCCCATTTGCCGTTCACAGAGTGTTCAGTTCCTGAATGTTCAGTTTGATTGCAGGCCCAATTGGCAAAGGGTGCTCGGTTCAAACCAAGGGAGCCGTTGTGAAACGGGCAAACACGGCAAGATGGCGAACACACTATCTTTGCCTGCAGCACGATGCTTTTGGTTGGAGCTACGGGCAACATAGTGGTTTCTACGGCATTTCTGCGGGTTCGGAACAGGTTCCAGCTTCGCAAACCTCCCTTTGTTCTCAACAAAGTTGCAACATGCATCAAAAACCATTCAAACTGACCGCTGGGGCTGATTGCCGCCCATCATGTGAGAACATGACTTTAGGAATCGAGAGGCCCTCCAGCATTTTCCGGCAACAAGGTAGCAAAGTCGAATTTCACATCGGGTTTGGAATCAAATGCCCCCACTCCGAGGAATCACCAGGTGCCGATTTTCCGGCGCAGGCAATTGAGCGCACAACAACACGATTCTTTTCCGGGCAACACGATGCTTTCAGCATACCCTGGCCGAAACACTGTGTTTTGGCAACGGTACCACAAATTTACAGGTTGTTGAAGCCCTCGGTGGAATATGTCAGTCCACGGGCAAAGCACCCCGTTGTTTGAAAAGGTCATGGGCCTCCTTGTAGGGGTTTTGAACAACCAATATAAGGCAGAACCACGCCAGAAGTACGGATTCTGCAGATTTCTATCACGGGAACCATGACAACACCAGATTCGCAGTTGACCCTGGCAAATATCCGGAGTACCCCCAAAACTGATATCCTGACTTTGACACGTCGCCACTCCCCCCAAGAAGTGTCCATGGCTTTGGTGACTCTCCGCTGGTGCGGCCCATGGCTCCATGGAGGCAGCGTGTGCATGGACACCTATGCCTCCTTGGGCTATGCGGAGGTGGCGCAGGTGACGGTAGGCCGATCCAGCGCGGGCGAAATGCGGCGAAAATCCTGGGATTGGTGGTTTTCTCGGATTTAGGGCTTATGAGTAAGCGATGCAGCATTTTGTCCATTTAAGTGCACCCATGTGCGCCTCCGTGTTGACATCAGTTCTGCCCGTCAACCTTCTCATGGGACAAAACCAGCTTTTTGGTTGAACCATTGCCGAACTTAGGCCCCCTGCAACAAGCAATATGGATCGCGGGTTGAAAGGAACAAACAAAAACCAGAAAGGAAAACAATAAACAGGTAACTGTACCAAGTAACTAGGTCTGGCGATGGAAAAGGGGCGCCGGCTCGATCCATCCGGCACTTTGACTTGTCGAGTCCGTTGTGATGACTAGATGAGAACAAGGTGCAGCGTGGACAGGAAAGCATACCCTGCAGACCTCACCGCCTGCTTATTCTTCCACATCAATCTCTCACTATTCCGTGAAATCAGGGCACCTCAAACCAGCAAAAACAATACTTACCTCTTATACGCATGCCATTCGCTGAGTACCCCCCCATTTCCCAATTGCATGTTGGTGAGTGTGCCCAAATGTCATCCCCTTTACAACAGCAGGTAATAGAACAGATTGACCCTTGCTCCCATCAAAGCTCAAGGCGTGCCATACTTCTCAATAGATGCTCCAACATCAACAAACCGCCGGAACATCTCCAAGACATAACACGACGTGTTCGAACAAAACTTCGCACATCGCGCAGCATTGGCCGTGCAACTCCAATACTGTTCCAGAGCCGACTCGTGGGAGGTCTTTGCGATTCGTAGTCCTTGTTGGACCCTAGTGACGAATAGAAACCAAAGCCATTGGCTGCCCATGCCATCCGTATATTTATGACAACCGTTCCCACGGGAAAGAAACTGTGCCAAAGCGACGGCACTTTGCCAACAAAGCCCTCCACCGAGCGCATGATTTATCCTGCACCCTTCGGCATTCTAGATTGGCTCATAGTACTTCCAATAGATTGTTTCAATGGCTGTACTGTACTTGATCGCAGCTCAGAGAATCCAACTACTGAGTGTCTTGTTGTGACAGGAGTATCCATAAATGTCTCAGGCCCCCATCATTGATTCTGCCGCGCGTCTCATGTAGTTGGTGGCTGAGCCAGTGCGGTCCAGAGAGGATGCCTGTTGCTTTTGCATCTATCTGAAGCCTCGTGATGTAAGTGAGAAATGCGTCAGCTAGCCCCAACACGCCTGAATCCTCCACGTCCCTGACATAGAATGCCTTTGCGTGTTCTCCATTTGGAGGCAGAAGGACAAATTGAAAATCAAGAAGGACCCTGTTTTTCACTGTGCTTGGAAGACCAAGGAAGGTGTGACCCGATTCAGAAAGAACGTCAGGATCAGACTCCAGGCATTTCAGGCTCCTCCTTCAGGTACTCTGCAGAATCGAATGCAATTGTTTTTTTGGAAGAGCCTTTCGGATTTGGACACCCCCCCCCCTGCCCCCACCCACCTGAAACCTTCCATGTTTAAAGGCAATCTATCACTATCAGCCACCTTGGCCTTTGTTTTTTTCCGTCTCAGCGGACTCCAATAAGCATAGACTTGTGGGGTTATCCGGCCCTTTAATTTTTTTCCGTCTCAGCGGACTCATGCAAATGGAGGAAACCGACGTCCCTCCTGGTGGGGCTCCTTCCGTGTCGCCGTTCGCTTCAGGCGCCGCCGAGTTCCGGGCGCTAGCGCGGCGCTTTCTGGGAGCCTTCACGGGGCCCAAGGCCGGGAATGCGGGATCCTTTTGCTGAGGCTCCGTGCCCATTGTCTCGGAACGGGCGATTTTGAGGGGAGAAGAAGCCAATCGGGGATAAGAAGTTCTGTTTTTTGGGGCCTGTTTAAGAGTTCAACAGAGAAGAAGCCAATCGGGAAGAAGCCTTTTTTTGGGGGCCTGTTTTAAGACACGAGTTTTGAGGGGATAAGAAGAAACACAACCGAATGTACCTGTTGAATGTAGCTGCTCACATGAGCAACAGCCAGAATGATTAGCACTGTTGAGTCAGGGCGGGCACGGGAGGGGGGGGGGCCTCCAAAATTTCCCATATCCTTTTGCAGAACAACCATGTTTCTCCATTCACCATGTGAGCGATGGGCAAAACTCTTACGTCGGTCTGCTTGCGCTCGAGCTCGTCGAGCTCATGGGGAATCCTTTGCCTCGTTGCTTGGGACGCGCGGAGACAAAGCAAGGGGCGTGCAAGGGAAGGGTTCGGTGCCGTCAGCATAAATCGCCACACCCATTCAACCCCCATCAGAAAGGTTGACCCAACTTGGATGATGACAATTAGGTAGACAGTGGTGGTTATATGGGTGTGGCTCAAAATTAACCAGGAGGGGTTACGCAGGCTTTGGTCCATGTTTCCACTTACTAGGGTTCCATTTTGGAATTCCGGTTTTTTGAGCCACAGCCATATGAACCCAACCATGGTTCTGAGTCGACCCAGGGCGAGCGGGCGCGAAAGAGTCCCCCTGGCGCTCACTTCCGGGGCTGCGTGGGCCTCCCCGGCGGAATCAAAGGCGATCGGGCCGGGCTGACGAGCGGTCGAGTCGGTCACTCGAGTGACTCGGATTTGTTTGGACATGAAGTTTAGGTGGCATACGTTTCCACCCATTTGGGAGAGCTTATCCTTAAGATTCATCTTTACACGTGGGTTCCAACCATGCCGGACCCCTGTTGGTTGCTACGTAGAACGAAAAAGGAGAATCCTTGCCACGTTCTCAGAACCATGCTGGTATTCTCCAACAGCAACCGCGGACTCCGTCCGCAACCTTAGTTTTCGGGATGCCGGAGTCGCTCTGAATAGTGATGACATTGATTAGTCCGGAGGAATCTCCTGAGGAACGTCTCAACGTGGACCATTTCCTGGCTAGGAGGTGAACTGCCTCTGATTACAAGTTTACAGACACCCTTAATCTGTCATGTTTCTCATGGGGCACGAAGCCGTAATGCTTTTCAGACGCAATCCGTTGCAATGAAAAGAAGTGCCCTGGCTTACGTTTGAGCATTCGTAATGCATGTTCTTGCCGTTGACAAGACACGTCTTGAGACTAGTCGGTGCCGCCAAGCAGACGGCGCGTTGCGAGCCCGCGTCCACGCTGATGCTCTCACTGCTGCTCCGCGGCCATCAGCTGACAGCCAACGAGTCGAACAGCAGGGTTGTGCATTTGTTGCCCTTCATGACTGAAAGGATGTTTGCACCTTCTCAACCAACCTGCCAGCCAGCCAGGCAGCCAGCCAGCCAGCCAGCCAGCCACCCAACCACCCAACCACCCAACCACCCAACGACCCACCCAACCACCCAACCAACCGACCACCCGACCCACCAACCAGCCAAACCACCAGCCAACCACCCAGCCAACCAACCAACAGGAGGCACCTGTCGGAGGATACCTGCAAAAACAATTTCCTTTTGAAGGGACCTGTCAGGAGCCTTTGCCCATGCCTCAAAGATCCATGGAGTACAGGTAAACCCTCGCATGGGTGAGGGAGGATACCGTTCAGGGATCCCATCTATCCCAATTTAGTTTCAAATTCATCACCTCTTGATAGCAATTTAAGTGAGTCTCTTTTTGGGCCGATGTTCGGGGAAATATGGGCGGCTTGCTCTTGGCTTCCCTACTTGTCAGTTTTTTGTGGGTACCCCTTCTGCTAAGGGCAAACATGGCCCATCGAAGCCATTTTGACAATTGGGGTCTAAAATCACAGAAGGGAACCAGTGGATTTTGAAGAAGGGAACCAGTATGGCTGTGAATTTTGAAGAAGGGAACCAGTGGTTGGTGCACATGCGTCTCTCCATCTGCGTTGTCCCAGGCAAGCTCTTCCGGACCCTCGTGTCGGAGAACAAGAATTGGTCCATGGACCTCCGCCCGGGGCGAGGCGCGAGGCATGTTTGAATTGGAGCCCCAGAAAACCGTTCAAGCTGGGGGATCTGGGGGGCTGCACAGCAAGACTATAAATCATATACTAGGAGAGTCGTTCTACAGGTCCTTATAAGGAGTTTAAAATTCAGTGACCATCGGTGTTGGTTGAGGTACCTCCGCGAAGGATTCGCGATGGAGTTGCGAAAGTATTTGTTTTATCTTCGCGAAAGTTTTGCGTAGCTAGACGCCCATAAATGATCCATTTGCCTCATCGCTGCCTGGCTCCCCAATTCTGGAGGCACCCGGTGAGTAGGGTTCCCTCAACATCTTGGACCTTGGAAGTGGTGCTTCTCGCGTAAAAAAATGGAGGTGAAACGCTTTACACGGGTTCAAAAGGTCAGGCAAGTGCCAAGTGTGCAAGCCTCAGAATTATCTTTGTCACGGAAGAGCCATCGCTTAGCCGGGGTACACAAACTAACACAGACCCCAAGACGCCCTGGGTTTGGCATTTGGGGCCCGGAGGCAATGATCCGGATGCCTTCAACGTCGTCTGGGTCTATGACACGGAGGAGTTCCCCTTCATGCAGGCGGAGCAGTATCTGCAGCGTCCTGGCTTCAAATTTCGCACCCGTGATTGGGCGCGAAACGGAACCTTTTTGGACCCGGGAAACCCAACCTCCACCTCCTTTATGTCTGACAGGAAGCCCATCCCACGCAAGCTCCATACAGCAAGGCGTGAATCATCTTGCTTCGCCAATCACCCTCATTGCAACATAAATGGGCGCCGGTGGGACTTAACCCCACGACCTCCCTTCCGAGACACACCCGACTGGGAAGGGGCGGGGTGTGAGGGGTAGATTGGGAATCGCTCCCCCCTGGTTAGGTTTGGAGATGTTTGTCCAATTTCCTGTAGAACCTCCTGCTTCACCTGATTTGTAGTCGCTCCGCAACTTTGCTTGACTATCTCAAGGTAGTCACTGATACTCTTGACTACCTTTGGTAGATACCTCATCTTGGTGGATACCTCAGGTTGTTTCATTTCCCACAGACCTCAAGGTAGAGTTTGGCCCCAAGTGAATTCAACCAACCCCGTGTCAAACATGGCTCAATTCTCCCTGGTGACTCGTCATCCCGTCATCCCACGCATTTCAAGTCTGGCAAGGCGATTCCTCGCAGTCATGAGTCATGTTTGGGATGTTTGGGAATTTACGGCGCAAACCAGAGAGAAGGCTGAGTACAAGCGCACATGATTTGCTCCCCTCCAGATGATGGTATTTGGGGCACCTTGTCCAGGATCCTCGGCATGAGTTTCATTGGAAACTGATTTTCCCAGCTCGCATCCACAAACTCAACGTATCAACATTATCCTAACCTGTCCCATCCCCACCCCCACCCCGCACCCCAACCCCGCACCCCCACCCATCCTGCTTCTTTGGTGGAGCTCCACTTAATCCATGTTTTAATTCGCCCCTTTCTTGGCCTCCGCCTCAAAAGCGCATTCTGAGGTTGTCTCCATGTGGGCTGAAGATGACACATCGGAAAATATGATTTTCTGTGTAGCAGTCAGACCCTTGGATTGGTGGTTTGGGGATTTCAATCTCTAGTTGATGAAGAGCAGAGGGTATATAAATGAGAAACCGCCCTAGAACACGTGCAAACCGCCCGTCTCTAAGAAACGAAACCTGAAACCAGATGTGGGCGTTTGTTTAGAGTTGGACTCCCAAAATGGCTTCTGTTTTTGGAGTTTCGCTTTCAAAGAGACCAAAAAGGGCTACCAACTCTAAAAAAGACGAGGCACCCATGTGGCAGCGCCGAGGTTTGTGGGCAACGACACCTGGTACGAAGGCTGCCTCAGGTCCGCCCAGCTGAAGCGCATCAGTTTCTCGGAGAGCTGCAGGGAGCTGGCCGCACCGAACGTGAGCTTCAGAGGCTGCGGCAGGCACAAGGAGAAGGCGACTCCTCCCAAGATGGGTCAAGGTGGGGTCTCAGACAATATCTTCTGTGGGCGTCTGAGGGTTTGAGGGTTGGAGGGTCTGAGGGTTTGAGGGTCCCTTTGTTTGACACTAAACGCTGAACCCAGGGATCCTTCTTTTCAGGAAACCATCAAAAACCCAGGGGAAACAGCCGGTTTTTTAAAAGAACAATGGTTGAAAAGAATGGGGAATCAACCCCTGGCAACATAATTTTTGTGGGCGTGTCTTGTTTTGAGGGTAGCCCCCTTGTGTGGCGAGGTATTAAAGGGAAGCCACCATTCCCCTACAAAAAGATATACCCATACCATGTGGCAAAATTGGGAGACGCCAGAATATATGGTTGCCCTTTTGGTTTCCTCAGAACATTGCTTATTTGACCTTTGTTTGGTTGAACCGATTGCACATTAGCAGGAATTGGCTATCTGTGTTGCCACAACACAACGGATCGCAAGCGAGCAAACAGGATTTCGAACCCGAGGATGGCGTTCCTTTTGGCGTTCCTTTAAATCTACGGTACCCGCAAAAACCGCCGCAACCTCAGCAGGCGTGAATATGAAGCAGAATCCGACCGTGGTCCGTTGGCACTGAAACGCATTGCCCTTCCATAGCCCTCAAACAAAATATGCCCGACGCCGTGACGCCGGCAAAACAACCCCTTTGACCATTTTTGGGAACGAAACAACATGGTAAAACAGGGCGCCACTAAACTGGGAAAGGCATCCTCTTTGTGCACTTTGGCAAGTTTGGTGAACCCGCCAAACAATCAACACATGGGTAGCATGCACTGAACTGGGACAATTGTCCGAATCATCAGCACGGCAGTGTCAAGCTCCTTTTGTGCAGGCCTCAAAGGGAATCAAGGGAACACGGCCCTTCGGAGGGGTGTCTCATTCCCGCATAGTCACAGGGTTACACTCAGAGGGCTTAGTCCTGGAATTTCGGAAATGAACCATAAATATGCCGCACTAGCTCATAGGCTCATAGGAGTTGAATTCTGACCACCTGTCGATTCCAGTGTGAATGGTTCCTTCTGAATTGAGTATGTTGGAAATCCGGAAACCTGAACATGATTGCAGGCCGACAAAGATTGAATTTGGATCAATGATGAATTTTGCTATTTCTCTCGAAGCAGGGATTTCTCGTCAGGTTCCAAGCAATTTTAGTTTGCCTCATGAACCACCAAAATGGTTGGTTTCTCCTCGCTTTGCTCTTCAAAACCGGACGACCTGCTTTCAAAGAAGAAGTCAAAAGACTTACTTGGGAGGAATGATTCTCAGCCCTTTGGTTTGCACATTGGTCAGGATTCCGATCGGCCCGAATGTTCCCCAGACACATTTGGACATGGTAGGGGCCCGGCTTTTGCACTCCAAAGGCTCAAATCCGCCATCACGCATCCCCACCCACTTGGGAACTGTATGCCACCTTTCACGGAGTGCTTTCCTTTGGATCTCTAGGAATGTTTCTACCCTTGCTTGTTTAGCTGAGGGCATTGTAGATTCCAGAACTCTAGGAGTGCTTCTACCCTTCTGCTCTTAATGCTTGTTTAGCTGGGATTTTGACCTTGTATCTGTTTAGACCCATGTTCCCATGTGCGAGGTGATCCCGGAAGGCCAGGCCTTGTGCGAGCGCCGGGGCTCCTCTGGGCATTTGCTGCCGGACTCCCAGCCACACAGCTGAAGCCGACATCGCTTGGACTTGGCACTGGGGTACTCCATTTTTGGATGGTGTTACAGTATATGGTGTTAAGGGGACACTTGACTTACCTCTTTGAGCTTCTTGGCTTTCTGGCTTTCCCAAAACGGACTTACCATGTTTTTAGCTTTTGGTTTTCTTCCCTCGGTCCGTTCAACCAGCATAAAATTCATTGTCGCTGGGGTTGCTAGTCTGGCACAGTTGCCATCTGCATAGGGAACCGGGAGACCTTCTCCGTGTAAAACCAAGGAATAAACGGCACTATGATACCTAACATTGTAAATGACAGCTCTAGCTCGAGACGGGATCAGGTTCAGGTTTTTAGATCTAGGTAAAACAGGCGGGCCCAATCTCCTAGCCAAACCTTGTTACAGTAGAACTTCAACCTTGAATGACATGAATGCCATTTCTTATGAGGCCTGAACTATGTGAGCCACCACCAAACCTAACAAAGGTAGTTCTTCCATAGCTTGAGCTATGTCATGTGTACATTCAATCACTTGTAGCCCTCCAGAGCATGTTTTCTTGGCTGTTCTTGGTTTGTCATCTTTGTCCATGTTTGTCCTAAACCCTGTTGACTGTTGGTAGAGGTGCCATTTAGACGGTTGAACAGTGGCCATGCAATACGCTTCACATTTTGTGTCGGGTCAGTTACTATCTGGCCCAGTTTTGTTCATTGGACATTCCTCATGGCGGTCAGATATCGCGGGACAAACGACCTTTGGCACAGGCTGCGTTTTCTAGGGTCCTGCTTCCCAACATATTCCGGATTGGCAAGAAATCCTATTGAGGCTGGTTTGTTTCAGAGTCGAGTCTGATTGCTTGTTAACACTAGAGATACAAGGCAAAGAGCGACCATTCATGTTCTGCCCATATGGGAGTCATATGGGATACCACTTCTGTTCTGTGTTTGAAGTTAGCCAAGTTAGCAGTATGGACTGCATGAATTTCCCTTACGTCCTCAAACTCGAGCCTCGAACACCCACGGGGACTCGGTTCGGGATTCGAGTCCCAGGGAGCATGGTAAAAAAAAACAGTCACCTCACAACATGGTTGTTGGGAAACGTGTGAAACATGTTTGCTTATTGTGGTTTAGTGGTTGAAATCCAACCACTGAACAGCAAAAATTTAAACTGTTGCTCCCCTTCCAACGTCAACCAAGACAAGGGGGATACTTTTTATCCCCAAGAAACATGGAAGTGGACATGGGCTTCCCAAAAGCAAAGTAGTTTTCCAGAGCCGTCCAGTTGGCAGCTTCCATGACTGGAGGGAGGGCAAGCGTTCTGGCTGACGCTGACGAGTTCTTATCCAGCTTACTCCACCAGAAGCTGACATGCGACACCACAAAAGGGGATACTCCAAAGGCAATCCCTCTATTTGATGGTTGCCGTTCAGGTTTGAGAGGGCGAGGGGCCATTGGGGCTGCCTAGAATTTCCAAACAATGGTTCAACCCCAGACGCCATGCTGTTAGCCAGAATGCAGGCCACGTATCAACATATTGAGGAGTGATATGGCTCGGGTACAAGTAGATGGCGTAGTCTTCTAGCCCAAAAGGGGTCCAAGCAACAGGGTCCGATCGCTTGCACCAAATGACAATCACGTGTGTAGCATCCGATTTTGGTACCCATATGTTGGAACTCCTTCAACGGGTCACCAACTTGTCAACTGGTTTTGGCCGGATCGACGTGAGACCTGCGCCATCTCTTTACGAACCGTGCTTCCTCAGGCCCTGTGAGCTTCTTGGGCAGGGCATGAGCCCACCAGGATTCCCCGCAAAAGCCGGTGGGGGCCACCCAATTTTCCAAGGTCCCTTTGCGCATGTCAGGGGTTCATGTGTGTGTGTGTGTGCGCGTGTTTTTTTTGTTTTGTGTGTGTGTGTGTTGTGTTATGCTGTTGTGTTGCCTTGTGCTGTGGCACTTGCCTCAGGTTGCGCTGGAACGTCTCGGGCCCTTTGCACGTGGGGCCCTTCACTGCAGAGGCGATTTGCTGCGCCAACCACCGCTACGCAGAGGCTCCAGGAATCTCGGTGCAAAATTGCGTCGCTGCCTTGAGTGCAGATGGGGGTTGGTCAACAAATTCGGCTCTTTGTGACGTCCACCCCAAAACTTACAGTAATAAACTCGAACTTTGTGGGTGCCTTTGGCGTGGCTGGCAGTCGGACAACCAGTCTTCCAGGGGGGGCCCTATTGGAAGATGACTCCGAGTATATGCCCGCGCTAAGAATCGCCCCACGCAGAAGGTGATGTTTAATCCACCGAAAGGGAAATATGAATATGGGGCCTGGTTGTTGGAAGGCATTCTTGTTCAAGCCATGGCGCTGCCTTGAGACTAGCGGAGCCACCAGGAAGCATGATTGGTCTTTTGTGGGTTAGGGTATGGACAAGATCTAAGCCGTTTGAAATTGATCTACTCTCCCCAAGCCCTAACATGAAGTGCATAGGAACCACGGAAGGATGAAGCCGCTGCAGTTGCATGACGGGACTGGGCAAGGATGGCATGGTTCCAAGAGACGACAAGCACCGAATGAGTCACCAACAAGTTGAGCAGCAGGGGCTTGGTTGAACAGCATGGTCGTGCATATGCTTGTATTGCAGGAGCATCTTCTACATCAAGCTATGGTACGTTTTGCTCATGCAGGAAGGTTCATCTTTTCTGGTATATCAGGCGCGGATCTTTGCACCTGATCAGATGCCATCACCACATGATCATAAAGAAGTTGTACTTCAATGGTATGTAGCATATTGGGCCAACGCCTGGTTGCAACTTGAGACACTTGAGAATGGCAATGTCTGCGAATGGTTTGCTGGAGACTACAGTCTACAGTCCCCAAACTCAAAACCCTAGCGGTTGCCCCCAAAAAAGCACCCAAGGCGACTTGGATTTCACCTTTCAGGCCAGGTTGCTCCCCGACATTTTCTGGTGGCGATTTGGCAGAAATCCAAACCCTCTACCCTCTGGTTCACCAACATGGAATCTAGGGGGTCCCTCTTTAAAGGAAAACCGTCTTCCAGGACCCCCCCTGGTGAGGTTCCATGTTTGATGGGAGGGTAAAAGGAAGCTGAGGGGGAAGTAACTTCTGATTGGTTGAATCCTTGTGAACTGCCCCATGTTTGTGGATGGGAGGGTAAAAGGAAGCTGAGAAAAAGTGGTTTCTGACTGGTTAAAACATTTCTCTGCTGCCCACCGAGGCTTCTGGTTCCGCAACGCGGAGTTCCTGGCTGCTGCGCAGAACGCCACGAACGAGCAGCCGCTGATCTTCTACGACTCGGTGTGCGGACTGCCGGTGTTCAGGGCACCGGTTGGAAGGAGCCGGTTGGGGCTTTCTCACCTGCGTGGGGGTTTAGGGTAGACTCGACTAGATATGAAACAGAGTCACAGCATATGTTTTTGTTTATGTGCACCCCGATGCGTGTCAAGCTATGTTGGGTCTATTTGGTGACAAGCCCAGTTCTTCAGTGGAGTCCGCGCCCTAATCCTCTGAGCAAATTCTGACCAGCTCTGACGATTTAGCCCATGAACGTCCTTTGTGGGCTCCCTTATGTCCAGTCCGGGATGCTCAAGGCCATGAGAAGGGATGGCAAGTCCCCTAGCAAAGTCAATGGGATCATCAATGGGAAAGTCCCCTAAAGTAAACGGGCAAAGGGGGAGCTTGGGGGTTGGCGCCACGTTTGTTTGGCTCATTTTCCAACATGCGTGCAAGCTCATTTTCCCGATCATGTTTTTTGTTGGGGCATGTACTCCGGGCCCATTCTGATACACTTCCCCTTGCAGGTACAGGAGTTGATGTATTTCATTGGGAAGCAAGCCTACGCACTTGTTTCGTTTGGGAGGAGGGTATTGAAACCTTCGGTCCCGTTCCGTGTAGTTGCCAATGCATGGCTGTGGCTCCAGAATTGCGCAGTTGCATCCATGAAGCTCAGAGGCACATTGCTCAAGTCTCCCTTTACAACTACAGCGCAAGGTTTGTATCTTTTGTTACTGGAACTCAATCGCTGCAAATGCCGCCGGTCCAATTGATCCAAGGCTGCCTTTCACCCTGAGCCTCGCATGCATAACGGCTTACGTCAGGCCTGCGGACCGTGATTCGATACCCATAGTCATGTGGTAGAACCTGTGCTTAGAGCGTACCAGTGCCAGTTTGTGCCAAGTTTTGCTTGTACCAAGAGTCGCTGGTTGATTCGCCAAGGGCTGCTAAGAACAATCGGTCGAAGAGCCTGGGAAAATTCGCTAACTATTGTTTAACTATATCTCTCAGTTCATGTTGTGTTTTGAGCTATCGTTATATATTTTTTTTAATAGCCAAACTCTGTTTACTTTTGGGCTTGAGGGGCTGCAAAAAACATATTTTGTTTGCTTACAGGCCAAAGATTGGGCAGCGTTTTTTTTTTTGGGGGGGGGTTGTCTTGGTTCTGGAAGGAGCACCACTGAGTGGCTGAAAGAGTCGGCGCAGCACGGATGGCCTTCTTTCCGCACCTTGGCCACGGGTCCTTCCGCAAAGCAACGCTGTGACTGGGACTTAGGTGTTCAAGTCACCTAGTAAGTTGGTCATAGCCATGGTTAGAACTTGGGTAACTGCGATTGGACCCTTTACAACCATGGCTATGACCTAAGTAGATTGAGCAGCCAAGTAGTCTGTTCGTCTCGTTCTCTGAGCTTATGGACAGGTCACTTTCGGGGCGACCATGGCGGTAAGCACAAAGTTCAGACTTTAGCCAATCCACGGAAGTCTAAGTTTCCACCACCAAACCATAGAAATCCACTTTAGACAAATTCTGGACGACAATTGCAACTCGCCGAGATCACCTTTGATGTCTTATCGATTTCGTTGGGCTCCAAAGTTACCAGTCAAAGTATCGCTGGGGTCTCCAAACCAAATCGAAATTATGTTTTAGGGTTGACGAAATATGAAACCGAATCTGAACATCCCATGTTTTTCTGTGCCCGTTTTGGGCCAAGAGGGCCTAAAAGAGAACCAAGGCCTTAAGGCCTTATCTGAAGCAAACCAGGAGGAGAGGGGGGGTGGGGGAGGGAGAGTTTGGATCTGAAGTTGAAGGGTCCCTTGGATGATTAGAAGGTGGGGTACTTGACCAAATTAAGCCATGATCTTGCGGGAATGACGTGGGTAGAATTTAGCCCTGATATTCGCCTATGGGCGTGGAATGGGAGAGGGTCCATGTTAAGCCTCGGCAACCGGCTGGGACTGAATTTCAACTTCAAGTATTGTTAAGCAATAAACTTTGCTGATTTTCACAAGCTGCAATTGTGTGTCACTGCGTGTCTAGCTTTGACGGTAGTGGGCCTTTCCTGAGTGTACTCAATTACCTTTGGCCACGGATTACCTTTCGAACCGAATGTGGATTCGCAAGGGGACGCAGCGCTCTTGCACTGACGGACTGCACAATGATTCCCTCGGAGTTTCTGGAAGTCTAAGAGCGGACAGTAGGGTGTGCCCGACATTTGTGGGTTACACTTACTGTGCTCAAACCAGCTGCCAACTTGGGGTTGGACAGTTGGCCATCACTCAAATAGTCGCAAACAGGGTTCACCCGATGCTCCCACTTCTTGGGGAAGCCTTCGTACTTTTGTCATGGCCGAGCCTGTCCAAAGATGGGGCAGCTTTGGGGAGCCCCCAAAGTGGCGATAAATGGCGGCTGTCTCTTTTGGTCTCGCTTAAAGCCAAGTCAAAGAGGGTGCCCGCTTGAGAAAACCGTTCTTTTTGCCTGCAAATTATAACAACGTCACTAGGAGGTTTGCCATCACCGATGAAGGTTTGTTTCATAGGGAACCATGTCTTACTTTTGAGTTGGATTGTAATCATTTGCCCACAAAATGTGTTTTTACACATACCATGTACCCAACTATATCCATTGTACCTGTTGCCAATACCCACGTTGAGGACAATTACCAATCCTTTGTTGTTTACAGGACCAGGGACGCCACCTCATTTGTTGGCCTCCCTTTGACTTCCTCGTGCTTAAGACCATCTTCCATTCCCTGTTGGCTTAGGGGATCTATGACTTCCAGTTGCTTTAGAGCTTCAATCCAATGTTTTTTGGTTGCTTTAGAGCATCAATCAAATGTTTTTTGGTTGCTTTAGAACATCAATCGACCGTTTTTTGGTTTTAAAGGGGCTCTATCGTTTTTTGTTTTCCAGGGGTGAACCAGGCAAATGGAAGTTGCCGGGTCTCACTGCCCAAGGCTCACAGGAGCTGGTGCCGGAGAACCTGGTGCTGGGCGCTTCCGGAGAGGTGAGGGCGGGGTTCGGGGTTTGGGAAGTAGAGCGAGTTGTTGGGGTTGCTTTTAAAGGACAGAGGGACACCTGTGGTTTTTGTGGGTGGGGGGGTTCCCTATTCATAAAGTGGGCCACAAGGAGGAAGCTGTGCAAGCAAGCTCCTGTTCCCCTCTATGACAGGCTCAGGAAAACTGAGCCCCTCGGGGGTTTTTGCAAGCCAGTGCGGGGAGGGGGGGAGGGGGGGGGTGGAAGGGGGATCAAAGAATCTCTTTCAATGGAGGCTTCATGTTAACCCCAAATGACCTTTCCCCAGACCTCTTTCCTGATCAGCCTTTGTGGCGAACCGGACTGAGGAAAGCAATATTGAATCGTGTATGGTTGTTTCTTTTGCGGAGAGGGCAATGATCAGCCAGGACTGATATTATTGCAAGCGCTTCGCGTTGCCCGCCTCGGCCAGTCCGCTTTTGACTGGCTTTGAGGTATATACTGTGCTTTAGTTTGCCTTGAAGTGTTGGTGTTAAAGTGAGTGAGTCGGCGCCAAAATGCGTGAGCTGGTTTCCAAGCTAGAGGGTGGGTGCATGTCCGCGCGAGTCCACCTGGGCTCAAGGGCCAGTATCTGGGGAATTTGACCCTTTTTTTTGGGGGGGGGGGATTTTGCCGGTTTCTAGGGTTTGGGGTTTGACAGGCAAGTTTCTAGAAGGAGTTTGACCGGTTTCTGGCCGGTTCCCTGGGGATTTAACCGGAGTTGGATCAGCTTTGAGAGGAGGAAGTTTTCTAGCGGGATTTGGCCGGAGTTGAACTGGTCTTTACAGGCATTTGATTGGCTTCTAGATGGGAAGCGGTGTCTGCGATTTGCTCAGAGGATTTGATCGGTTTTAAGGGAATTGGACAGGTTTTTGAATTGCTGTCCCTGGAAAGGAACCTCTTTTAATCAATCAACGAGTTCTGGTGGAGAACAACTCTTTCATCGGGGCATTCTCAAGATTCGTGGCTATATTGTCCATCGACGGAATGAAAGTGGACAAAATGAACAATCCTCCACAAAGGGTGGGGGGTCCCTCAAAACATGAAATTGTTCATGGCTCGCACAGGATGCAACCGATTCAGTTGTTGATTGTGATGCCAACCATTGCTGTAGTTGGGGACCCACTAAATTTCTCACAAACCAGGAGGACTCACTAGTCTTCCCATGTCCATGACGTGTAACGCATATTTTCCTTCTTTGCGAGGGTGGGGGGGCATACAGGCTTACCGACTCGCATCGCTTTTGGCAACATTTATTCCTAATTCTGGGTGTTTATTTGAGTTGGGCGATTTGGGGGTAGATTGTTCTTTTTGGTAAATTGGGGGCAAATTGTTGGGAGGCAAATTGTTGGGAGGCAAATTGTTGGGAGGCAAATGTGGGGGGGGGGGGGGGAAGGGGGGGTAAATCTGGGGGCAAATTGGGGGGGGGGGGGTACATTATTGGGTGTAGATTTCGGGAGAAATTGGGGCGTAAAGTTGGATATACTTTGGGGGCAAGTAATTGTTGGGGGTAAATTTGTGGATAAATTGGGGGTAAATGTTTGGGGGTAAATTGGGGGAAATTGTTGGGGATTTGTTGGGGTAAATTTTGGGGGTAACTTAGTGGTAAAGAGTTAAATTATTATTCCATTGCCAGAGCCATCTATTTTGCCAAAAGGTCACCTATGCTTCAACTTTGCACCATCGTTTTCCATTTCTTGCAGTATTCATGCGCAGGTGTGGCTCGATTTCTCAGATCTTTTCTGCCAGGTGCAGTCAGTTTGCGGGACACATTTGGGGCACAACCTGCCGGACGACAAGGGTGACCGCTACTGCATCGACCTTGTGTGCATTGCAGGGGCGGAGGGAGCAAAGCAGGACAGAGCCTTAGGGCAAAACCTGGTGAGCTGACGGGCCTCCCACCGCCCACCCCACCCGATCCCACCCCACCCCACCCGCAAGGTTATGATCGAAGGGTTCCGATCGATCCATGGTGCCCTATTCAGCGCCCAGTATTGGAAGCAACACACCTATTGATTTAAGGAAGGCATGCGTAGGGCACTGGGCAGTGCCATCTCAAACGACAGGGCGACTTCTCAATATTCATTGCAAATCAAAGGGTCTTGGCTATGGCTCGCGCACTTGTGTGCATGTGTGTGTGTGTGTGCGCGAACCTTTTGCGGGCGTTATGTAGTTGTTTGACAGGATCTCAAATTGAGTTTGTGTTTGCAAGAATTGGTTAACTCCAGTTGCGTCAAGCAAGCAAACAGTATGGCCATTACATCATGCTGCGCCGCTTTTGCGCTCCATGGTGTGCTTCATTCGTGTTTCCTAGGTGCCCAATGAATCTAGCTGTCAGACAGGGGCTCGACTTATGTCAAGCATTACTAGTATCCTTCACATTTCTTCACATGTCCCTTTCAAATCAAGAGGCTGGTTAACCAACCCCCTGCTTTCCTCGAAAGAGGTTCATTTTGTGGAGGATCGGCGGAAAAACCGTGACGGGATGGCCGCTGAGCTCCGGATTTCTATGGCCACCGAGAGAGAACTCCACACCAACTCATGCCAAAAGATATGACAGTGGTATAAATTGTCCGGAAGTAATATGTCTTCACGGGAAGAGGGTTTCCTTGCAACTTGAGGTTTTGTTTCCAATGCCACGTGATCTGAACATGAGCACATCAGTGTGTTTTTGCTCTGTTTGTTTATGTGTTCTGAACTAAAGAGTTTGCTGCTGGGTTTCAATGGCTTGCTATGCTCCTGATCCGTTTGGGAGGCCTGGGACAGAATCCCGAATGGTTTCAGAATCCAGGCACCGGGCTCGTGTCAGGAGCCGGAGAAGGATTTCTTGGCCTATTTCGGCTGCGGCCGCACCTCGCCTTTGGGAGCTTGGGTGCTTGAATCTCACTACGGCCGTGGCAGCTATGTTTGTTTTGAACTTAATCATTGCAGTGCTTTGAAGCTTCAAGCGAATGGCTTCTGCACTCGCAGTTGAACAGTTGGTTCGGGCCTAAGGAATGACATGGGTAGCCTTTGAACCTTACACCGACATGGGAAGAAGAGCATTTTAAGCTTTGGAAGTATGTGGCCTGAACAGAATCCCTCCATGAATCTTGCTACATTGGACCCTGGCAACTCACTAGCCGGGCTGCCATGAACCATGGAAGGGTCGGGGGAAAAAGTGGTTGGTTGCCTTTTGGTTTCCGTTTGGTCTGTAAATGCCTACCACCCCCCGAAGAAAAATGCTTTTGAAGTACCCCATGACCCGATTCTAATTTTTGAACTGCCCTCATTTTTTTCAGGGGTCTGGGCAGAGGGGGTCACTGGTGTGTTTTTCAACTAAAATGATTGGTGTCCTTTTGGCTTTCCATTTACCGGTCGGGGGCTCCGTTCGAATTCCAGACTTCACCCACGTGCAGCACGAGCTGGTGCTGGCGGAAGTGGAGACTTTGGGCCGTGGCAAAACTCGCGCGCCGGAGATCTCGGCGCGGGCGGCCTACGCCGGGGGATTGCTGACGGGGCATCACGGGGAGGTCTGCTTCCGCGGGGAGGCGCGGCGATTTTTTTTCCCGTCGGTACCAAGTTGCTTTTTTTAGAGCTTGGTGGCTGGCGGTTTACGGAGGATCACGGGGGGAATTTCGAACATGCATCTCTCATCGGCACGTCACTACCCATGATGATCATGATCATGATGACGACGACAAGGATGATGATGCTGAGGATGATGATGGTAATGATGATGAAGATGATGATGGCGATGATAACAATGATGATGCTGAATATGTATGCTGCGACAAGCCACTACGTAGCCTTTGGAGGGCAGGCCAGCTTGCGCAGGGCTGCATGGGAAACTGCCAAGCCAAAACTTTGGGACTGAATTGTGGTACATGGCCACGATGGTGCAAGAGTTCATGCTCCGTCAGGCTTCCTGCCGTTTCCCAGGGCTATCTTACATTGGCCACGGGCAGGGACGCATTGCCTAGTGCTTGGAATTGTTACGTGATCGCGGGTAGACTTTTTGTTAGTCAGTGTGTCAGGAGGTCCGTCCATTTCAAGTTTCTCAGATCGATCGGTGATATGAGCTTCGGGAAGGCCCCCGCGGGCTCCTTCCTTGCTCCCCTCCTTCCTTTCTTCCTCCCTTCCTTCCTCCCTTCCTTCCGAGTGGAGCCAGATTTATGGCCAGTTTCCCCATTTTGCCCGATGGGTTTCTAGCTGGTGATTAAGAGACAGATCGCAAACGAGCAGGAATAGATGAACCATTTACCACTTGCTGTGCCCACCGAGACAAGAAAACTGGAGGTTTCCAATCATAGGCGGCCTTAGGTTAGTTTGGTTAAAAATAGATGGCACTGGTTTAGATTGGGTTTTGTTCCATTTACCAGGGCTATCTATTTTTCCAAAAGGCCACCTATGTTTCCAATCACTAGACAGTTTTTGTATGCACTCCGTGCAAGTGGCTGGGCTTAAGCTCACAACTCGCGCAGGCGAACTACGCCAAGCTGGGTCACGCAGAGGCGAGGTCTTTGTGTTTTTTGGGGTCTCCTCCATTTTGCTTAATGGGATTTGAGGGTGGACTAAATAGGGAGCAGAATCTGAACGGGTTAGTTTTGGAGTACCGCAGATTTCCCCAAATTTCGTCACTGAACTGTACGGTGGCTTTCACCAAGAGTGGCACTTCCTCACCCAACACGCGGTGGGGAAGCTCAAACTTCAGCGGGAAAGGTGTCCTTTTGCTCAAAGGTTTGATGGATGTTGGCGCACATTAGATCAGAGCTCTCTGTCAAGTAGGTCGGAGTTGAGCCACCCTAGTGAAGTGTACTGTGCTTTGATAGGGTGCGCCATGGGCAGAAGAAGAAAACGGTGCATTCCTGAATGGCAGCTAATTCCAACACACAACACAGTGTTCAATTCCAGGACTCCGAAAACGGTAGTTGTCGGGAGTGATATGTCTTTTTTTTGAAAACGAAGGTAGTAATGCAGATTCAGTCCCAATTTGTTGCACCAGTCGATTTGTGAGACTCACCAGCACTAGCCGTATGCAACATTTGCAACATGGAGGCCCGTTTGGAAGACTGTTCGACAAGCATGAAATGTCCTTAGCTGGATGATCTTCGGACGGTGCCTGCGCGCACAAACCATTGTGCTGGCCTGTCATCAGCGTGACCTCCCTTGAACGTTTCACTGTTGACTTTGCCAACGCATGTGAAGTCTGACTCGCTACTCACGTTATTTGAAGGGGGATCATGTGCAAAAATTGCAGATCACTGTTTGAAAACATACACCCTTCGGACCATTTAGCCCACCCCATGCCGCCTCCACCAGTTTTTTGGTATCTTTAAGCTGAGATTTGCTAGGAGCTTAGAAGAAAATCCGGCGCGGTCCAATTGACGATACGGTCTTTGGCTTGTTGCCGAGTACAGCCTTCTTGAGCGAATTCACTTAGATTCCAGGACAGGTCTTGTCTGAACTGTCTCGGTGCTTGATATGCTGACGGGGTATGAGCGCCGTCATGTTTGACTTGCTTGTGGGAACTATATACTTCACATTCAATTCACATTCAACTCGATTTTTTGTTGGTCAACTTAGTTCACAAAGTTTCCCGCAAATTTACTCAACCACACCCCATGTCTGCGCATCATGCCCCGTCGAGTTCACCGCTCGGGTGAAGTCGACTGGGGTAGACTTAGGATACATTGTACATTTTACCAGTGACTCAAAGTGAAGCAAACAATAAAACTAACACACATTCTATAACCATGGTTGTTGTTGGGACACATTTTACATGTTTGCTTATTGCGGTTTAGTGGGAAATCCAACCACTGAACTGCTATTTTTGTTGCTCCCCTAACCCAACGTCAACCAAGTAACTGGTTGCCTAGCTCAAATCGAGGTGGTGCGGGTCTCCTGCAACAGCTCCAGCTTCAAACTTCTCGCCGCGGCCTTCTTCGAGCTCTGCCCCAAGGCGCCGCAAGCGCGAAACGAGCAGGTCGCGGGATCTGCACCTTGGGCCCAGACACCCAGCGCCCTGTGGTCCCTTTTTTTATAGGGGGCATCCCTCTAAAATCAACTAATGTTCCTATTGGTTTTACGAGCTTTTCGGCAGCCATTCAGGTTTGATTGCCGATGCCAACTCAAAAACTCGGGAGTTGCCACCGTGGAGCTTACCGGTCCAAATGTCAAACCTGCCCATGTATGTATTTGGGAGTCGTTCTAAATTGCCAGTCTTAAAATTAAGTAAAGGGAGGTTCTAAAGGTCTTGCGCGAAAGGAAAACACTGCATCGCGAAAGGCCGGCGAAAGGAACGCGAAAGGACTTGAAACATAACGAATACATGGTAGAACCCTCGTTTGGGCTCGGAAACAAGTTTTTCAGGACTGGTTTGTCACTGCGAAAGGAAAACATGGGGAAGCGAAAGGACCGCGAAAGGCCGGCGAAAGGGCCGTTTCCAGGAACTGTTAGTTTGAACAACCCCCATTTGTATATATATATATATATATATGTGCACTTGAAAGTTGTTGTTTTGGCTGAAAGCCTGGATCCATCACAACTCAAGCTTCGGCTCCTGGCTCTTGCGCCCCGCTTTCTCCTTGCCTCTTTTTCTTCTCCTAGGGCACCCGCCGGGACGTGGAGGACGCCGGGGATGTCTACCGGTCCCTGGTGGGGCTGCCTCAAGGCATGTCCTCGCCCCTCGCCGCGTCGCTGCGCCAAGTGGCACAAGCCGCGGCTGAAGGCGTCGCCGGTCTCAACGCGCTACGCGGAGCGGGATTGCGGCTAGTGGCGGGCCGGGGCGGCGATCAGGACAACGCTGAGGACCCACCGGAGCCGAGCGCAGCTGCAATGATGGAGGTAGACTTTGTGGGATAGACGCATGATACATGGAGTCGAACAAGACATCATGTTGCCATATTTAGGCTTGCTGACTCCTTTCTAGCAGCAGTGTTCGTTCAGATTGGGCCATGTTGAATGATATGAAGGCCGATCGCCGGCAGCAAGCCGTCAGCAGAATAGTAGGATTCCAGTAGGACTGTATGGGAAGTATGTGCAGTTCTATTGGATGTTTCTCGAGTCGACGTCCGTTGTCCCAGGTGTCCCCAAAAAAACAACTTTGAAAGCTTACTTTCAGTGAAGCATACATGTCCAACCGCTTGGTCAGTGCTAATCATCATGGCAAGGGCCGTCTTTTGCAGCTTGGGATGAAGTGCAATTTCAGCCCAAGAGTGGTGTTCACCGGCACGTTGAGGAGGGGACTGTGTACGTCTATGATTCAGACGCATCTCGGCACCGAGATCGTAGCAGGATAGCCAGACCTTTCGGTGGGCCGGGGTTTGGGAGGTTGCATATATGGCCAAAGGGCGAATAAAACCACTGGAATCTCGGCCAGAACTACGGGCAGGCCTGCCAGCTCTCGACAGCTACATTGGCTAAAGCTTTGGCTCGTTCCAATTGGCCAATTGGTTTCATTTGCTGAGGCAGTCGGACCCACATCCCTCGGGGTCAAACGGCCACCGTTGGAAATTTCCGTACTTGGGACCGCTGTTATGGTCCAACTGACTTCCATAGGGAACCTTATGCGGTGTTTCACTTTTGTAGTTCCCCTTTAAAACATGCAGGGGTCCAACCGAATGCGAAACCCATCGCAATGTTTTCAAGTCCCAACCAAGGCTGAAGCCCTCTTTTCGAGGCCCAGATTAGTCGACTGGGTCCATCGTGGTTTCATTTTTGAGAGGCCTTCGAGTGGTTACTTTTGCGGGTGTCTCTTTAAGGATACTTTTCTCTTTTACCACCATTTCAATATGTTTCTGTTCAAACCACCCTAATATCCGCCATTTAAAGGAGAAATGTCCAGGTAAACCCAAGCTTGCAGGGTAAATTAAAGGATGCCATTTTAATTGATAGATCCAACGACATGGAAGGCAGGCCTCAAAGACATCGCCAATGACAACCCCCCCCCTTGTCGCGGCCAAGACTGCATGTTCACAAAATTTATCTCTTTTTTAGGGACCAAATAGTGATGCTGATGCGGCCCTTTGTGCACATCAAGCTCGCCAATCCTTTCGGTGCGGTTTCGCCATCCCGCTTTGGTTCTGTGCCAACAGGCCTATTGCCCGTCTGGACAATCGGATGCGAGGAAGGATCTTTGGGGATTGGGTCCCGCATGGTTTGGTCCGCGATCCAAATCACATACATTTCATACACAGTTACATCCATTGTTTTCGGCGTGAGACTCGAGCCTACTCTCAGAGTTCAGAGAAGTATTTAGGAAAAACATATAGCAGACATAATATGTGTTAGCGGGTAGTGAAATTTTCTTAACGCCGCTGCTGCAGCCACGCATGCGAGTGCTCAGGTGTTTCCAGCGCACCTCGCAGAAGAGTACAATCAGTTCCAAGATGACATGCGTCTCGGATGACCCCAGGTAGAATTCAGAAGTCGGTGTGAGTTGAAACAGGGGATCCTGTGGACGACATGTTGGTTGGCATCCATTTCCATTAAGCACCTGTGAGGTTCCCGGTTCCTAATAAGAAAGCAATTCCCATGTCTGAAGCAAAGAGGACCTGTTTCAGCTCCTGCAAAGGCCAGGAAAGGAGCTTTGAAGGACTGCGTAATATCACAGGCCTCCTTAAACTTTTTGGAGGAAGGGTAGAAAGGCGGGTTTATAGGTTTGCATTTATGCTGTTGTTGGGTAGACAGACAAAGGGCACTACATCCCGGTTGTCTAATATGGCAGACTGCAGGCAATCAAAACCAATCGAGGCGTACCAGCTAGAGTGTTCTGTTTGTGCAGCTCATTCATTGGTATGGCGCCAGCTTATTTGGGCCGGGGACCTTTTGTGGTCACCCGTGCAAAGTCAAATTCTTCGGGCATCTTGATTAGAAGCACCGGCCAAAGTATTGCGTTCAGACGTTTTTGTCTCTTCTCACCTCTTCTCACTCCTTCTCACTCCTTCTCACTGTTCCACCAGATTGAAGAAAATACCCCCAACTTCACAGCTTGGCAAAGTCAGGCTCAGAAGAATAGCCGGTTTACTGCATTGGCTGCTGGGGCAGGGGCTCTTGAATGAGTCTGCCAAGTACTGGATGAGATAGTCAGATGAGCTTCTTGAGCTGCCATTCTTTTAGTTTTCCCGCTATGCCGCTACAGGCAGCTGCACAAGATGACATGTTTTGCAGGACCTTGGCCATCCTAGTCAGCTTCACGTTTGCCAGTCTACAGAGTGAGCCGAGATGGGTTCTAACAAATGGGTTCCTTTCGGATGTTCCACACATATGATTGTCCTTTGGTGCATGAGATTGATTCATGTTTGTTGGAACCCGAACAACCGGCCCCGTGATGCATTGACGTGCCCTTCGCCTCTTCATCCAGTTCGAGCGAGTGTGAAAACTTGTCCACAAGTGCACGATCACTTTGAGTGGTTGGTTCCACATGCGTGTGTGTGTGTTTTGTGTGTGTGTGTGACTATCTCGAAGCAGTTGGTCCAGCAAAAGATGGCGTGTCCTGTTTGTTTCCCCTCACCAAGGGTTGAAAGGGTGCCCCGAACAAAACACACCTAGTATATAGGTTTACTTGTAGAACCCACTTTGGGGGTTCCTTGTATTTCACCTCCAATCTCAAAAAATTAGTACTCCGCTGCAAATTAACACGGAGCCCAGAGGGGTCCAATTCATTCTATGTCAAGACAAGTAGATCGTTTCCGGGAAGAGTGGTGTGTTGGGCTACCCCCTTTTGGTGTAATTCGTCAAAATGAAAAAGGTTACACCATCTAGGGCGTCTCAAAGGGGGGCCCCTAAAACATGGTTGCCCCTTCCAACGTCCACCGAGAAAACGCATTGTTCCTGTCTTCCCTTTCGCCCAACGCGCCAAAAAAGCGACCCCCCCAGTCGCTCCTTAGACTCGAGGCGCCAGATCTTCCGACAGGCGCTGCCGGAGCTGGAGCTAGAGGACGGCGCCTTTCGCGGCGAAAGCGCCGGTGTCTAAGTCAGGTCGACCCAATGTCGACCCCGGATGAATAAACCCCTGTTTATTAACATGGGGATATCCCTGGTAGTGGGAATCATCACTTTTGGAGGGGAACAGCCCCATATTCGTACACAGGGGTTGATTGATATGGGGTCAGCTTTACTCATATGTTTTCCCCATCCTCTCACGTACTTATCTAGTTATCTCCCATTTTCTACATGTAATTATCGAATTGTTCATATTTGTATCCACATCATCCCATTCAATTGTGTAATTAGTTGGTGCTTGCTACTCCCCGTCTCTACCAGCTTAATGTTGACCTCTTATTAATCAACCCCAGTTTATTAATGTGGGGGTGTCCCTGGGTTTAGTGCGGAATCATCACTTTTGAAGGGGAAGACCCCCTATTAATAAACTGGGGTTGATTAATATGCGGTCAACATTACTCATATGTTGTCCACATGATCCTGGCATTTACTTATCTAGTTATCATTCCATTTACAGTACTTATCCAATTATCGATTTTCTCTGATTATGTATTTACCTACCCTGCCTCCCACCAACATAGCATTTCTGCGAGGGCACCTGGAAGATCAGTTTCCTCCTGAAGTACTGTCAGGTGCAATGTTAGTGGGAGTGAGGGCATCTATTTAAGTATCGAATTTCTAAGCATATATTTGTGTTATCTAATTTCTATGTAGTTTGTTTTATCCAATTGCTAAGTGTTTCTTTATCATGCCATTCTCTATTCATCCACATGAGTGCCCGACAAAACGATAGATGAAAGCTGAAAATCAATACTGGACGTTGGTTCACAAAGCATGTAGAAGCCACATAACTGATAGGGGACTCTCAAAAAACAATACCCCTAAAGCGTGATACCTCACATATTGGAGCCTAGGGGTCGTCTAGATCTAAGAGTGGGATGTGAGTGAAAGAGAGATATGGAACTAATTGTTAGACTTATGTCTTTTCCAAGTGAGACCTAGAACTAAATCCAGATAGGATCATACAATTAAGCACCTAAAATAGATGGACCGAGTTGATTCGACACCCGAACTGAACCATCCCTTCATGGTTTTCTGATCCATTGGTTCATTCCCAAAACCGAGTCCCTGAGAACCAGCAAGAGTTCCGCTGCCTTCAGCCTTTGGGTCACTGCAAATACTAGGGAGCTCCTCTGACCAGTGGTGTCCTCCGGATTATGGACATTAATCTTGCCAGTTCTTCGCAGGAGGAAGCGCCCTACGTAGGGGGATTAAGTGGGCCAGTTCTTCACAGGAAGGAAGCGCCCTACTTAGGGTTTGATGTCCAGCCCTGACTACAACAGGAGGTATTACACACATACATGTTTTTCCGAATAATTACCCGAGATGAATCAAATTGGGGGACCCCCGCAACAAGAATTGATTTTGGTTTCGCTTGACACCAACCTGAAAAGGGTACCCTCACAACACAAGCACATGGATGAGCGCGCACGCGCCCGCCTGCCCGCACACACACACACACACCGCCCACGCCCACGCAAGCACGCACTCACCCACCCACACATACGAGCACACACACACACACACACTCCACACGCCACACGCCACACACCACACATCACAGACAGAGACACGCACAGAGACACACGCACAGACACGCAGACTCACAGACAAACACACACACACACAAACACACGCAGACACGACACACACACACACGCACATAGACACACACACACACACGCGCCCGCGTTGACACACACACACACACGCACACACACACACACACACGCACACACGCACACACGCACACACGCACACACGCACACACGCACACACGCACACACGCACACACGCACACACGCACACACGCACACACGCACACACACACACACACACCACGCACGCACGCACGCGCACGCACGCACGCACGCACGCACGCACACGCACGCACGCACACGCACGCACGCACGCACGCACGCACGCACGCACGCACGCACGCACGCACGCACGCACGCACGCACGCACGCACGCACGCACGCACGCACGCACGCACCCACGCACACACGCACACACGCACACACGCACACACGCACACACGCACACACGCACACACGCACACACGCACACACGCACACACGCACACACGCACACACGCACACACGCACACACGCACACACGCACACACGCACACACGCACACACGCACACACGCACACACGCACACACGCACACACGCACACACGCACACACGCACACACGCACACACGCACACACGCACACACGCACACACTCACGCACGCACACACGCACACACGCACACACGCACACACGCACACTCGCGCACACGCGCACACGCACACACGCACACACACGCACACGCGCACACGCACACATGCACACATGCACACACGCACACACGCACACAGGCACACACACAAACACACGCACACACGCACACACGCACACACGCACACACGCACGCACGCACACACGCACACACGCACACACGCACACACGCACACACGCACACACGCACACACACACACACACACGCGCACACGCACACACGCACACACGCACACACGCACACACGCACACACGCACACACGCACACACGCACGCACACACGCACACACGCACACACTCACGCACGCACACACGCACACACGCACACACGCACACTCGCGCACACGCGCACACGCACACACGCACACACACGCACACGCGCACACGCACACATGCACACATGCACACTCGCACACGAGCACGCACGAGCACGCACACGCGCCCACACACACACACACGCACACGCACACATATATGATACAAAAGGAATGCCAAACAGAAACAAGACCTTTCTTAACATTTGAGACGAAATGCCAATTTGTACGGCATGGCTCGGTCTTTGGTGTGACCTTTTGGTGTTCCTTTGGTGTTGGATACTGGTGTTGGAGCCCTGCAAGGTTTTTCCAGCGAGGTGGATGCCAGAGGCAAGTTTCCCAAACAAAGCCCCATTTCTGAGCTCCGATTTTTGTGACCTGGACACAGATGACAGATGGGGAAAGGGATTGCTTCTCACACGTCCGGTGATGAGCAATGTGGTTTCATTCTCCAACGGGTCAAGGACTCCTTTTGTTGGTGTTCCCCTATTTCGAGAAACACACATTTGTTTGCTGTGGCCTTGCTTCGCAGGAGCTGTCTGTCCACTGCCCAGGGCCAGAGACCGTTCTGCCCTGGCGCCAGATTGCGCCTTCGGCAAGACGAATCCTGCGACAGAGATGTTGGGGTTCATCAATTGGTCCACTCCCTTCCTGACCCGCACAGCAGTGCTTGCACGGAGTGCAGCCAACACCAGGCCTTCGCCTTTGATGAGGAGTCATTAAGTCATCAAACTTGTGAGCACGTCTTGTTTTGCAAGGGACTGTGCTGAGCGACCTTGCAACATGATAGTGGGGTCGTACACTGACAAACATGAGATATAGCAGGCTTGAGTTGTTTTCTCAGCTGCAGGGAAGGGTCAGACGTACCAGGAAGCAGCATTCACTGTTGACCTCTTTTGGGAAACTCAGTCCGGCGTCCTGTGTTGTCCTACAATGTCAAGAGGTAAACCTTGTCAAGCAGATCAGGGGGCTGGGTTTGAAGTTGAGTGGCAACTGCAACATATTCAGCCAGACGATGCGGTCACAAACCTGGAAGGGGGCATAACCCCAAGAAAGAAGTCGGCAAAGTTGACACTTCTGCTGCATCTCGTATCATGCTAAGGCCCACTGTTTCACCAGTAAACGAAAGTGATACAGGTGTATCAGCGATCTCATGCTACATAGATTCATAGATTCACACAGATCGATACATATATATACACATGCATACATACATTATACATGCATACATATACGTCGTATGTACAAATGTACATGTACAACAATATATATATATCACGAAAGCTAGCTTTAGCTAGCTGAAGTTTCTCCTTGCGTAAGCAAGGTAAGGGGCTCAAATGCCGAAAGATTGATTTTTTCAATTATTTGAGCCGAAAAGATTGAAAAATATCAATTATTTAGACCCCCCCCCCCTCCCCCCCCCCCGGGTCTCAGGCTCGATTCCTCCCTGGTCCATCCCCCCCCCCCCGGGCAGTGGCTCAGTGTTCAGCAGTCTCGGTTTGCCCGTTTTGGACTTGGTGCTACGAACTTTTACATGTTCCACCGATTCAGCTTGTTCGTTTGAGACCTCAGTCTTCTCAGTAAACCACCTCGCAAGAATCTTTGCACACGCAGCATGCAGAACCCAGAGGTGCTTTAAGACAGCTTCTGACGCCTCTCGTTGTTTTCATTTTTCAAGGTTTGCCACGCCACCATGTGCGTTTGCGTGTCGCATCCTACGAATCTTGCCGGGCCTCTCGTTGTACTCATGCAACAACTGCTAGCTTTCGTTCACCCGCTCCTCAAGTATAATACCTAGATACATAGACACATCGATACATGGATGCATAGATACGTAGACACAGTCGTACTTTCGTGCCAGTCATACATACGTAAATATCTATATATATATATACATATACATGTATACATTACATTGCATAGGTACATACATACATACATTACGTTACTTTGTGTTACGTTGCATTACATTACATACGCATATACATAGACATATATATATATATTGCATTACTTATGTACATACATACGTACGTCCATACATACATACAGGTACACATACATTACATTACATTACAGTACATTACACTACACTACACTACACTACACTACATTACACTACATTTCATACACACATACATACAGTACATTACGTTGCGTTGCATTACATTACATTATATTGCGTTACATTACATTTACGTTACATTACATTTACGTTACATTACATTCGGACATACATACATACATACACTACATTACGTACACACGTACATACATTACATTACATTGCATAACATTACATTGCATGACATTACATTGCATACGTACATACACACAGACATCCAGTACAATACATACATACATACATACATACATACATACGTACATACATACATACATGGACATAACATACCATAACATTACATAACACAACATGCGTACATACAGAATTGCATACATACATTCATACATACATACATGCATACATTAATACATTCCGTTACATTTCATTACACTACATTACAGTACATACGTACATACATACACACAACATAGCATGTCAGAACATACCAGAACATAACATAACACACCACAACATGACATGACATAAACTACGTACATACGCACATACATACATGCGTACATACAGGTAACAGTTCATGCCATAGCATAACATAGCATAACATAGCAGAACAGAACCTGCGTACATACATTACATCACATTACAATACAATACAGTACAATACATACATACATACATGCATGCATACACACATACATGCATACGTACATACATATACATACATACATACACACATACATACACACATACATACATACATACATACATACATACATAAATGCATACATACATACATACATACATACATACATACACACACATACACATATACATATACATATACATATACGTATACATCTACATATACATATACATATACATACACATACACATACACGTACATACATACATACATACATACATACATACATACATACATACATACATACATATACATACATATACATACATACATGCATGCATGCATGCATACATACATACATACACACAACATGGCATGCCACAACATAACATACCCTAACATAACGTACGTACATATGTACATACCATTTTAATATACAGGTATACATACAAACTCAGTGCATCACTATAGGCACAAGGTTATTTTGGCTCGACTGAGGGCGGCTTTATGCTGGCGGTGGGCGTGGTGCTGGCGGGGGCCTTCCTCTGCTGGCGCTTGGATTTGCCCTTCCGCTGGGGGCCTTCTTCCCTACAGTCGGGGAAGCTCGGCCGGGGTAGGTGGGGGTCCATGTAAACCCCGGGTGGCGGCTTCTGCAAGAATGCAAAAAAATGAGGGGAGACCAAATTTGGAGCAGAGTCACAAGAAATGATTTTCTTTGGGGAAACCAAATTTGGAGCAGAGTGGGAAGAAATGATTTTCCTTGCACCCCAGATGTGGGTCATGGAGTAAGTAGATGGTGCAATGCCTGGTAGATGTGGGAAAGCGATACGGATTAAGTAGACCAAAACGGAGAAATTGTGCCATCTTTTACCCAACTATAAATGAAGAAGGCACGCACCGTAAGGTTTCGAACCTGGATTGTGGTTGGCAGGTGCTGCAGATTTGCTACTTAATATGGGATACCCTTCAAATGGCTGGTGTCCATCAGAGGGCCCCCAATTGAAACTGATGCCCATGTCTCTACCCTACACCCCAACCCCCAAGCCCCAAAACAAGCCAACATTTCGTTCAATAGAGTTGGGTGAAAGTATATTTCATAATTCCCCCACCTGACAGGTGCGGATTTCTGCATGGCTTTGTCTATATTATATATATATATATACATGTTTGTTCTCTATATGTGTGTGTGTGTGTTTTGTTTGTATGTGTTTGTGTTTGTGTTTGTGTTGGTGAGTTTTTTGGGCGATTTTTTTTCTGTGTGTGCGTGTTTGTGTTTGTGTGTGTTGGTCATTTTTTGGGAGATTGTGTTCGTGTGTGTATGCGCTTGTTTGTGTTCTTGTTGTTCAGTTTTGTTGGACGATTGAGTTTGTGTGTGTGCTTGTTTGTGTGTGTGTGTTGGTCAGTTGTTGTTTTTTTTGGGCGAGTGTGTTTGTGTGTGTGTGTGCGGGTTTGCATGTGTTCGGTTTTGCGCGCATGGTGTGTGTGTGTATTTTGTGTAAGTGGTTGTGTCTGTGCTTGTGTGTGTGTGTGTTTGAAGGTTTGCGTGTTTGTATGTGTTTGTGTATATGTGTTTGTTTCTGGGTTTGTGTTTGTTTGTTTTGTGGTTACGTTTGTGTTTTTTTGTTTGTGTGGGTGCTTGTGCTTATGTATGTGTTTGTGTGTTTGTGTGCGTTTGCGTGCATGTGTGTGTGTGTGTGTGGATGTGTTTGCGTATGCGTGTTTGTGTGTTTTTGTTTGCTTGTTTGTGTGTGTGTGAATGTATTTGCGTGCTTGATTGTCTCTCCGTGTTTCTGTGTTTGTGTGGTTGAGTTGTGTGGTGTGTGGGGGTGTTTGTTTTTTCGTATTTGTGTGCGTGTGTTTAGGTTTGTGTGTGTGTGTGTGTCTGTGTGTGCTGGTTCGTGTATGTATATTTGTGCATGTCTTTGTTTGTTTGCTTGCTCGTTTGGTTGGTTGGTTGGTTGGTTGTGTCTCTGTCTCTCTGTCTCTCTGTCTGTCTGTCTCTCTGTTTGATTTGTTTCGAGGCTCAGCAACCCTTTTTGGGTGGCCGAAAAGCCAACCACAAAATCAAGGCCACACTTGCAAAGCGCCTCTGGCTGCTGTCTTGTCCGGGGGGGTATCAAAGTCGAAAGCTCTTGCCCTTGAACCTGCCACTTAGGTGACTTTGACAGCTTTGACAATTACAACTTAGGTACCTTCATGGCGAAATCGTCACTTGCTCGAATCGATTTGACACAAAGCAGCATCGAGCACCGAGCGGCAGTTTTGACACCACGGAAAGCTCCTGTATCTGCAGGCGTGAACCTTTTGACGACCCCGTGGCAGCTATGGCCCGAGTTTGGGGTAAACTCCGATAGGTCTATTTCCACAGTGAACCCCCAGAAGTGCCGCTGAGGGTTTGGCACCCCTTGTGACGATACTAACTGTAGTGACTTTGGTACAATCATGGGGTCAGCTGGATGTGTTCTGGGGTGGTTTCCCATTTAAGAGTATCCTCAAAAGCCAGCTCAAATCCCACTCGCCAAATCAATGAAGAGTCGTAGGAAAATGGGCGTACTTTTCGGCTGGTATTTGAAGGAGGTGTCCCTTCCAAAAGCAAACATAGTCGCTAGCAACCCACGTTGGGATGAGGAGCGCCTCCATCGAGGAGCACTACGAGGGCCTCGAAGACGAGGGTAGCGAGCTGGGACGCTACGGCTGAGCGCGCCTTTGCTCGCGCTCCGATGGGTTGCTCGGATGGGTTTGGGGAGACGGTCATGTTGGGCTCACTTTTGGCTTTACACGTATGACCTTTTGGAGTAGATAAGTTTCCTTTTTGGGGTGTGTAAGGACATGGGAGCACTGTCTTGGCTTTGAATTGCAGGGCCTCCTTGTTGTTGCCGTGTTGGCATCTCCGAGCCAAATATTCTCGAGCACTTGTCAACCAATTCCGAGACCAGGGCCAAAGTTGTTACATTCTCAGCAGTTTCTGCGCGGGGCATGTACATGATGAACTTTCGGGCATAGCACGCGGCTACTGCTTGTGGTGAGTCCATGTGCTGCAACACAAGTTGCATGGAACCCGAATCAACTGGCTAAAAGATCCAGAACAAAGAAATTGAATAACCCCAAACAAACCGTCCTCCATCTGGGAGAGAGAAATGGATTGGATGATCCCCTTGTGGATTCACCTGTTCTTCTTCCTTTTGATCCTTGTTTAGTGCTTTTCTAGCACTCTATCCTACCGGCTGGAAAGTTGCAGGCAACCGAGAACCTTCCGAGTTCATTTTGACCGAGTGTCACTGGTGTGAGTTGTCGTTTCCCGGCTCGCCGGATTCCACAAGCTGCCAAGGCGCCACATAAACTGACAGCGATTTTGGCGCCAAAGATTTGCCCGAGCATTGTACGGACGTGCCCGCGGGCGCGCCACGGAACGCTGGAAGGCGATGCCTTTTGACGGGCGAAGAGAAAGAGAGCGAGTGCAACTTCCTGGCGCGAAGTGACAATGATAGAAGCCTGCCTATTGTATTGCGCGCTAAAAACTGGCGCGGAAAGAAGCTCACTATGACTGAGGTTCTTTACTTCGGGGGTTCCTTATTTCGACTTTTGGAATTATCGCAACATTTGGGACTCAGGCTGCAGGTTGCATACACTTGCTGTGAGCCCAGAGTCAGCAACGCATGCCACGTGTACGCTAGATGGGGGCAACACGTCTGAGTGGCAACTCGTTTTCTTGCGTTACGGTGGAACTTGATTCCTGGCATTCCGGCAGTGGCTCCACCAAGAATAACCTTATTGACGTGGCTCGTTTTTGGAGGCTCAGTACCCTTTTTGGGCTGCTAGGAATAAAGTATAACCAACAGGATCCACTAGGAAAGCCGCAGCTAGTTTATGGGTCTAAATCTCTATTTTGGCACACACGCTTCTGCAGCTTATGGGCAGTTTAAAGGCTACAGGTCCCTCAAGGCTGTACCGGGAAGGAAGACCTCCTGCAATCCGATGGTGTGCCTGTCGAACTGTAGGACACCCAAACGAAAGAGGGGTACTGTATCCCTGGATAAAGCTCAGGAGAAGCCCTTAATACAGCCTTTATTAGGGTTTGTAAGATCGGTGATAGTTGTATATCCCCTCCAACTTTGTTTCCAATAGCCCTTGTTCATCCTTGTCTATCCATGTGTTGTTTTCCCGTTGGGCATTCGACGGCTCCATGACCTGGGGCTTGACAACCATGCCGAGTCTTCCCTTAAAGGGGGAAACATGCGACCGCAATGAAGGCACACTGCAAGCCGAGCCAATCGCAATGGCCCCGTGCCTGGCAGCAATGATGAAACAACGACAGTTTAGCAGCACCACTTCAAGAAGCTTTGGGGCCTGGATTCTGTGTATGGGCAAATTACAACGAGCTCACCTGGGAAATGAGCACACTGAAGGTTGCTTCGGAATCCCCTACTTCTGGTTCGAGAGTTATAGCTGCGCAGTTGTTCCAGTTTTGCACGCAAGGCAGAGAGCAAGGCAGAGAGCAAGGCAGAGAGCAAGGAAGACAAGGAAGCAGACAAGGAGGAAGGCAAGGACGACAAGGCAGAAGCAGCCGAGGCAGGGCGGCTAGGGGGCTTGGAGGGTGGTCAAGGTGCATGGCTGGTCACCATTTGGGTTTTATTTGTTTAATGCTTGACTTGCATATACTTGATGTGTTTGTCCACAAGTTTCCCTAAATTCTTGTCATTTGGTTGTTCATTTTGATTACATACATAACAAATTATCGAAACACTCACACATGTATCCTTAGCCCAGTCCGTTAGACCTTTTCCTATTCCTGAGTTTCGCTGAAGCTGCAATGGGGTATGTCTTTTTTGTTGGGGCAGGAGACCCGTTCACAATTGAGTGTGGTTACCCCGGTGATATCACTACGTCACTCGATGAGCTTCCAGCTAGTGTTCAGTTTTGCTGGGAAACTAATTGCCCTGGAATTTGTGTAGGCTTCTAAATGGTCGGTTTAGCAGCTATGAACTACAGGCTATGTGGGTTTTCCACGACAACCATTTATTGTTGCAGCATTCGCCCATGGCACGCAGCCTGCAGCCACCAAAAAGGGGACCGGGAGCTGGCGACGCAGCTGGTCTTCTCAGCATGCGATGAGCACGCACCATGCTTGCCAAACAAGGTTGACGTGCACGCATTCATGCTGCCGGACGGGGCATTCGGGTTGCCAGCAGCTGAATAGTGAGTAAGAAGCCAGTTGGCAAATGAACCCCCAATGGTGGCAACCACACATGTCACAGCTGGCAGCTTTAGGTGCAAACAGCACCTATCCAGTGCTTCCAGTGGCCACTATATATAATATATGGCTGTGGCTCAGAAAAGTGTGCCAAAATGGCTCCTTGGCAAATGAAACCAAAGACTAAAACATGCGCAACCCTGGTTCTTTGATTTTGAACCACCCATATACTTTAGAGCCTCCGGCTCAGTCTGCCGACATTGTCCTCTCCCTTTTCTCCTGCTTCCTCTCTCCCTTGTCTCCCTGGTGTGTTCTGTCGACCTCTCTCCCTCCCTCCGCTCCCCATCCTCCCCATCCCCCCAAGCCACTCTCTCCCCAATCTCCCTCTCTCGTATGTATGTATGCATGCATGCATGTATATATGTATGTATGTATGTATGTAATGTATGCATGTATGTAATGTAATGTAATGTAATGTAATGTAATGTAATGTAATGTAATGTAATGTAATGTAATGTAATGTAATGTATGTACTGTATGTATGTATGTATGTATGTATGTATGTATGTATGTAATGTATGGATGTATGTATGTATGTATGTAATTAATGTAATGTATGTATGTATGTATGTATGTATGTATGCAATGCAATGCAATGCAATGCAATGCAATGCAATGTAATGTTGTAAGTATGTATGTATGTATGTAATGTATGTATGTATGTATGTATGTAATGTATGTATGTATGTATGTAATGTATGTATGTATGTATGTATGTATGTATGTATGTATGTATGTATGTATGTATGTATGTATGTATGTATGTATGTATGTATGTAATGTATGTATGTATGTATGTAATGTATGTATGTATGTATGTATGTATGTATGTATGTATGTATGTATGTATGTATGTAATGTATGTATGTATGTATGTATGTATGTATGTATGTATGTATGTATGTATGTATGTATGTATGTATGTATGTATGTATGTATGTATGTATGTATGTATGTATGTATGTATGTATGTATGTATGTATGTATGTATGTAATGTATGTATGTATGTATGTATGTATGTATGTATGTATGTATGTATGTATGTATGTATGTAATGTATGTATGTATGTATGTATGTATGTAATGTATGTAATGTATGTATGTATGTATGTATGTATGTATGTAATGTATGTAATGTAATGTAATGTATGTAATGTATGTATGTATGTATGTAATGTAATGTAATGTATGTATGTAATGTAATGTATGTATGTAATGTAATGTAATGTAATAATGTATGTATGTATGTATGTATGTATGTATGTATGTATGTATGTATGTATGTATGTATGTATGTATGTATGTATGTATGTATGTATGTATGTATGTATGTATGTATGTATGTATGTATGTATGTATGTATGTATGTATGTATGTATGTATGTATGTATGTATGTATGTATGTATGTATGTATGTATGTATGTAATGTATGTATGTATGTATGTATGTATGTATGTATGTATGTAATATGTATGTATGTATGTATGTATGTATGTATGTATGTATGTATGTATGTATGTATGTATGTATGTATGTATGTATGTATGTATGTATGTATGTATGTATGTATGTATGTATGTATGTATGTATGTATGTATGTATGTATGTATGTATGTATGTATGTATGTATGTATGTATGTATGTATGTATGTATGTATGTATGTATGTATGTATGTATGTATGTATGTATGTATGTATGTATGTATGTATGTATGTATGTAATGTATGTATGTATGTATGTATGTATGTATGTATGTATGTATGTATGTATGTATGTATGTATGTATGTATGTATGTATGTATGTATGTATGTATGTATGTATGTATGTATGTATGTATGTATGTATGTATGTATGTATGTATGTATGTATGTATGTATGTATGTATGTATGTATGTATGTATGTATGTATGTATGTATGTATGTATGTAATGTATGTATGTATGTAATGTATGTATGTATGTATGTATGTATGTATGTATGTATGTGTATGTATGTATGTATGTATGTATGTATGTATGTATGTATGTATGTATGTATGTATGTATGTATGTATGTATGTAATGTATGTATGTATGTATGTATGTATGTATGTATGTATGTATGTATGTATGTATGTATGTATGTAATGTATGTATGTATGTATGTATGTATGTATGTATGTATGTATGTATGTATGTATGTATGTATGTAATGTTGTATGTATGTATGTATGTATGTATGTATGTATGTATGTATGTATGTATGTATGTATGTATGTATGTATGTATGTATGTATGTGTAATGTATGTATGTATGTATGTATGTATGTATGTATGTATGTATGTATGTATGTATGTATGTATGTATGTATGTATGTATGTATGTATGTATGTATGTATGTATGTATGTATGTATGTATGTATGTATGTATGTATGTATGTATGTATGTATGTAATGTATGTATGTATGTATGTATGTATGTATGTATGTATGTATGTATGTATGTATGTATGTAATGTATGTATGTATGTATGTATGTATGTATGTATGTATGTATGTAATGTATGTATGTATGTATGTATGTATGTATGTATGTATGTATGTATGTATGTATGTATGTATGTATGTATGTATGTATGTATGTATGTATGTATGTATGTATGTATGTATGTATGTATGTATGTATGTATGTATGTATGTATGTATGTATGTATGTATGTATGTATGTATGTTATGTATGTATGTATGTATGTATGTATGTATGTATGTATGTATGTATGTATGTATGTATGTATGTATGTATGTATGTATGTATGTATGTATGTATGTATGTATGTATGTATGTATGTATGTATGTATGTATGTATGTATGTATGTATGTATGTATGTATGTATGTATGTATGTATGTATGTATGTATGTATGTATGTATGTATGTATGTATGTATGTATGTATGTATGTATGTATGTATGTATGTATGTATGTATGTATGTATGTATGTATGTATGTATGTATGTATGTATGTATGTATGTATGTATGTATGTATGTATGTATGTATGTATGTATGTATGTATGTATGTATGTATGTATGTATGTATGTATGTATGTATGTATGTATGTATGTATGTATGTATGTATGTATGTATGTATGTATGTATGTATGTATGTATGTATGTATGTATGTAATGTATGTAATATGTAATGTATGTAATGTATGTATGTATGTAATGCAATGTAATGTAATGCAATGTAAGGTAAGGTAATGTAATGTAATGCAATGTAATGTCAAGTATGTATGTATGTAATGTATGTATGTAGGTCCGTCTGTCTGTATGTATGTATGTATGTACGTATGTATGTATGTATGTACGTATGTATGTATGTATGTAATGTAATGTAATGTAAAGTAAAGTAATGTAATGTAATGTAATGTATGTATGTATGTAATGTAATGTAATGTATGTAATGTAATGTAATGTAATGTAATGTAATGCAATGTAATGTAATGTATGTATGTATGTAATGCATGTATGTAGGTCTGTCTGTTTGTCTGTATGTATGTCTGTATGTATGTATGTATGTATGTATCCTTGCACTTCCCCTTTGCTCCCCAGTATTTCCCGCAAAATACACGGTTTTTCCCGCGTTTTCGCAAAGAGGATGTCCAAAAACACAGAGTTTTGCCAGATTTTCGGCAAAAGGATGCAGGAAGCCCAAGCCAGCAAAAAAGCCGGCAGGGGGAATCGAGCCTGGGACCCCTGTTTTGCGACACCGGGTCCCCGAAGACTACGTTTAGTGGAACGTCATCAAACTGCCGCGCGGTCCTTGGGGGGGGGGGGCCCCCCCCTCCCCCCCACGTATCAGACGTCGGGTGGGGGGGGGTTAGGGGGGGGGTTATCCTCTATCCTCTCTTAGGTGTCCGACACGCCGAGCAATGTCGGCGGACATAGGTATGCAGGGGAAACCATCACGCAAATCCTAGAGGCAAAACTTCCCGGTTCTTTGGGTGGCTTCGCAACCGATTGTTACTCAACTCAAACGCGTCTCCGCCAGGGCTCCAACGACACCAACGCCACAGACGAGCCAGAGGCGGAATTGCGATGCATTGCATGGGCTCATGCTTTGCACGTCCCTCTGGGCCAGGAGCCTCTTCCAAAAATCATCGCAGCGCCCAAACCCCACTGTCCTTGGTAGTAGGTGGTTCCAGCATCTGTTTCAATTTGGGATTGTAGCTTTGTAGTACTGTATGTGATAAAATAGGCGACACCAACAATTGTGGTTCTCCTTTTGGTTTCCCTTTACCGAGCTAAAGCATACGGTTCCAAATGCAAGTAGTTTATCTTGCCTTCCTGTCAGCTGAGGGAATCCAGGTCCGCTCACGCCTGGTTTGTTGCCTTTTCAGGTGTTGGGAAAGCAAAAGGAAGCCGAATCGCAATTTTAGAGTGTCTTTTTCGGGGACCCTCCCACCAAAAAAGAGAAGAAGTGGTTTTTTTCTGTTGGTTTTTCATTAACCAACACACAGGAAAGGGATACCCTCAAAAAACAACACACCCATTTCGGGGTTTTGCTTCTCTTCCGCCAGCCCGAAAGTTGAGATTCTGAAAGGCCTTTCTCCCAACTAGGATGCTGAACCAAGTTAGTAGGCTAATAACTCCATGGATGTCTGGGGTTACCGGGTTACCTACATGTACCAAGTTGGTCCTCCGTTGAACATAGCAGGTGGTGCTGAAGCAGAAGAAGAAGAAGCATGAGAAGAAGCTCAAGCTCGAGAGGCCTCGCCGTTTTACTGTGAAGAAGCTGTTCGCCGGGGGGGGGGGGGTTCTGCTTGTTCTTGGTTCGCTGGAAGGCTGAGGCCCGTGGGCTGGTTGGTTTGTTTGGTTTGTTTGGTTTGTTTGGTTTGTTTGGTTTGTTTGTTTGTTTTGGTTGTTTGGTTTGGTTGGTTGGTTTGGCTGGGTGGTTTAGCTGGGTGGTGCTTGAAAGTGAGGTAGAACGTATTTCGAAAGGCAGATGAGCAGAGCTCTGATGAAAATGGCTCGGAAGCCAGCGGCAAAGCCACCTGCCCTGCTCGACGTAGAGGGGACAGAGTTCATCCGATTTTCGCACAGCCGTCATTGTCTAGCAGCCATTTCAATCATTGCTTCCTTCAGGCGTAGGTAAGCAGAAGTCAGGGCCTGTACAGGCCGAGTTCAGATTTGATACAAAACATATTTGAACAGGTGAACAGTTGTGGCCTCTCCCTGTCCCCGTTCGGAAGTGACATCCTTTTTTCACAGACCTTGCAAAGGTATCGTTTTAGCATGTGCACACATTGCCACGCAATTCCGCTGGCTTCCAGGCGAGGAAGGTCCTGTCCTGCAGGAAAGTTCCTACGTCTTCCGGGGAGTTTCGCGCCCTCAAAGATTTGTTGAATGTGCATGGTGTAGGACCCCCAGGAAGCAACTCTGGCAGAGAGGCACACCGTTTGGCAGAAATCAGTGCCGCCCGCATCGGGAACCCAGAAGTTTGCCAGGATGGACTACAAGCCCAAGGCTTTGTCCGAGGAGAAGATCGAGCAGCATCTCGGAAGCACCATAGTTTAACGTGTTAATTTGGGGAGGGTGCCAAGAATTTGCAATTTGCGAGTTGGGCTTGGGTTCGGAAGAACAGTGTTGCTATGTGGCTTGGTTTTGGTTCGGGACAAGCCACGTGAGCAGGAATTGGTGAATGGTTTTTGCCACGGGATCGCAAACCAGCAAGGTGTCCATACAGACAGCCAGAACAAATTTCCAGGAAAAAAAACGAACTGGAGTCTCCATGACCCGTAGCATATGGGGCCATACGTAAACACCCACAAAAACAGATCATGCCCCCTGTCTCCAAGGGTCATGGACACTCCAGGTACCGTGCAGAATCAGAAGCTGCGTCCATCCTGCATCAAAGCCAACCTGCACTTGGGGCTGCTTTCCTGTGGACCACGAAGAGTTTGTATGGGCCTGTCATCGGTTGCCTTCATCTTCGCCCATGCAATCCGCGTTGGCCATGTTTCCAGATGGGACTCGGTGAGTTTCGATGATTTCAGATGCCCTTTGCCGTCTTTGTCCTTGCATTGACCAAAAGATTCTTCTCAGTGGGTGAACCCCCTCTTTTGGTGGGTAAGGGAAACCAAAAGGAAGCCAACCATTAGGGTACTGGAAACCAAAAGGAAACCTCAAAAGGAAACCCCAAAAGGAAACCAAGCCGTTTTTTTTGTGTATCACTCTTTCTTTCTTTTTTCGCAAAACGGCTTCTCTCGACATCCTCAAACTCCGTTTCGCAAATTTTAGCTCGTGGCTTGAATAATTTTCCGAGTGACGCCACGCAGTCTCGAGCCGTGCACTCTGCTTTTCAGGTTAAAGGGAAACCACATTTTGCCATTGCGGGTGCTGGTTAATAAAGTGTTTTTTTTTTGTTTTCAAAGTCCGGGGTCAACATGACCTTCACATTTTGGACCTGGTGCGGCTGACCCCCGAGGCTGCAGAAGCGTCTCAAGGAGCTCCAGGAGCACGAGGAGGAGGCGGGGAATCTGGCGAAGGGAAATTGGAAGCCAGGGGCTTTGGACCTAGTTGGGTGTGGCTCAAAATTAGACAGGGCCGAGTTGATTTTCAGAAACAAGTGGATTTCAGAAACAAAAAAGGCGACTGCACATGGGTGTGGCTCAAAATTACGCAGGGGGGGGGGGGAAGCCGCAGGTTGAATCGTCCATGTTTCCACTTGGGGCAACCCATTTTGGAATTCGGGGCCACAGAATTCATATTCGTCGACAAAAAGAGCTTTGCCACCCTTGATGTGGAGATTTTGACCCAGATTCTGCCGCCTTCTCTAATTGGCATTGCCAGCATTGGTTGAGGGCGTGTTGCTTGGGCTGTCTCCATGTCTTGCTCCTTTCAAGTATAACAGTCTGGCAATAGAAAAACAGCTTGGATAATGCAGTTAGGGCCTGCAAGACTGTTCTCAATTGATTTACAAGTCACTTGCTGCACACACCCGCACATAGTTTACCATATATATGTCATATATGTAAAACAAATGCTGGGGTGATCGTACACCAGTGGGCTCTCGTAAGCAACGTTACAAACATGCTTGTTTGTGCGCATGCACGGATTCTATCAACCTAAGGATTGCTCAACACATGTGACCCGGCACATCATATTTTCAGGCGATGCTGCGTGGGATCATATTAGGTGTCAGATGCATCAGCCTGAGCAGGAGAATGGCCACTATTGGATGAATAGGATTTAGCCTTTTGGTTAAAAGCTATTGGATTAATATCGACTCGTGGTGTTAATGATGCGTTTCTGAGTCGGGACCCGTTTCGTCAGTGCACCTTTTCTCAGCGAGGCACTTGGACAAATTGCCTCCTTGGGGGGGGGGGGGGGGCGGATTGCTTGGGCCCCCTTGCGGGCCAGCTGAGCTTTCGCGCCAGGACGGGGTACGCCCGCAGTGGGTAGGGGAACCCCCAAAAAGGTGTGGTTTTTTGTTGATGTTTCCTTAAACCAACCCAAAAAGGGTCCCTCGAAAAAGACGCCCGATCACACCCGTATAGACGTTTATATTCATGCTGGAGCCTCAGCTGAATTTGTTAAATGGGATCAACTGGGATTTGTCTCATGGAACTCCCGGCTGGTTTGGGTGTTGCAAATAGGCACCCTCAGGTATTGATCAATGGTGGGTTTTCCTCTTGGATTCTCGTTACACCAAGGGGGCAGTCCCAATTTTGAGAAGCCCCATTTCTGGGGTCTCCTCCATTTGTGTTATCAATGTCTAATCGGGGTACAGCACATGAAACCAAGACTATGTTTTTCTGTGTACTCTTTTATTTGGCCCAAGGACCCTTTACTATGTTAGTACCCGGACGGAGCCGAAAGTCTCGCGTGACACGGGCGCTGTTTCCTTTCGCACGGCAACTCGCGAGCTCAGCGATCGCTCGCAAGAGGTTGCGGCCATGGCGGGTCTGCGAAACGAGCTGGAGGCCTACATCTACGGCAGCCCGAGACCTACGGCTCGGCGGTAAGCCAAGGGGTTCTTTTGGAATAAGGCAGAGGTCATGGCAACGGGTACACGGCGTGCAGTAAAAGTTGGCTTGGACTCAAGTCGATATGCCAGGTGAAGGGATGGCGAGCTTTTTTTGACTTCAGTCAGAGAGAAGCTTTTGCCTCTTGCAAGTGTTTTCCGCAGACCCCATCCGCTCAACCGCGGGTGAAATTAACAGCGCAATCAGCGCAATCTGTGTGGCAGGTGTGGGGCGGGGCAATTATCACACCCTTGTAGCGTCCAAAATTGACCGCGCAAACCTGCGTGTTGGTCTGACCGTGTAGGGTTCTAGGGGGAAAGGTCTATAGGAAATATAGGCTGGCGTTTTGAGCTTCAAGAAGCTCAACTCCGAGTTTGACAGCGGCCCTCAGGATTTCACAAGAGTTTTCTTTTCGGATCTTCAGGAAGGTGCCAACATCTCGCAGAAGGCCATTTGCGTTTAGATCTTTCTTGCGGCCGTGGCTGTTTGTACGTCCTGGAGTTCGTTCCCCCTTCAAAGGCACATGCCGCTGCTTGAATTTAAAGTAAGCATCAAAGTGCCTGCACTGCCTGGATTCTTTGATGCATTCTCTTTGGTGCAGTGCAGGCTTAGCCACTATCTTTCTGGAGCTGTTGGAGTTTCCATACCTGCAGAGTTCGACATGTTTTGCTCAGAGACTCACTGAAAGACTCCGAGTTGGGAAGCGGTATGGCTGGAATTGCCTGGAGCAGCGGGCCTTAAAGATTCCTAGAGGATTGCCAAAAGTCCAACAGATGTTCCAATCCCAGAGCTGAGCGTGGCGCAACCTCAGAATGCCCTGGTTGGAAAGGAAGGAGCAGGTGCCCCTCATAATAAAAAGCAGGCGCTTCGTGAGCATTTTGTAACGTTGTATTTGTGGGCCACTGGAGTCCCTATTGGATTGGTGCTGGAGAACACTGGTGTGAATTTGGTGAGATGTCTTTCTTATTTGGTGCCTGTTTCGGCGCCAGCAGGCACTTTGTGTGTCTTGTAAGCGCAAATTCTTGCCTACCTCCCACCCATTCTTTGGAGTCCAAAACGTAACAATATATACGGTGAGCGATTTTGTGCGCGTGAGATTCCTTTGTTACCCCTTTTTGCTTCGCCACAACCAGATTCTATAAATGTTGCAAAGATCATTCTTTCGGTATGTCTTCCTCGCTTGGCCGCGGCAAACACGCCAATGGGATCAACTGCAGTGCTTGGCAGAACAAGATTTTGTGAGTTGTTAGCGTAGGCTTCGGAGGAATCAGGCTTTTGGATTCAGCTCAATGGTTGAAGCTAGGCAAGTGGCATTCGGTTCCAGCCAATATCACATGGTTGTTGTCATGGGTGTTGGCATTTCTTCACTGATTGACGTAAGTGGCGACGTGCAATGAGCCTGTCTCAGGCCGGGACAAGTTGGAGAGGGACGACATTGTCAAGGCAGGGGGTTCTCGTTTTGTCTTTGTTTTTTTGCAAGACAAATGGTTCCATGAAAGTGACATCCTCAAAATTAACCTCTTAGTTGCGGTTGAAAGGGATGCCACCCTGAAAAGTAATTTGGAGAGCCCTTAACATGCGACCACAGCACAGGAAGCTGGCAAAGGACAACAAGGCATGAGGGCAAGGCATAGTCCAAGCATTTGGGCACCTTTCCGTTGAGCAAACGTAATGCTAGCTGACAGCCGGAATCTCGCGAGCACAACCACCCGCTCGGCAGCGAGATACAATTCCTGCCCTCCTTTTGTCTTTTCTTGAACCGGGCGAAGTCACCAAACTCATGTTCATTCATGCCTAAATCCATACATCAATTATGTTGTAAGCAAGCACGCAAGTGAATGCCCTGGTCCATGGCACACGCCTGTCTCCCTTGCGGCTAGCTGAATGAGCGGGCGGAAGTGCGGCATCGCGTGGATATTCCGCGGCCACTCCAAGATCCATTCGCCCCATGAACACTTCCACCTCGTCGCTTCGTTTGCAGCACACCAACAGGTAACCAAGTCATGAGGCCTTTTGAGACGTTGGCCCGGGTGCCAACGTGCTCTCGTTGAAGCCAAGCATGCGCCTTTTCAGTCACTGGACTGGGCTTTAGCAGGAATCCAGATGCCAGGCCTCTCACAGAAGATACTTGGATTGTTCAGATGTTTGCCTGTGACAACTCAAATCCTCCCTTGGTCCTGCCGCACTTTGAACCCCCTGCCGCAGGCAAGCCTTGTGCGACGCAGGTATAGTAAACGGTTTCGTGCTGCGACACGAGAATTTGATCCGCACCCTGCACTGATGGAACCAGTTTAAGCCAAGGAAGCCACACAAGGACCCAAGAGTCCGGCCTGTCAGGTTCCATGACATCCCTTCAAGCCTATTGAACAAAGTTTCTAAGCTCATACTTTCCGCTTTCCTTCAAGCAAAGGATGCGAAACCGTAATTGCGTGTTTTGGCCTTTTGAAGGAAGCCACACAGAGAAAGGTGTATGTGTTCTCGTATTTTTGTTCAGCTCCTTGCTATTTTGGGCATTTTTCGCGGCCCGTCTTTTTGACGACATGAGAATGGGTATTTACTGGCATGATTGAAAAATCCAAACCCTCTATTCTTTGGTCTTTGGTGTTACCCCAAAGGCCCAAAAAGGGACCTTTCGGGTTTACAGCTGGCTGTCCATGAAACCTACCAAGAAGCATGCAGCCCTACTGAGATCGACAAAATCCGTTTCGCCACCTAAAAACCCTGATTCAAATGTCTGCTTCAACATAAATACCATATGTTATGGTTTCAACTCCATGGTTTAGCCAAGTGGGTATGGGTCAAACTTAATCCAGCAGGGGACCGCAGGTTTGAGTCCATGTTTCCACTTACCAGGGCAACCCATATTCGGGTTGCCCTGTTTTTGACAACCACAGCCAAGTTGTAGGGTTTCTGGTTCCATTTTGGGCACCATTTTTTTTGACAACCGCAGCCAAGTGGTGTTTTGTTTTCTTCTGGATTTCGCCACCAGCTTGCCACCAAGCGCTTAGGTCTCCACGGAGGAGCAGCGCCAGGAGATCCTGAAGCTCTGCCGCGAACTCGGAACTCGGGTCGCCGACGACGGGATCCCCCGAAATGAGTGGGGCTGCCCTTTGGGTTGCCCTTGAAAGACCCCACTAAAAGGGGTTCCCTCAAAAAAGACACATCCATTTGGTGCGAAATAGATGGAACCCAGGAACCAGGAAAGCCAGAGGTTGAAAAGCCATGGTGCTTTCCTTTGTTTAAGGGTGGCTCCCTTGGTTACAACTGGAGTCAATAGGATAGTATTCCCCCGAGTGACTATGGTTTCAATGTACCCTCAGACCCCTGAAAATAATTAGGCCCTTACTGGTGAGTTTATGCAAGCCTTCAGGATCTCCCAGAAAAATGGGAAGACTTGGCTCCATAATACGGTTAACTGTTTGCCGATGAATTTCAACAGGAAACGATTGGCGGACACCTCACAAATGCGACCTTGATGTCTACCAAAGGGTCCAGCCTGATTAACATTTACACCCACCTCTTTTTTCAGGGGTATCTTCTTCTTCTGGCAACTCGGGTTGCGCACGTAAAACAGCGGCCCCAAAAACCAAACGGGTGACTGCTCGCCTGCTTTAGGCACAGAGTACGAGGAGTGGATGTACGAGGCGACGCCCTGCGATGTGACGCGCAAAACGCAGGGGGGACTGTCTAATGATAGGTAATCTAATTCTATTGGTTTGGGGAGGGCAGGAATGGGAACCCACCCAAACTTTGACCAGAAACCAGGTCCCTGGTGGTCCACAAAAACCCAGTCCCTGGCACCAATGTTGGCTCTGGCTCCCGATCGACTTTTTGCCTGTGGTTTGTATGCTGATTTGGAGCCAATCTGCTGGGGAGACGAGGGGAGCACTCCAAATCAAATGATTATTAACCGCCATCTCCATGAGGATCGTTAAACAAATCCTGCAACATGTGGCTGGTGCTTCCTTGCCACGGCACGAGGCAGCTTCCGCTCAGGCAGCTTTGCCAGCTGGTATGACCGATTCGCCATAGCAGTTTGCCTGAGGCAGCAAACTGGGTGTGGCTCAAAATTAAACAGCTAGGGCAAACCGCAGGTTTTAGTCTTTGGTTCCATTTGCCTCAGCCATTTTGGGTTGCATGTTTTTGAGCCACAGCCAACTGGGGAAGCTGCTCGGGGACGCGTTTCGTCCATTTCCTTCCGCGCCGTCAAGGGCTCGTCGAAAGGCTGGGGCCGCCAAGAGCGAGTTCGAGACCAAGCTGAAGGCCTTGCAGGAGAGATTTGCTTTCGGATTTCGCTGGCGGTCGGTGGTGTTGTTTTTGTTCACTTTGTTTTTGTCGGTGGTTTTTGTTCACTTTGTTCACTTTTTGTTCACTTTTTGTTCACTTTTGTTCACCTTTGTTCACCTTTGTTTCTTTTTTCTTCGCACCTTCCATTGGGTTGGGATGTTTGGGGATTTGAACCGCGGCTTGTTGTAGAGGGTAGATGGGAAAGCACTCCCTCACCACCAAACCACCAATTAGAGGGAAGCCATTGGTGTCCCGAAACATGTTCATTATACCTAGTTGGTTGCGGGTCACGACCCCAGCCCTCTGGAGCGCACCGTGTCCTTGGAAAACCAACACAAAAGGGCACCATCAAAACAAAGAGACAAACCCGGATTCGGGCACCCCATGTTGATTCCCTTGGAGGGGATATGTCACTTGTTGAAGAAGCCACGTGGACTCTGGCAGGTTTCATCCGAGATTGGGGCTCACCACTGCTCAGACCTCATATGACCCCACATAAATGGTCCCGTAAACGAAAGGCTTAGAAGCTTCGATGGTTTCTAGTCAAAGACATAATTTGGTTTGTGTCGATTGCTGAATGTATGTGCCCATATATGAACCCCTGGTATGAACCCCTAGTTTATGGGTTAATTAGCCGATACCTATGGCTTAATTATGTGGTATCAGCCCCAAAGGGCAAGTGTTCATATATGGACCTATACAATCAGCTTTTCATTGTGATGTTTCTGAGCGTCCTGAAAGGACCTGCTTGGGCTTGAGGCTGACAGGTTCTCTCAGACGTCTTGCAACAGCAGCCAGGCATCAACTCTTGCAACTGAGGGGAGGGGGTCCCTAGAAGGTAACTATCTAAGAAATCACCTACTGGAATTTCTACTGCAAATCCTTGGTTTTGGCGGGTAGCTGGCCCATTTCCTGCAGAATGTGCTGTTAATCAGAAATTTGGGCACCCTTCCCAGTGAACTTCCTTATTTGTGCTTGAGGAATGGAACTGGACCGTGGTGTCTTTCAGTTTCCACAAAGGGTGCTTCTCAAAATGGGTTGCTTGTCTTTCTTAAGAATCGAGCACCCAAAACCATGTGTTCCCTTTTGGCTTCTTTAACACACACAAACAAAAGCCATAGCAAGGCGCCCTGAAAGAAAGGACGCACGCAAATGGGTTCCGAAAAGCCACTCCTTTTGGTTGGAGGAAAACCAAAAGGAAACTTTGTGGCCGTCAGAAACATCGCAGGACCTCCTTGGCCCCATGGAAGAGCGGGCCATTGAGCTTGAGGCAATGCGGTCGCGCGGCAGATGTTTTTTTTGGAACTGCACTTGAAGTGAACATCAAACCACGCTGTTTGGTTGTGTTGCTGTTTTGTTGTTTGATTTTTGGGGGGTCCAACTTAAAGTAGCCACTGATTTGTCGTGTTGTTTTATTTTTTTTGCGAGGGCCCAACTTAAAGTAGTCACCTTTAGAGGGATTCACACAATTATTGTGGGTGGTGATTCCCTCAAAGCCACCCATTTACAAGGTAAATTTGAGGATGTTACTTTAACGGACCCAGGAATATATGAAGGGCCAGCGCCCCACAAACCCAGTCTAGTTGGGCACATGTCGCAAATTCGGCCCCCGGCAGTGTTGAATCATGGCTCGGGCCATGCAAAACGCAACCAAACCAACAAGCAACCAGCCATCAGACCGTCCGGCCGCACCGAAGAAACGATCGACTCCCAGCCAGGTGGCCATCCATCCACTCAGCCAACCAACCCACCAACAAGATGCAGATCAGATGCAGGCTGCTGACATGGATCCTGTGGGCGCTGCTAGCCCGTGGTACATGGCCGCGGAGTATGCGGAGGGCTCTGATGGAATGGATTCTGAACTCAACCAAACCTGCCTGCGGCAAGCTCCGATCAGAAACGATGGCACTCAGATATGATATGGGTACCCTTTTCGAGGTTTAAAGGAAAGCCAATGGGAAATCACCCAAAAATGGGGTGTGCCCCGTTCCGGAAATTGCCAGATGCGTAATTGACACTAGAGAGCTGAGTATTGAGCGCATAGTTCTTCTAATTTTTGTGGCGAGCTTACCTGGCGGAAGCTGACCTCAGCAAGTAGGTCCTTCACGGATCCCTGTTTCAGGTTCTGGGGTATTTAGATGGTCTGGAACTGAGCTAAATGCTTAGTAGCCCTGGTTGCGGCCCATCTACACTTACAACCTAGGCGATAAGTGGCAACCATGATTACTAACCGCCACTTGGCGAAGTTCGGGACTATCTGGGTATGAGTCAGACTTCAACCACCGCGGACCGCAGGTTTTGGTCCATAATTTCCGTGTTACCAGGTTTCCATGTTGGATACCTACTTGTGACCCACCGACATCTAAGTATGAACTTCAACGGCACAGGCCAGGGCGGACATTCCAGAGGCAGTGGAGGAGGAGATTGCCGCCATCAAGGAGCGCGAGAGCAAGCGGTTCCTTTGATTCCGATGGCATATTGCGTTGAACAAGATGGGGTTTGGGGCCAACTGGCTACTCCAAAACTAGTGGAGATGTCGAAAGTGCAGATAAAGTGATTCTCAAGTATACGCAATATTTCAGAGCAGACAAAATCCGAAACAGACTCTGGACACCGTTTTGGCCAAGCCTTTCGGCGCGGGCGCTGGTCGGAGGGCAAAAACTGTGACCATGTAAGAAGTAGGGGCATGGCTTGAATGCTGTCAATGCTGTGCGCACCCCTTGCAACATATATGCAACATGTAAAGGACAATTGATTGCAATGCATTGCAACTCGCCACCTTCCGTTGTGAAAGGTGCCGCTGCGACGTGAATTGTTAGGTCTTGCAGGTGGTTGTCTCAGGTGGGCCAGACTAGGAGGGGTGTTGGGGAGCGAGAGCTTCCTGCGCACTCGGGCAACACCATGATGGGTAACACAAGGTATGAACACCTGGCAGCATACGACATGTGCCATTTATGCGCATGATCTCAATATATATATATATATGTATATATATAGTATATGTATATATATATAGTATATATGTGTGTGTTTGAGTCTGGGAATGCAGAGTTGCCTTGAGGGTCAAAGCTCTCGCAGGTTTATTTGCTACACTCAAGTAAGCATCGAAGTGAGTTTTGAGGTGCCGCTTCCGCTGCAAGCGCAAGCCAGATGTGCTCCAGGAACGAAGAATGGGGCCGATTCGTCCTTGCTAGCTATTCGTGAACTGAGAATTTTTCATTGCCCAGTGGTTTGAAGTACTTGGCGCTTTGTCTTACAGGTGCTTTGGCCCACAAAGTTGAAGATGTTTACTTGTTTTCCGTTTCTTTCAAGTGGTTTCCCATAAGATAGGACATATTGGATGCGCCAAGCCGTTCTCAAACTTCGGGTCCGATCGATGTGAAGGACCCTTCTGGTCAAGACCATGCAATTGAACTAGACAAGATTAATTCGCGAGAGATCGCATGGGGATTACAAGGAGGTCGCTTGGGATTTCCTCCTTCCCGCGCGTGAATGATGACACATCCCCCAAAAAGTCGAGTCAGGCTGGCAGCCAGCAAATCGGCTTTGCGTAGGACATGAAGAAGCACATTGCCAAGAACATGTCCTGGGTGGCAGCCCTGGTCATTTGCGCTGGTTGATTGATTTCTCGGACAGCCTGGCGAAAAGGGAGACCAGGACGTCATAGATTGATCCCATCACACAACCTCCAGCAGCCAACGAAGCACATGATTGCATCCTTTTGTTCGCACCATGGCAAGGTGCAGGTTCTTGGCTTTGACTATATCGTTGCTGGTAGATTGTGAGAGTCCAACAACATGCTCTGCTGCGTCCTGTGATGTAATTAGTGACGCTCAACTGAGAAATGCAAATGCTCCGCTGGAATCGAGTAGGGCGACCGCAAACAACGGCAAGGACGTGCAGGGCGTTACTCGCATATGGACGGGCGATGGCTGATATCCTCGTATCGAGAGCAAGCCCGAACCACAAGCCCCTGGCAACACTCCCGAAGATGGTCTAGGGAGAAATGTAAAATCAGGACCATCCCAGCCACCCCGCCAAATACCACAGTTCTGTCTTTGTCTTGCTCCGAGCTGTGTCAGGCAGCTCTTCAATGGGTGAACCCTGGCTGAAGTGATCCCAATGGGGCAGCTCCCCTGAACTCCCATGGGAACTCCAGGAATGAAATCCGCTTCCAAGGGCCCTCTTTGCACATGTCCAGTGGCGTCGGGCAGGGCATAGCAGGTGAGGTTTGGTCCCGCAAGAACTAGGGGGCGTGGGTTGTCTCAGGTGCTCCTGGGGAAATACCTCAATTGGTACCCTAGTTGTGTTTGGGAAACCAAATCGTGGATTGACCCAACCTAGCCATCAATCCAAACAGCCAAACACTCTACAAATTCACCGGGATCCCAACAAGCCAGCATTTGCGGAGGAAACTCTTCGTCCTGGACTCAGCCCCCCCTTGGTTGGCCACCGATTGAAAACTAGGTTGTCCCAGTAGTGCCCCTTTACCCTTTTTGGGGGAGGAGAAGAAAAAAAGGTACCAACTTATTCTAACCTCTCAAATCTGGAGCACGTAGAAAAGAAGCACACAATTCGACAGGTGCCCATCGACTGAGGTCAGCTCCAACAAAACCGATGCCGCAGCAGAGAAGCTCGCGGAGTTCGAATCGTGCGGGGCCCGCATGAAGTTTGTTTTTTCCACATGTGCCACGAACCCAAGCCAATCGATCAGCTTCCCCCTTTTAGTGGTTTGGATTAGTGGTTTGGATTTGTTAAGGGGGGTGGTGCCCCACTTACTCCCAAGAAATGTCCAAGCCACCAATTAGACAGGTGGTTCCCTTTTTTATCCTTTTTTGGGGTAGAGTTTGATCCCCCAATGAAACCCCACCAGCTTTGGGGGGCACTCATTTGGAGGATTTGTTGAAAGAGCCATTGAGGGTCTGAGACCTGTTGTCTATCTCCGTTGGGAGGGTTCCCTAAGTTTACGTAATCCACGTACTTGGACCCGGTGAGAACCCCGGTTTCACGAGCCACGGAGGACAGGCAGCTTCAGGGACACTTCCTCTGAGTCGGGAACTCCCTTCAGAGTTCAAAGTGAAGTATGTGACCTATGTTATAAAGGGTGGTGTTCCACATGTGCTTAAGCAACTTGGGGGTATCAACAATAGCTATTCAAGCTGTTATTAAAAGGACATCTTCAGGAGCCCAACTAGTCGAACGCATTCAGCGGGTAGCACGCTTTTTGTAGTTTGTTTTTGCAAATGGCAGGCGCTGCTTTCTGGCATGTTGTTTTGGCTTTGCAAGCAGGGTGCCTTTCGGGCATGCTTTTCTTGGTTTTGCAAATGGGAGGCCTTACAGCAGGCGCATGAGAAACTAGAATCGTCAGATCCAAGCAAGACACACCCCTACATCTTGGCCTTCCGGCGGCATGTTGCCGCACTGAGCAAACGAGCAAATTCAAGCAATGGCCAGACATGGTCGACCCGTTTTGGCCTCCTATCCTCCTTCAATGCTGCACTGCCATGGCCTCAGAGCCAGAATGAAAACACGGGTAGATGGACTTTGGTGCATTTTGATTGGATGTTAGGACTTTGACTTTTTGCCAACTAATGGGTTTTCCATTAGACCACTAAAAGTTAAAGTTTTAGCAGGGGAGCAGAAAGCAACCGAGTGAAGGTTAGTGCGGGGGACAGTACCGTGTTTTTGGTGCGGATATCCGCCCTTTGGATTCTGCGCATGGAGTTGGATCCCTTCAGACCTGATCGTCCAGCGGCGACCCCAAATAAACCCATGCTTCCATTTGGTTAAGAACACTTTTTATTTCCCCCTGTTGGTTTTGAAGGGAATCTATCACTACTGGAATATTTTTCATTTTTCCCAGGGGACAAACGCAAATGGTTTCGGTTTCCCGGCGATTGCCGAGGTGGTGGGCCAAGAAGCAGGAGCAGCAGAAGACGCCCCGGGCCCTGAGTGAGATGCCGGTCAACTCTCTGAGCGCTTGCAAGGAGCTATCCCTTCCCCATGTTACCCTAAAAGGCCTAAAAGGTGCCTTCTTGGAAACTCGCGCCGCATCCATCCATCCATCCATCCATCCATCCAGCGCCCGGGAATGACCGAGGACTTAGTGGCCGGTTGAATGTGGAAGTGCTACAACCATGGCAGGCGCGCTAGATTTCAGGCTTTTTAGTGCAAGGGTGCATCGTCAAACCAGGTGTCTTCCGGGGGCCTTTGGGCCTTTTTTTAGAAAGCTGCCCCGCAACAAACTGCAGAATAATCAAGACTGGACGGAAGCATGTCACGCATGATCAGCGCAGCCGTGTCTGTCCCCTCCTAGAAATTTCTATATTTTCAAGACTACGGAAGTTCAAGCTTATGCCAGCCAGATGCTTGCCAGAAACAGAGGGCCTGTAAACGCGTGGCCTGCGCAGTGAATCCCACACATCAAGCCCTAGGCGGGTTTCGATACAGGCGCGCGCCGCTGCTGCTTTTTTTCCGCACAAATTGACTTCCACGCACGGCTCTCTGAAAGTTAACAGGGCTCTGGTAGAAAAAGTCGAGGGGTGGGGGCTCCCCTAGAAAAAGTCGAGAGGGGATGTCCTTGTGAGTGAACGTAACTATCTGGGACACTCCCCTACAAAAGGGACGAGCTTGTGACTGAACGTAACCATCCTCCCCCACCCCACTCCACCCCCACCCCGCCCTGAAAAGAAAGCGAAGTAGGCGCGTGGAAACTGGATTGTGGAAGAGCATGATTGTAGCCCTAAGGTTGGTTGGTATCTTGTAAGGATGTGCGCCTTCTTTGGCACATCCTTAGTAATTTCCGACTTGGACCCTCTGAGCATGAAGCTGCGAAACACGAAGCTCCATGACGTACCAAGGGATTCGTTTCAGTTATTGGGTGGCTTAGAGAAACACTAAGGAAGACCAATGTGTGTGTGTGTGTGCGCTTTTTTTTTGTTTTGAGGGGGGGACCCTCCAAAACGATGGTTTTCCTTGTGGTATCCGGTTAAAACCAAGCAAAAGGGGCTACCCTTTAAGAATGACACCCAAATACAAATATATATATATATATATGTACATATATATATATATATAAATATGGATGTGTTTGGGGTCCTAGTCAGAGCCCAAGTGGAAGACGCGTGACGCTCTCTCGGACCCCCGCAGCTAATCCCAAGGCTGCCGCTTCATGAAGCTCCGGCCTACACCAAGCAGGAGGCCTGTGCGCCGGTTCCCGCGGGTTTCTGTCACAAAAGGGGGGGTGTTCCTTTTCAGGGGACCCCCCCAAACAAATATATATATATATATATATATATATATATATATACAGCATACACATATATATATATATATATAGTGTTTTTTGTTTTTTTTGTCTGCTGGTTTTCCTTTAAACAGGCAAAACACACGCACACCCACTGATTTTGAGTTTTGAGAGCTGGAATGAACGACTTGGTTTGCAAAGCTCTGAGAAACAAAGCATCGTTGGTCGTAAGCTGGCGCCATGTATCCCCTCAATTTTCCCGACAAAACCGCGGCAGGTCAATTTGGGAAGAACCACCACTCAGCGGGGCTGCCGTTCACCCCTTGGTTTCTGGTTTCCCCACGGGTTTTTCAGGGTGTCCCATGGTTTCCCATCTCATTTTCTCTCAAGGTTTCTGGTTTCCCACGGGTTTTTCAAGGTGTCCCGGTTTTCCAGGTCCCCCAGTAGTGCCCTTTTACCCTTTTGTGGGGGAGGGTTCCCCTGCTAAAATAGACTACAGAAGAAAAATACAACTCGGGTACCCTTATTTTACCCTCTCTACTGGTGTCCCATGGTTTCCCCTGGCAGCGGCATCTCATTTTCCAGGCCTGGAGGTCTCTCGGTCCGGTGTTCCGGGCAGGTCATGAGCGCCATCTCCAAGGTGAAGAAGGCGCGGGGGGCTCCCCGAACACCTGAAGTTCTCAGTAATTATATGACGGTTTATGATAGCTTCTGAAAACACACACAGGCTGTTTTGAAAGGTGAGATACTTGGATGTTCCGCCAAGTAAGTCACAATATCCACGGTTCTCACTTGGGGGTTGGTTGTAAGGGCCCTTTCCATCAGTACAACCTACTAAGTAGGTTGAAATCCAACCTCCCGTTTTCCCCTTTGCTAAGTCCTAGGTGCATTCTCCCAGTATTTGCATTGTTTCTTCCATCCCAGCTGGTGCAGGATTTTGTCCATCTACAGTGAACGGCAGGTTGGGGGAGGTTGGAACCCTATGATGAAGACGAAACACGGATGTTTTGACAAGATCTTGGAAAAACACCGATTCCAGCGAACCAGGCTGTGCACAACCCTTGTGCTTCCTCATATTTAGGAAGGATGGGCTATTCGAAGTCTCGTCTCAGGGACGGCCATGAGATAGTTGGGGAGCCAAGGGTTCGTGATTTCCTCACGCTTCTCCAAAATCCGTCACACTTTCCAAAATCCCAGAGCTTTGTAGGGGGTCTGTTGGGCCAACGAGACTTCCATGATCATGCCCCAAAAAGATACTGGCCCCAACCGGGCCGTCTACTAAACTTGGCCTTGAGGCCCATCAACTGCATGCGCAGTGAATCGGAACGCACACGTGTACCAAATGGTCCAGGCGGAGTCTGACTCCACAAGTCGCAGTAGAATTGGTAATTGGACCAACGGATTGTTGACTTCCCCCCTTATTTCCTCTCTTGGTGGGTTCTTCCTTTCTTTTCGTTTGTCCATGTTTGGTGGCTCCCTCGTTTGGATGTCCCTTGTCGCGACCCCAATCCTAGGAGTGGGACAAGCTGAAGAAGATGAAGAAGCCCAAGGAGACGAAGCCCAAGAAGGCCCGGCGGACCTCTTTTTGGTTCAACGGAACACGTTGATGAGATGAAGCACATGCATTATTGGCGAACAGCGGGCGCTGATCGCACTGCAGAGCCTTGGTGATGGATGTAGCACTGTTGCCCTTGCTGTGTTTCTGCCCAGTCTTCAACACACACACACACACATAATGTATATATATATATATGCACGCATATTCTGGTACCCCCACCCATGGGACACAGGAGTTTACGGTGCTGATCAGCGTTCTTGTCTTCTTCTCGCATTGGCACTCCTCGTCTCAGTGTGCGGACAAGCTTTAGTTGTTCAAACAACTTTAATATGATTTTCCAGCGGGTGGAAGATTGAACATCAAAGAATCCACAGACGACGTGTCAGATATTCTACAGTCATGGCAGTCCCCCCCAAAACAAAAAAACAAGACAAAACAAACATACTTCCTGGGCCAAGATCCAAATTGCGCAGAACACTTCAAATGTCAAGTTTTGGGTTCGGAGCTAGGATCCAAGATAGCAATTCCTCAAGAACATGTTCTTGAAATCTGCAGTTGAATTGAATTAAATGTGGCTTTGAGTTTGAAGCAGCAGCTTAAATTGAATGTACTTCCCAAATTTGACGTTCACCAGAGTTTGACGAACCATCGAAACAAACTATATAATGAGCACGTACCATTGTGGTAGGAGTGGCTCTCCAAGTTGCATGTAACATAGAAGTCAAGTAGAATTAGATTGGAACTGCAAACGAGAGTGGAGCACTTTGATAATTCCATCGGATGTCACAGCAATTTAGCCAGACATGCATTCCATTCCAAGTGGTCGTGCAATGTTGTTTGTTTCCTTTAGGATTTAAATGCCAATCCTAGCGCCCAACCACGCTTTTCCTTGGTTCCTCTTTGGTGCTACTGTTAACTTTTGACCTTTGTACAATTGACTGCTTCTCTCACACTATCAAACAAAACAATGGCCATGGGTCAAGACGGGTACCCCCAGTGAACATCCCAATCCCCACCAAAATGGGTTCCAGATTCACAGCCATATTTAGGAAGGGGTCGAAGAAAATCCGGTTTGGCGCCAGGAGAAGAACGCCTCAAAAACATCAGGCGAGAAGCCTGAGGACTGAGCGAGCCCCTTTGTTCGTTCAGCCCCGGCGCTCGGCTGGGCGCGCGGGCACCCCCCCTTGTGTTGGTTAAAGATGGAACCCAAAAGAAAACCATTGCCATTTGGCCAGGTTTCCCACCCATTTGAGTCACAATGTGTATCCAGAGAACTTTGCTTTGATCAAAACCCCTAGCATTTCAGCCTGGTCTGCAGCTTTTGGGGCTGGTGGTGGGGCTCAGGTGTGAGAACTGTCAAGGCGAGTTTAGTCACAGCTGTGGTCAAATCACTCCATGGCGGTTGTAACGTTTTTCAACCTCACCAGCTCAACATGTCCCATCGCAAGCAACTGCTTTTTGTCAACTGCTTCTAGATCTGACCAACACGGTGACGAACCTGTTTGTCTTAGAAAAACAACTGGAAATAACCAACCCCGCTCGCACACGGGACTGAGCCATTGTATGTGGAACCTATGAAAAGGTCAATCGCATCGAAGGACTTTAGATTGACGCAAAGAGAAGGACTGAGGATCCCTCTCGCAGTTTGGATTTCCTGTGGAACTTACAGCTTCACAGTCCAGTGAGCAGCAGGCTACCCTTCAGATTCAGCTTCCATACCTCAAGTGTAGCCAGACCACAGGGTCATGGCTTCCAAACATTGGAATATATAGGGCCTTTGAAAAGGTCGTGGACCAGGAAGTTACTTTGCAAAGACACACCGTGCAACCGTTGATGACATGTTTTGTGGCCGATTCACCCGAGACTTCCGGACAGCTTTGAGTGTTCTTGAGGTTACCTGGGTTCTCTACGGAAGTGACACTTGTTTGAATACTGGCACGCCTCCTTGTGTTCTCATGCCAGCAGCATTTGGACGCTTGCTAGTTTCTGGATGTTTGGCACAGCTGAAGGAGTCAGTGACAAGTAGCCTGTTTCTTGTCCTTCCTAGATTCTGGGGTAGACTTAGGATACATTTTACATTTTACCAGTGACTCAAAGTGAAGCAAACAATAAAATATACATTCTATAACTGGGCCTAACTCTAATCATGGATTAACACCGACCCATATGTCACCCTAACTGGTATCATGTTGTATTGTTTTTATAGATCTGCGTGGGCTTGTGATTGTGCATTGAAAGATGTCCAGGTTCAAGTATTTGCTGTTGCCCAGCATGTTGTTGCCCAGCATGTTGTCGCCCAGGATCAGTTTCTCCCAACACGGGATTTTTCATGGGGGGTCTTTGGCTGCAAAGGATTGAACTTGTAAACCTGCCGATCTTGCATTTGATGACTTTGCTGTAATATTGAAAATAACAGTCTTGCATGGAGGTTGCGGATGGTTATGGTGTGCAATGCTCAACATGAGATATACCATTAATGCAGACCCCACCAACAGCGACCAGGAACCTTGCTAGCGTTCACATATTTTATTTTAGTTTTTGATAGGCAGTGATCTTCGCGCACACACACACACACCGACCAGTTGCTATTACATTGGGCGTGTGCCTGAATAGCTTCATTGCAGGAGCCGCTTCCAACTGACGTTGATTCGGTGGAGAAAGAGACGGGGGCCCAGCGAAAGATGTCCTTTCCATTGCGCATGTCTTATGCGCTTGTGACTGGGCCAACCATGATAGTTGAAACATTTGCAACGCTGGCCATGTTACGATGTTGGCTCGTGATTAATGAACCCTCAGTCATTCGTCAGGGTCGCCCTGGAAGAGAGGAATCCCCACCAAAATGGGGACCTCCCCCCGCAATACTATAGGAAGGGCTTCATTCATTGGGGATCAACATCACTCTTGATTGCACTCCTCATCTGAGGGCAGTCAGAGTCAATGCTCAGCATTGTGAAAGAGAGTGCACTAGCAAAGCCTTCACTGCAACTGGTGTTCGCAGAATAGCTCGAGTATTTGGTTGTGCTACGCATTTCCTTCACGGCCCATGCGTGTTTGCTTGCTTGCTTGTTTGTTTGTCTGTTTGGTCCTTGTTTCTTGGTATATATCTTTGCCTCTGCCAACTGGGCTGTATTCACTAGTTGCTGTCTTGTCGACAGCAACCAAGAGCCAAACTCGTGCAGACAAATTGCTCGGATGCACTTGCCTGTTCGGATTTGGAAGGCAAACGCCCATCATTTTGCATTGGGGCTTGCGCATGTTCCCACCAGAAAGAACTTTATTATATAAGACAATGATGGTGTCGATGACTTGTGACGTGTCCTGTAGTCGCTCGTTTATTGTTCGTTTTGCTGGGGCGAACGACGGCCTGAACGAGGGACACGTCCTGTACATGTTCATCATACATGGCCCGCCTGCGAAAGCAGGTTTTCGATGTAGAAGAAATGCAGACGTCTTCCATGCTACAAAACTAAGGCTGCACTAGTTGAGCGTGTTTGTTTGTTTGTTTGTTTGTTTGTTTGTTTGTGTGTGTGTGTGTGGGTGCGTGCCATGCCCTGTGCCCCGTGTGCCCCGTGTGCCCCGTGCCCCTTGCGTGCGCGCGCCTTGTATGTGTGAAGGGTCTAGAGCACGTGTTTAACGTCCAGTTTTGCTTCTGGAGATAATCCAAACTTGAACGGGTCTTGACAGCTCATTCTGGTGCACACATCTGGCTTGCAAAAGAACCCTTTTTTCTGGTTGCGCGTTTGTCTGCATGCGCGTGAACATTTTACGAACTCTTGCCACAGCGCTCCAGACAAGACTCTGGCCGCAGCCACCTCCCGCTTTTCGAGCTATTTGCGAGCTGTTTGTTTTAGTGTCAAGAGTGCGCATGGTAGGCTGCCTTCATTGCTAGTGATGCTGAAATCAATCACGGCATTCCGGAGTGCCCAGATGACCTCAGCGTATGCATGCAGCGCAGTCCTAGTGCTTGCCCTTTTTGCTCGGCAAAAAATAATATGATGGGGCTGGCGCGTGCACGAGGCTGGCTGACGTTGCAGTTAAGAAGATGGAGGCGGTCGAGAAGGAGGACTTTGATGCCGCACATGTGCTGAAGCAGCGCGAACAGGCGCCGAGTCGTCTGAAGAATGGGCAGCCTCCCCTTTGGTGGTCTGGATTGGGCAAGCGACTGTCCCCCTTTTGTTTGAATTTACTCATCCCAGGGTTCAAGTCCCCACACCACCAATCCAAACCACCAACGAAGGGAAGGTGAGTGTCTTCTGTCGACATGCCGTTGTGTCGATTTGATGGTTTGCTTCGTTGGAAGTCTGAATCGTTCAGAGTTCAACATGATTTGCCGGCTGTTGAATTGTCGGTCTTCGCTTTGGCTTTATGGAGTTGGCGTGTGCTATTGCATGCCTGCATGGAGGCAGCTTCGAAGCTCGATACTGCAAGAGCCTTTGTTGTTCTGTTGTGTGGCCCCACAGGCCCATCAGAGCTTTTGGACACAGCTTTTAAGTTTTCCATCAAACCTGCAACAGGTTAGACCTTTTGCTCATGGGGAATGAAATCCGGGAGCACATTGTGAATTGTGGGCGAGCGTTTCAGCACCAGTAAGCAATTTCGAGCCTGCATTCCACGTGGATTCATAGGAGCGTTTGTTTGTTCTCCCAATGTAAAGGATTAGCGCTTCAATAGGACACCCCTTCCTACTAGTCAACCAGCTTTGTTTTGATCCTGGGTGCCCCTTGAAGTTTTACAAGTGCTGCCCTGAAAGTGTGCGAAAGGTCGGGCTGTGGGCGTGAATGATTGGCAGTCGTTGTTTGTCTCTGGTGGCAGCCAACAGTTTGCTCTTGTGTGTTACTTCTGCTGCCACACCAGGTTTTGGCACGAGCCCAACGCATGGATAAATGTTGGACTGTTGGATCAGTTCTTTGTGTCAACTCCCAGGCGTTGTCGGAGCAGCTGAAGAAGCTGAAAGCGGAGTTGTGATCCGAGCGCCGCTCGTAGCCCGAGCGAGCGGCTCCCGAAAGCCGCCTGAGGGGTGAAGGTCGCTCTGCGCAGCTCAAAGCTTGGAGTGCAACGAGCGGAAAGAAAGCCATGAGTATTCATGAGAATCAAAGGCCATCCGAATCAATGCCCAAAGGGATCGCTCCAATTCCGGCTCCCGGTTCGAGCGACTGCTCACTGGGGATGGGTCGCTGAGATCGGTTCGGCTGCATAAGGCCAGCGGAGATGGGAGTCGGGGAGCGCCATTGCAGCGCGCAGCTGTTTGTTTGTAAATAGCATGTTTTCGTCTTGATACAGCTGGTGCCTGCTTAAACCAACCAGGACCTGCAAGCCTGTTATGATGCCGGACATTACACGGAACTCTGATTACTTGACATGGCCAAACACCAATATTTCTGGGGTTTCTGCTGTGCATGGGTCACACTTATGGCGCGACATGACGAATCATGTTGAATGATGGCCTCAAGCCCAGGAGAAAACAAAAAGGCTGGAGTATATAATTTGCTCACTGCTGATGTGTGGTTGTCAGATCAGGCCTTTGCTCAAACAAAGTTGCGCAATTTGAGGAGCATCTTGAGGTTCAGATCGATTCTCCCATCCACCGCTGGCAGCACACGCTGTGCTTCCGGCAAATAGCGTGGCCCGTGGGCCGTACGAGATGCGTGCGCGTGAGGTCACTCAGGTTCTCTCGACAGAGAAGATTGATGTCTTGCAGCAAAGCCTTAGCCGTTCCGGGTAGCTCTTGTGACAACCCGTTTATGAGAGCCCGCAAAACGCTAATGAACCGTGTGAACTGAGCTTTCCTTGAACATGTGAAGCCAGCTGAAGGCTACATGGTCGCTCATAAGTTTGAGATGGCAAACCAATGTTCTGTGCCGTGGTGAGATTGAATATTCAAAGAAGCTAGGGTCGAACACCACTGCTGGTCTCTTTTATATCGCTGGATCAACATCATATTGTGCCTGCGCCAGCGTTCTGGGTTCTTTCCGATGATTTGGCACACACGCACGCCACTACGGTTGCTTGGAGCAACCCATGGTATTTCCTTGCTGATTTTCTGACCTTGGGGTGGCCCAGTTTCATAGGTGGCTTCCGAGAAAGCCCAGGTATCCAGTTCTAAATGGTTCGACTTACCGATCCACATGGAACCTGATCCGGGTTTGCCTCCAGGGACCACCTTGGTATCTATGTGGATGGAAGGGTAGCTTGATTCCTGATTGCGGGCAACGAAAACGTGGGGGGAGGGGAGTGAAACGTTGCCAGGTCGAAACCGTGGAATGTGTCAGGCAAGTGATCGCAGCGCTGTGTGTTGATCTCTTGGAGATGCAACGACTGGGCATGTCGTTGCATGGGGTGATGTCAGTAATCCTTGCTGCAAAGATAATCTGTAGCATGCCGGGCCTACTAGGTTGAGATCAACGAAGTGTGACGCAACTGCCAGGTGTCAGTGTTGGGTTTGTGTTTGATTGTGGCCTTTTCTGGATGGTTTTGAAAGGAACCCAACAGAATCTGTTCACTTTGAGAGGTGCTTCTACTTTGACATATGCCGCATATGCCCAAATGGGAATCACTATTGACTCCTCACGTGCACGGCTCCAGAGTCTCAATACAAGCAACGCACCCGATGGTGCACTGCACAAAAACCGGAGCCCTGTTGCCCGCCGCAGCTGTAAAAGCTCGGAAGCGGCGCAGTGGGCCGGGTGGGTGTGTCTTTGTTGAGGGTACTAGTCCCCTCACATGGAAGTACACAAAGCCCCTTTCCAAGAGGAAGGTAGTCTTTATGCAGGGGTCTGTGCACTTCCATGTTAGTCGGTGGGAGGGTACCCATTTTCGGATGGCCTTCAAGGGATTTCAAAAGTAAACCATTTGTGGGGTCCCCCAAAAGCAGATGCACCTATTTGAGGTTGAGTCGATCAATTTCGGGCCCGGGACAGTTGACTTCTGTCAACTCTCAACCAGGAAAGCCAGGCGAGGCGGAAGCGAGCCATTGGATTCCCAATCAGGATCATTCCCAGAAGCTGATTACGAATCCTTACCTCACTTCTTGAGTTCCTGGACTTTATACTTGTTGGTATCACCTTTTAAGTAGGCGGGGTGTCATGTTTGATGTACTGCGTTTTGAGCCACTGGTTCACATTTTGGGGGCTGAACCCCAAGACAGTCGCTCTAAATTCTGTTGACCCGTCGTCTTTGGCTTAAGCTGTGAGTGGAAATTTGGGCGCCGGAACGCGCCGGAACGCGCCGATCGCCCCGCAATTCCTGAGACTGGAGCAATTCCAAGATGTAAAGAAGCAGGGCCAATGCCATGATCCGACCAAGCGAAGCAAAATCCGGCCAGCGAAGCAACTACTCTGACCAAGAACCCGTTAGCCGCGCAGACACAGAATTCAACAGCACAGTATTCCATTGAAAGCCAATCAAAGGAAACACCGCGCACTGCCCGTCCCGCACATCTCGATGACAAGTCGGGCGACACAGTGCGGTTTCTTTGCTTCTGCCATTCCGCACGTGTTCAACCATAGATAATTATTGAACAAACACCAGGTGCGAACACTCATGATAAACTGTATCCAGATCAACCTGAAGTTGATACCATGTCCAGCGCTATCTTCTTGTCCCAACCCTAGGGTACAACCAGCATACTTTTAGACGCAGCTGAACGAGTTGCCAGCTTTGACATATGAGAAACTAAGATACTTTCTCAGACCCCAGATTTGGCTGGGCATATATTTGGTCCAGCATTGATACCCCCCCCATAGAGTTTAGGGCTGGTTTAAGGGTGGGTATGCTTCATTTGGAGTTGGTGTGGGGTGGGTTTATGCTTGATTTATTGGCTTAAGCTGGTTTAGAATTGATCAAGGGGTTTTGTTGGTTTGGGTTGGCATGGGCGGAGGGCATAGGTTCGAGGTTTTCCTTTTGGGGCAGAGAATGGGTGCAGGCTTGGAGGGCCGGGAAGGGACTCATAGGGGCTTCAGAGGCAAATCTGCAGCCCGTGGCCGTAGAGGCACCGTGGCCCAACATCTAAGTATATATACCGCAATGTGACTGCTGCGTCCCTGCTTACTTTTCCCTGCTGCTGTGTCTCAGTCAAACGATGGCACAGACGAGGGTGAATCATGCTGGCAGCTTGAAGATCACGCAAGCTTCGATCTAGCTCGAAGAGCACGTCAGATGCCTTAACTGCGGATTCCACCAAACATTGCACTGTTTTGGCACTCGTTTAGCACTTTCCAAGTGAGGATTCCGCAGGCAGGGCATCAACACAGACCGTAGAATAGCAGCTGGGTAGACTGGAACTTTGAAGTTTCCTTCCATTGAGCCAGATAAGTAGAAAGGCTCGTTCTTCTGGAACTCTCAATCGGTCCGGAGTCATTGCTTACATAGGTTGTGCAAGAGCGGGGTGATGATTGAAGAGGTGGGCCCCAGTCTCTCTTGCGAACCATCATGTTGTCAATCAACATCTAGGTCCCCCAGTAGTGCCCGTTTACCAATTCTTTTTTGGGGGAGGGTTCCCCTACTAGAATAGACTACAGCAAAAAGGGTACCCCTATTCTAACCTCTCTACTGGAGAACCTAGGGGGCGAATTGCGGATGCCTTTGAATAGCACATGGTCTCAGCCAACACTCCCGGTTTCACAGCCCATGTGCATCATCACAACCACGTTTGAGCACCGTGTGATGTGTTCCATGTGTTTGTCTCACAGCTGAAATCCATTTGTCTCCCTATGTGTAGGTTCTCGCGAGACAATATGTTTAGACCTAGAAACAATTGAAGTAAACCACCTCCATTCCTTCGCCACCAAGCGTTTTTTGAGGAATGCGGCGATTCGGGCTTAATGATTGACAATTGCTTAGTCCGGCACGGCTTTGGCCACATCCTTACAAGATACAGAAGTATGATCAAGCTGCATCTTTCTGTGATCACCGAAGCGATTCGGTGGACATGGTTTGTTCGTTTCGACTGCCAGCGAACAGCATCATCGATCCTAAGCTTGGGACAACGGTCACAGAAACACCAATTAGAGGGGCCATGGCTCTCTTGGGCAAAACACTGATACTGTGGATGGACGAAATCCTGCACCACTTTGAAACCATGGCTGAAACCCTTGTTTGTTGGTATTTACAGGGGAATCGAATCATTCCAGCGTTTCTTAGGTGGTGCGAAATGGATTTCGTGCATCCATCCACAGTATGTGTTGATGCTTCTGTTTCGCGAGCCCCGGCGGAATCCGACGCGATCCGAGGCCATGGAAGATCTTGAAGACTTGCTGTCGGAGACCGACGGCGAAGGCACGAAGCACGAGCTGTAAGTGGGACCACGTAGGTCGAAGCCCTAAAACGGCGCAACGGTGGGCCTTTTTGTTGGTGGTTCCCAGGCTTCCGGTTCTTATGGTTTTAGCTTTTTAGTTGGTTAAGTGGTAGTTCCCATTTCACCTACTAAAAGTTAGACTTTTAGCAGGGCATCTAGGACAGCCCATTTTTGGGTTTTCCTTCACAACATGCCAGACATGGGTAGCCTCAGAAAATGACACGCCCATCTAGTGCTTTCAGAGGAAGCCCTTCTTGGGGTTGAAAAAACAACGGGCGCGAAACGGGGACCCACTCTTGGGATGGTGGTGAAGGCACCAGCAAAGGAAACCAGCCATGTCCAAGTCCCATTTTTATAAGTATGTGTGTGTGTGTGTGGGGGCGTGTGTGTGCGTGCGTGGGTGTGTGTATGTGTGTGCGTGTGTGCGTGTGTGCGTGTGCGCGTGTGTGCGTGTGTGCGTGCGTGGGTGTGTGTGTATGTGTGGGTGTGTGCATGTGTGCGTGTGTGCGTGTGTGCGTGTGTGCGTGTGTGGGCGTGTGCGTGTGTGGGTGTGTGGGTGTTTGGGTGTGTGTGTGTGTGTGTTTGTGTGTGTGTGTCTGTGTGTCTGCACGTGTGCGCGTGTGCGCGTGTGTGCGTGTGTGTGCGCGTGCGCGCGCGTTCGCGTGCGCGTGCGCGTGTGCGTGTGAGTGTGCGTGTGCGTGCGTGTGTGTGTGTGTGTGTGTGGGTGCGTGCGCGTGCGTGCGCGTGCGCGTGCGCACGCGCGTGTGTGTGTGTGTGTGTTTTTTTCGGTGCGAGTGTGTGTGTGTGTGTGCGTGCATGCGTGTGTGTGTGTGTGTGTGTCTGTATGTGTGTGTGTGCGTTTGTGTGTGTGTGCGTTTGTGTGTGTGTGCGTTTGTGTGTGTTTGTGTCTGTTTGTGTCTGTGTGTGTCTGTGTGTGTGTGTGTGTGTGTGTGTCTGTGTGTCTGTGTGTCTGCACGTGTGCGCGTGTGTGCGTGCGTGTGCGCGTGCACGTGTGCGCGTGCGCGCGTTCGCGTGCGCGTGCGTGTACGTGTGAGTGTGCGTGTGCGTGTGTGTGTGTGTGTGTGTGGGTGTGCGCGTGCGCGTGCGCGTGCGCGTGCGCGTGCGCGTGCGCGTGCGCGTGCGCGTGCGTGCGTGCGCGTGCGCGTGCGTGCGCGTGCGCGTGTGCGCGTGCGCGTGTGCGCGTGCGCGTGGCGCGTGCGCGTGCGCGTGTGTGTGTGTGTGTGTGTGTGTGTGTGTGTGTGTGTGTGTGTGTGTGTGTGTGTGTGTGTGTGTTTGTGGGTGCGTGTGTGTGTGTGTGTGTGTGTGAGTGAGTGTGAGTGTGTGTGTGTTTGTGTGTGTGTGTTTGTGTGTGTGTTTTGGGAGACCCTTAGGAATGCAGGCCACACTTTGAATATGATATAGAGTCTAATATAGAGATACATATAGAATATATCGATACATATTTATATATATACACACAAGTTATTACCCTAGGTTTTCCACGCACAGTTTAGTGCGAAGCAGGGCAGGTATAGCATGTCAATGTGATGTTCTCATGCCATGCAAGTAGCAACAGGGTTAGGCCGCTGGAATTCGTGGGAATTGTTACTTCTTTTGTGTGCCTAACCGAGGAAACTCACATGTTCAAACCACACCAGGAATCCCGTTGTTTCAGGGAACCGTGACCAACCGTAGTACTTCTAACCTTCCAAACAACTTGTCTCTTGGGACTGTCCTTTTGTTTGGAGGGTGTTTGTTGCTAGACAAGGGCATCCAGGATCCGTTTCGAAGCAGGAACCAGAACTCAACCAAAAGACACGAAGCAACAAGCAACAAGCAAACACCAACAAAGCAACATTAAGTATCAAAAGCAGAAGCCAAAGCACGAGGAACCGGTTGAACCATGACTATCTCCCCAAACCCAACCCTTTTGTTTGGGACAAGAAAACGCGCAGGTCACCTGAACTTGCCCTCGGGGCAGTTCAGCTTCGCGGCCATCCGTCGGCACCTGGGCAAGGCCCAGGCCCCCGATTTGGGCGCGTGTTGGAAGCAGAAAGTCCACCTGGAACCTTTGGCGAAAAACGGGTGTGTCTGTTTGTTGAGGGTACTTACTCTTCAAAGGGAAACCAACATGACCATGCTTTGGGGGTCCCCAATTTTAAGACACAGACAAGGTTGAAGGGTCGGACAACTGAGTGAATATACTGGTTGTATTCGGAATGAGGCAGCCTCCAGCGTTTGAGCCAGCTGTTCGCTTCGAAATGTCTTAAGTCCGAGAGGAAAGTTGTTTGGCAGACTAGACAAATGGAGGTCAGTTGGATTTTCGATGCAGCTTGACAGTTTGTGTGGACAAGCGATGGCGCCGAATTGATTGGAAGCACCACCAGGGGCCATTGCGAAGGCGGGACGGCAAAGAGCCGCTCCCGGCGTGTATCAAAGAGCTCTTGGATGTGTGTGCGTGTGTGTTTTTAGCGGGGAAACCAATGAGGAAGACCACTTTTTGTTTTTTGGGTGGGTCCTCCAAAACAAGACCCACCAACATGTTGAGCAAACGACCTTGCCCACGAGCCTAGTTCGTGGCCCGACTTTCCGCAGGTGTCAGTTCCGGTGGTTTCCGGTTTGGACTCAACCGAATTCGAACGATTCGCAGATTCACAGCAGTGGCATCCGTAGAGCTGGGGTTGAGACATTTCTTCGTAGAGCGCAGTGATTTGGTTCGAACGACGTTCCTCGCAGGCACCAGAGAGCCCAGGCCATGGGCTGGGATTGGGGATAGGTCTGCGTCTCTCAGCCGCCCAACATTGATTGTTTCCTGGTGGCACGGCGTCAAGCCCACATGGTGTTAAGGGCCCGTGGCGCAATCGCAGTGCACCCTCCGTGGTCTCACGTGCTCCACCGTTTGGGAGCGAGCTTTTGGGTTCAAGTCCCACTTGCTCCCGTTTATTTTTCTATGAGGTTGATTGGCGAAGCAAGATGGTTCACACCGCACACAAAGAAAGGTTTTGCCCTCACATTGTAGTTTCTGAGGGGAATTGAGAGGCAAGATGTGTTCAATATGTGTATGTTTGTGGGAGGGCTTACCTATACTTCTTCGATGTTACCCCGTTGAAAGGATTTACCCTGGGCCGAGTTGAACTGTAGTTGAGGCCCTCATTTTTTAGGCCTCGGGATTGACCAGTGGCTGAGAACTGTGTCTTGAGAGAAGCGGGAATGACGATGTTGAATCTGAGAGTATGATCATTCGCCCAAACCTTGTCGAGTGGCGTTTAGAATCCTTCCGTCCTACTTGCTTGCGACGGGCAAAGCAACATTTTGTATGTTTTGTTTGTGCTATGTTCGCCCCGTAGTTGACTGCCAATCCGCTTGTGGATGTTGAGCCTGCCAGTTTGTCCTGCAAGTTCTCAGCAGATGAGGAAATGCCCCCTTTAAATTCAATCCCTGCGGGCTTCCTTTCGGGAATCCCAAAACGGTGCATTCAACCAACGCGCTGAAGGGTCATTCCCTACCGCAAGTTGCTGGACCTGGGACTTACATGCGACCCTCGCAGCCGGGGGCTGACGAGGAACATGGGCGCAGGGGCTTGCTCCACTGGGAACGGAATTCGGTTCGGTGTTCCCTGGTTCTTTGCGTAGGTGGACAGTTGGCGGTTTCTCCAACCCACATTTCGCCATGCTTCGAGCCCGGGAGTCAGCCAGGCTCCGGTGACAAGGATGAGTACATTGACTGGGATCCGCAGACCGGGTGCCCAATCGGGCAATGCGTTTCGGAACCTCGGTGAACCGGCGATCAAATACATGCGGGTGTGTTGTTTTTGAGGTTTGTGGGAAGGAAAACCAACAGGAAGTCAACCATTTTGGGGTTCCCCTTTTTTGGGACAAACCCATGTATCATCATCACGCTAATCATATTGTTATCATCACTTTAGATTGCCTCGCATCCCGCTCGTTTGGGGGGTAGTGGAAATCTTAGATTGTCCAGGGTCCCTTAAGAGGTATTTGTTTGGCTCGGGGCACTTGGAGTATCGAGCTTTTACTAGCTGGTTTTTGAGGATCCCCTTGCAAAGCAGGTTTTGAGGATCCCCTTGCAAAGCAGGTGGTTTGTTCGGATGTAGTCGGGCAAATAATTCGAGCTCATTTGGGGCTTAAACGAGCTCACCCAGGATGAAGGTCCTTTACTTGAAGACTCCCTTATTTCTGGTTTGGGAGTATTCTTCCACAATTTGCCCCACATCTATCCTACGAGCAAACGGTAATTTTGGGGCCGCAGGTGTGTACTTGACTCTCTCCTTTTTTTGTTCTGGAGACTCTTTTAAGGGAAGCCAAACTCTTTGGAGAGACCTTTGCAAGGAGAAACCCAACGGATTCTTTTTTCTCACACCGGGCGGCTCAGCCCCCATGCAGCTAGGCTCACCAAGGGCCTTTGGGACATCTCCGCGCTGGGGCTTCAGGACCGAATTGCATCGATGCGTGAGGCCTTTTGGCTTCGGTGGCTCCACCAGCCATCCGGTTCCTGAGCTTTTCTTTTGCGTTTTTTGCGTGCGGGGATCTGAGGACAGCCCAGTTTTAAGGGGCTTTTCATTGGTCAGAGAGAGCTGTTGCGGAGAAGGATCGGGCCAATGATGTTGGCCCGCAGCTTGATTCCTAGCTAGCAAGATTACATATGTTGCTTTGTTTTTCTTTGGAGGGGGTTTCCCTTTAAAAAGCAGACTACAAAAAGGAAGGGTGCCCCTTTTTGTTGCCATGGCCAGCCTGGTTGCTTTTGATGCTGCAACAAGTCATCCCCCAACCCCTCAGATGTCTGGAAGACCGCGGGTGGTGGTTGAATCGGCTTGACTCAGAAATGCGTTGCCAGGACTACCGGCATGCGGACGACTTAGAGGAAGAAGAGGAGGAGGAAGAAGAGGAGGAGCCAGGCACCGAAAGCATGAGTCACGGACAATCTTATTGGTAGTCTTGTTTCGCACATTGGGCGGACCCAATTTCCCCGCAAGAAGCCCAGGCAACCGACGAAAACACCTTCCCACTGGTCCCTACATCCTCTGGAGAACATAACCTTGCCTGTGGCATGGAAAAGATGGAGATCGCATTAAGATGCACAGTTCCCTGAAGGCTCCACGGATGGACTTAAAACCCACGATTGGCACCACTTCATGGGAACCCTGGATGAATCCCCTTGTTGATTGCCTTCGTGTCGACATGACCCCCCACTCAAGTTCCATGCTACCCGGAAAGGTGCCAAAGGTACTTTGAATCGCCTATCAGGCCTTGCATTCCGAAACCGAAGGTTGCAGCGGAAGCATGTGGTCAATTCTTGGGGTTGCTCTCGGTGGTAGCCATTGTTCCGTGCTTTGTATGTTCCTACGCATAACGTCGAATGATTCGGCCATGATGGAATATATTATATATATGTCAATATATATATATATATACACACATTTGGGAGACTGGTTGAAGTTGCGCTCGGCTGGATTTCTACGAGATGGAAACAGGGTGCGTCTTTTTGGTTCGTACCCCAAGGTTGGTTTTAAAGCCACCTCCCAAAGCATGGAACTTGGGAACCCTAGACATCTTGGGTCCGCAAAAACGCACCTGTTTGAGGTCCAAAACCTTCCAATTGAGGTCCTGCCCCTAATGATGCTTAGGGGGACCATGTGACTGGCCAGCAAAGGTTTCGAACTTTTTGAAGAATGCACTAGTGAAAGGAAGCGAGCTAGAGGTTTGAGCTTGAATGCCCAGCATCGATGCTCAGACGAAGATGCCGACGCCGAAGATCAGGAGGCTGAGAGCTACGCGTCGCTGACGCGCTTGATTCGGCTGAGCTGCGCCACCCGAGACGCGTTCATTAAATGGAATAGAAAGCAGCTTGCACAGAAATCACATTTTGCCGTCCCCCACCGAATGTGATCCAACACATAAACTCTCCCAAACAGTTCTCTTGGGTTTGCTGCGAGTGTGCGCGATGTTGAGGAGATGTATTTTCTGGAGTACATAGCTTGTGTTTCGTTTGGTGTGGCGTAAGGAAGGGGCAGCCAAACACTGATCCACTAATCAAGTCGCGATCATAAGAGACCCAAGTTCTGACTCAAACATGGAGAAGAGATGAATAGATTCTAGGTTTCAGGTAGAACATCGACCGAAGATCAGCTTTGCCCGTTGGCTTATTTACGAAGCTGGGAACACAGGGAACCCGGAGGTTATTTGGGAACCCGGAGTATTGGAACACCCATGGTTCCCATCTTTCGCCAGGCAGACCTCCACTTCCGCCGGGGTCCAGCGCGGACGGAAGAGTTCCGCGACGGCTGGGGCCTGAAATCGGAGTCGAGATCACATGTCAGATGGTTGCGCCTTTTCTTTCAGGGGGCCTTTTGGAGTTGGCTTAAAGGGAAACCAACAAGCCTACAAGTTTGCTGGGGTTCGACGTGCACCACATTGTCTTTTTCTGACCATGTTGGCCCTTGTAGTGTACCTTTCCATACTTCAGCCTTTGCGTCGCGATGCAGCCATCTCCCACACTCCAAACCTGTCTGAGGCAGTAGCACCGGCTCTGGGCGAGGCCCGCTCTTTGCTGGAGCCTTTCGCCTGAGGGTTGGAAGATTTGGTCAGAGCATTTCGAAAGTTCTCGCAGGTTTGCGCTTCGCAGACTTTGTACAACATTGTCATGCTCTAAGAAGCCACCTCCAGGAAATTCTACAGGAACCTCCTAGTTTTGCTGGTTGCCAACTCCAATTTTTTCACTTGTTTCTATGGCAGGTGCCGTTTGACTGGATGTCCGGAGTTCGCTTTCGGAAGAAATCCGGGCGCTGTCTTTGCTCGGTACACTTGATTTAAAGGTCTTGGTTTGAGATGAACCCACAGGACACCAACTATCTTTAGGGTTCCCATGATTCCTCCATTTTGAGAATCACGCAGGTCTTGATCAGTGGAGCTATCTATTTGACCAGTGCTTTGCAGCCCGAAAAAAACAGGCCAAATGCTGGCCTCAGTGGAACTTATACTCGAACTGTGCGTCTTTACAAGGAAATATATGTTGAATGAACCTTGCGACTGCTCAAGTGCTTTGGATCATGCAACAGTCCTAGGACCTATACATTGGAGAGGCTTCAAAGTATGCTTCGAATGACCTTTTTGGACCCTTGTGAGACGCTTGCAATCCCCAGGGTCAATATTTAGACGTTTTTTTGTCGGCTTCAACACATCAAAATTGGACGACTCCACCGCTGATGAGGAAAACCACGCCAGGCTCACCACGCTATGAGGACGAGGCATGGGGAATCCGATCTTTTTGGTCAAGACGACTGTGGTTCAGTGTGGAAGGGATGCGGGGGGCCCTAAATTTCCTCATAAGAAACCAAGGGTCTCGCTGATGCCCACTGGGGGAAGTAATTTTGGTTGTGGCTGTGAGGGGCTACTTAAAGGGGCAGGGTACTTAGTAAGTGTGTGTGTGTAACTGTGGTTACAACCCACTTAGGAGACTCACAACCATGGTAAGTGGGTTATAAGCATGGTTACCAGCCACTTACAAAAAGTTTTGCTCGCCCCTTTAAGGAGCTGTAAGTGGCTCATCGGGCCCTTTCCGTGGGGATCGCATTCAGGTTTGGCGCCGTGGAAGCGCGGCCTCAGGGCACCGATTTGGGGCAAAGAACGGGTGTGGGATTTCTTGAGACGCACAGATTATGTTATTACCCTGGGGTTCAAACTACCATTAAAAGAAAGGGGGTTCATATAACCACCATTGTTTACCTGGGGATTGTCATCATTCGAATTGGGTCAACCGGTCTTTTTAATGGGGCTGAACCCTAGGGATTATGCTTCTGGCTAATTTTGGCAGTCACGGATTTCCAAACTAGGGGTCGGGGTTTCGCTGGTCGCCTGGTTTCAAGATAGCGGCAGCTTCATCAATTGATCTGCCTCATCACTCACGCCCTCCGGCAACTTTGCTGCTAGCAAAGGTTTCGAGGAAGTCCGGAGTAAGTTTTCCCAGGCAAGTGTGTCCGCGCGCAAAACATATTAGAATTACGCTTAGGAGCCTGCGTTCACCGACCAGGCTGCCCGCCCCCGCCGGCTAAGCTCCGCGCCGAGACACTTGACCACTGCTGCAGGTCGGCCTGTAGTGGCGCAAGGCCCGTAGTCAGAGGTGGGCAGAAGCTAGCACCTCAACTTTCTTCCACGCTACCACCCCACCCCACCCAACCCCGCGTGACGACGCCCACCTGCGCAGATCGTGGTTGAGTGACGGCGAACGTTGGCGTCTGAAGCTATGATTTCATATGATTCCCCCTGTTGGTGCCGAGCCATTTATGGAGCCACCAGCCACTAGGGACTCATGTATGGGCGGCAGCAAGACCACCATTTGGAGGGCCCTTGTTCAGCAGGATGATCTGATTGCAGGCAAATTAATTTGTTCCACGCACTTGGTACGCGCTGGAGTACGCAATCACGGACACATGTATGTACAATATGGCCATGAACTGTGAGGCAAGGCATCACCTCGAAAGTGGTTATGCAGCTGAAATGAATTGTGTTTGTGTATTTTCTTTGGTTTAGTTCACGATCAAATTGGATTTCTAGCCACATGCTTTGCCAGTGCCTGGTACAGAGGTGGATATGACGCAAGGTTTTATATTCTAAGTACTTGTTGAGGCTGGTGTGCTAGCGGAAACAAAATTAGGTGTGCGTCTGACCAGCAACAGTCACCCACGTTTACCCACCTTGGCCATTTTTGTTCCTTCCTTCCTTCCAGTCAGAACAGACATAAAGCTCATTGGCGGCTGTCACTGTGTTGGCTCCATTGGACGCCCCAGATTGCCAAGCACTTGCCCAGTCACTTGAGTGGCACCCTTCCCCCTTCTCCACGTCCTTTGCTGATTGTCTTGTCACAGCCGCTGGTCGCAGCTTGGTCATGTGAGGGTGTCATCCTTCTCTTTTTCATAGTAGGTTCCTACGGTTTGAGAAAGGGCTGGTTGCTTGGTGGTGGCCTCGTGTTGCCAGGAAGATCTCCACTTGGAGCCAAAGCGGGTTTCATTGCCGCGAGACACGCGCGGCGCGGCTCTTAGGAGTCGAACTCGATGTGTGAGGCGTCGAATGGGGTGCAGTATCTGTTGTGACCCTAAGGGTCCCAGTAAGGAATCCACCCTTTGAGGCTTTGAGGCCCCAAAAGCCAGCCTCGTCCGGGTACGGCATCCTTTGAGACATGCCTTTGGATGTGGCGAGAGCCCGTTGCAGGAGCAAGGAAGGTGGCTATATGTGTCACTTTTGGATGACGTATGTGAAGCATTTTGACAGCCACGTCGTTATGACCATTCTGCTCATGAAGCATGTTAGCCTGCTTAGACTTCTGCATGCCACTTGTATTTGGGTGGTCAGCTCTGTCGTGAGCTGCTAAGCGGTGTGTATTTTGGACCTGTGAGATGAGGGGATCACGCCTGCGACAAACATCTGTCGCATGCAAGCTGCCGAGCCGGGCACTGCGAACACATTCGGCAGCCTGGCAACGGGACGATTTGCTATAAATCGGTGCGGCCGCCTGGTGAATTCTTGAATGGTTCTGGGGCGACCATGGTTTTTTTACCGGGTTTTCATTATGACTCAGCTGTGTTGCTTGCTTGAGATATCCCGAGTCTATCCTGCCTAAAGTCAAAGGGTCCTAAAGTGGCAGACTGTGCGAGACAACCAAGGGCTTCTTGCTTTCGGCGACTTCCAGTCAATTGAATATTGACATGTTTGTTGTTAGGAAGAAGCACGAGAGCCCTTCACTCGCGTTGCGCGCCAAGGGGGGCAGCCACATTGAGGCAACGCTGAAATTTTTATGAACCAATCAGACGGCAGGTTGTTTCCTGACATGACCGTCTCAGGCAGAAGTGCGGGCTCTGGAGGCCCTGAGTGTTGGAGGGAAGGTCAGAGGGGTAGGTTGCACTGTGTTGCTGCATACCTGAAAGAGTCCGTCTTAGTTTGATTCAGACACATGCCGCGCCATTTGTTTAAAGCTTGTTGCGGAGGCTTGAATACTGAGAATTGAACTGGGAAAACAAAGTGGCTCATTCCACCAAACACGGAATCTTGGCAACTGGCCCATGCCAATCGCGGAGTGAATCGTTGGGGAACACCTGGTGCTAGGAGCACTCATTCAACATGTAGTCAGTGAGGACAACCCTTTGCGAAATACCCTCAAGCTCTTGGTTTCTTTGAGGTTTCTCTTTGGGGCTAACCAAACAGGATGCCCAAACAACACGTCACCCTGTGCGATCGAGCCACAGGCTCACCATCAGCTCGAGAAGCTTATGCGGAGGAGGACTATGAGGCAGAGATCTCGTCAGATGGCGCCGTGCTTGCTGGTGTCTACTTGGATATGGGTATGGCTCAAAACTCAAGAGGTAGGGTTACGCAGGTTTTAGGCTTTGGTTCCATTTACCAAGGTGCCATTTTGGCACCACTTTTTGAGCCACAGCCATATTCACCCAGCTTAGGTTATAACCCATGGCCATACGGGGATCAACTCCAGTACCCAAGTTAAGCCACGGTTGAACATCTAAGTAGGGTTGGTCTTCAACCCGCCTTCTGCCATAGAAAGCGCTAAAGGCTGCTAAACAACTTCTAAAAGAGTGCAAGAGTTGGAATCCGTCGTGGGGGGCATTCTATGTTGTCTCGAGAGCGAGCTAAGACGACGGGCACCCTTCAATCGGCAACGCTGTCTGAAACCAACATGACAAAGTCCAGGATCTGTCAGTTGTATTCATGAAGAAACCGTTCTTGCCAAACGCTAACGCACTTGGCTCCACAAGGGGTACTGACTAATCTTCCCATAAGACTTGATAGAGGTTGCGACAGACATGGTTGACCACATCTTGTGTCATCGCCGTGAGAGATACCTGATATTGGCCTCTCTTCAGCTTTGATTCATCAACTCACTCTCCGGAAGACCATGTGGGGATGTGTCAATAATGGGGACCCCGCAAATGGGCGTGTGTCCTTTTGGTTTCCCTCGAAAACAAGAAATGTGTATCGACTCCAAAAACGGAACCACACCCATGTTCTCGCGTCTTTGGAGAAAACATGGTCCCGCTTTGTTTGGCCAAGCCAGGGGCAAAGTGAGACACAGTCCGGTAGCAGAAAAAAAAAAAAAAACAATCAGAATCAGCTCACAGCCCAAAGCGATTCGACCAGATCTAAGCTTGGGTTTCTTTCCTTTGGCCGATTTTTCGTCAAGGTCCAACAGGTGAAGTTTTTATTCTCAGAGTGTTTGTGGTGAGACAGGAGACTGGAGTGCACTAAAGCACGATTCTTCATGCAAAACAGATTGGTAAGGCCAGGTATTCCTATGACCCGAGCTCCGCATTAAGGCTTTAGCATCCACACTTATGGACATACAGGGAATAGCGTCGTCTACTTTTATCCCTGTGTGACTGATTTGCCAGACCAGGGAGGTTTCACAGGTGCGACTGCTAGGGAAGCGGGCATTTCAGTGCGGCAATTCGTGACTGAGCATTGTTTTCGGGGGGATTTGGGATATAGTGTGTTGTGGCTTAGTTGGCTTTTTGGGTTGGCTCTTTGGGTTTTGTGTCTGGTCGTAGTTTCAGGGCTTTTTACCTTCAATATGTGGATAGGGGAACGGAGAATCCTTCCAGATTTCAGAGTGACCCTTTCCGTGTTCGGCCAGGATCCCGAAGACGAGCCCGAGGCGGGTTTCACTTGTTTTAGGCTTCGAAGCTTTCATTTTGGAAAGCCCATGAGTTCCAGTCGCTACAATCGCGCTGCCAACCTATATGATACATATGCGCGGATATATATATATATATGTGAATGTATTTTACCATATGTTGCTTATTTCATGGAGAATTTACCGCTGATGAAGCCAAAGTGTTTAAATCTGAATGGGCCAATTGCACCATCCACTTTCCTTTTTCAGCCTCAGGTATAGTTCTGAGATCGATAGGACATGCTGGTAGTTGTTCTTAAGTATCTGTCTTTGAGGCAAGTGTGTCGCATGCCAGAAGCACAAGTGGCTAGGAGCTCAACAGGCTGCTGGTACCGGGGGTAGGCTCGCATCACATGTGTGTTGCCAATTTGCAGAAGTGAATTTCCGCCCAACGGAACCGGTTGTTGTCCATGTCTGCTTGATGTGGAACGGCTTTTCCGGCGAGAGCATCTGCGGCCGCCCGCAGGATGTTGCGGTTAACACTTGTGTTAAAAGTAACAACCGATAGCGGAAGGCATTTGAATCACACTCAGATTCGAACCTTGAGTGCCTGCAGGATGACACTGCTTGATTCATGCTCCGTTCGCCATTTTGGCGAATTAGCCAAAATCTTTCTTTTCTTTCCGACCTACCTGCCCTGCCTGCTCGACCGCCATGACTGCTCCAGCGAATTTCGCATCCATCGTGGAGGAGTACCAGCTCATGGAAATGACCGAGCTCGACCCGGATTATGAACGACTGTACCGGGCCCTTCAAGACCATCTTTCGATCCTGCCCGAGGCGGTCGGTCCGGGCAACATCTTGCAGGGCAATCAGGTCTGCAACCAGTTCATCAACCATTCCGGCTGCAGGGGACGTGCACCTGCCTCTGCCCACCAGTGCGCCTTTTTGCATCCGGAGTTCGTTGATGCGCGTTGGATGCCGCGAGACAACATCTGTTACCGACATCTTCGACAACAGGCCCGGCATCCAGAAGGCTTTTGCGACAGTGGTGCCGAATGCCGCCATGTTCACAGCGACTCAGTCCTGCATGGTGACCTTCTTGCCTGGCTGCGCTTCGTGCACCATGCCAGACCCAACACCGGCGTGGGCATCCACTATGACACAGCCCACCGTGAATGGCGCTTCGTGTCCAGGCGGGAGGCCTTTGAAATCCTCCGCGACCACCTTCACGGCGAGTGGAACACGCCCATTCACCACATGAACGTTCGGTACCCCGATCCGTGCACCTACCAGATGCCATACGCGGTACCACGTGGCCCGCCAAGCACATTGAACCCGTCTCGCCAACGGAACAACACCCCCCGACAGCAGCGAGGCCGCTCCACACAACCGGGATACTCCCGAGCTATGACACCACCGCGGACCGTCAACTTCGCGACACCCACGGCTCGCGACACTCCCAGACAGGCCCGATTCCCGGAGGCGACCACCACATCGACCGGGCCCGTCCCGCACCACATGCCTTCACCACGCCCGCAACCCACCACACCATCCAAGGCGGCACCCCCCACACCATCCAACCAACATCACGACTTAGTCCAGTGGCTCCAGCCGCCAGGCATCGACCGTGACGACAGCACACAAGGCCTGCTGTCAACCCAGCGGGCCGGACACATCCGCGCGCGGGTACACGAAGATGCCACCTTCCTGATCAATCCGGAACTGCTACCGGAATTCCCCTCCGTCCTCGACCACATCGGCTTGCAATGGCACCTGACCAACTACGGCATCTTCTCGCGCACCCCCACCAATGTGTACGGCAATGACTTCGGGGGCCTTTTTTCTTGTACCCGTGGAACCAACTACGCAGGTCACACCTCTCAGGAGCCTGCTGCGCTGGATTATCCAGCAACACGTTCACCAACAACTCCAGCTGCTCAACAGCGCCAACCGGCAGCACATGCTACAACAACTGACCTGTTCCTGGCTTACCTTCGGGAGGCAGCTCTGTCGCGCCTCCCGGCGAGACCCTTTTGTGGACAACATGGCAATCACCTTCGGGGAGACCATCATTGAGACAATTTCCAATTTCCTGACCCCCGAACAACGCACCATGGCGACCATCGAGGGCATCCTGCTCGGCCCCGACGGACACCTGCGCTTCAACCGGGAGCTCTAAGACTGAGCAGAGCCAGGACTCCCGCTACTGACCAGGCGGCACCGAGGAGTCTCCAAACCCGCCACCCTAAGTTGACCCACCAAGTCCATGTCCCGTGCGATGGTGGGCCAGCAATAGGGCGATGACCCTCATACCGCACAGGTGACACCCATGCCTAGGCGACCGCCTGAGGCCCCCTTTTCCCGAAGAGAGATCCATCTTCGGACCGCGCAAAAGCGCTGAGAGCCTCGAGCCCGGGTCGACCCTCTTCGTCCCCCCTGTTTGATTCGAGAGGATACCCCTTGACAAACCGACCCACTGCTGAGGCCCATACTGCGGTGACCAATCCCCACTCGCCTGCCCCGAACCCGACCGGTCTTTCACCCCACTTCGGATCCCCTGTGGATTACCCTCGGTTTCTTCGGGTCGGATCCCTGATGACAAACTGGCCGACCCCGGTCACCTTCACACCGCAGGGAGTTGGTCCTACGGGACAGCTCCACCCCTCGGGATGACATTTGTGCCGGTGTGGCGTGTCATCTAACACGACGTTTGTGCCGGTGTGGCGCGTCGTACAGATCCCCCCCATCAACGGGCCATCCTTGGACCCGAGTCACCCAGACACACCCCCCTGGCCCGACCAACCCCCCCCCCTTTGACTCACACCCGGCACACTACCGACTCCTGCGTGAGTTCGGCAAGCGCCACCTCCAATTCCGAAGGAATTTTCAGGCTGGCTTTTGTGTATCCGATATCGCACCCCCTTCGCACAACATGGCACTTCGCGAGACCGACGCAGTCTGCGAGCTCCTCCTGCGGTCCTACAACACCGGCGTCCTCTCGAGGTTCCAGACCTTCCGCACCGAGAATCCCCGCCTCTCCACCACGGACGCGATCGACCTCTTCATGGAGTCGACCAACACCGAGCCGGACACACGGACACGCTACCTGCTGCTGGACTGGCACAACCTGAATCCAACACCAGCCACACTGCAGTGCTCGTTCTGCCAGATCCCATACCAATCCCAGTACATCATGCCCCTCTGCTTCTCAGAGGAAACCGACTGGCGAAACAAGTGGGTCGGGGCGTGCTACGGGTGCGCTACCTGCGACACCAGTAGCGTGCCGTGGTTCCAGTTCGAGGAGCTCCTGGCCGACCCGAACTCCCTGATTGCAGAACACGCACCGTACAACACCATCGCAGAGCACCCCGACCTCGCGGCCATGATCAGCGACCATACCATCGCCCCACCGACCTTACAGATTGCGGTGCCAGAGACGGACGACGCTCACGACGCCTACATCACCGTGCACAGGTGGGATTAGGAACCGCCGCTGGATCAGGGTACCAGCCCTCGACGTGAAGAACCGCCGGCCATTCACCCTCGAGGTGTTCAGCAAGCTGTGCCGACGAGCATGGCGACGCCGCTTGGACTACATGACCAACAAGGCCGTCGGCACCATCCGCACGAACACCCACATGGACATGATGGACTCCTTGCGCGAGATCCACCCCGGAACCTCCAACAACCACCTGCGCCGCCTCATCAGCGACCACTCCAAGTTCCTCGCCGAAACCATGTGCCTCGACCTCATCAACCTGGCACCCGAGGACCGACGAGACCTATTCCTCATGTTCCACAAATGGGAGAGGCAGCACCTCACCGAGGCATTGCGCGCAAACAGCACCGGGACCCTCCTTGAGTTCTTGGACTCTGACGACTATCCCACACACCTCACCGATTTCATCACCCGCGTCCTCCCGTCCACCGACGAGCACTTTATCTGCCGACGTCAGTCGTGCAAAGCGGTGGTACATTCGTCACATTGGCTGCGCGCCACCGCCAACATCACCGAGCACGGCCAGTTCTTCTGTCCCGAGTGCCTCCAGCAATACCACCCCTGGAAAACCTACAGTGACGCCAAAGCCGCATCCCGAGGGGAGGCCCTGACCGCAGCCGGCCAAGACGACACAGAACGCTTCGTGCCGGCCCAGAAGTGCCTCGTGGTACGCGCCACCGCTGGAGCACACGAGACGGACCAATTGGCAGAGGCCATCACCGGCGACGACGACCGGCGCTACATGCTCTACCTTCGTCGCTGGGAGGAGGACACGACCGGCAAGCTCATCCAACAGATGAAGGTCCACATCAACGAGATCGCATCCGACCTGCGACAAGCCAAGGACCCCCGCGCCTATCTGGCCGACATGATCATGAACAACATGCAGACGGCTCAGAAACTGCCATACATGCACAGGACCTTCTGGACCCAAGAGAAGCTGGAGCAAGTCGCCCAGCGCAACCTGGGACGCATCAAGCCACTCCGAGTCGACCTGCTCCCCAGCCAGAAGCGACAACGCCACCAACCCGCCACGCCCTTCTACGACATGCGGCGCTATCGCTACGACCCCAGTTCCACCCGCATCCTTGAGTCCTCGGACCTCGCCAGAGTGATGGGCCTGTGCTTTTGCCGCCTCAAGCTCTGGACCTGCCAAGACCTCGAGGGGGCGGACCGTCTCAACCACTTGAGCGCCCTGTGACGGACCTCGACCAGCACCGCAACCACTACGACCCGAAGGGCGTCCGTGTCCCGCGCGAGCCCGGAGGGTCCGACCAACGCGGTTGCCTTCGCACGACCCATCTTCCTGAACCTGCCGCCGAAGTGCAACCTCGTTTGGCAGTACGTCAGGACACCAGTGCAAAGAGCAAAAGGCGCACCATGTGTTTGAAGCCAAACACCCCTAAATCCCCCCGAACTTTCGCTCACCTTGATTGTTTGCATTGTGCTTTTGTCTCCACGTGTGGCAAACCTTTGATACATTTTACATAGCCATTTTTGGCCCCTCTCGGCCCTTGATACAGATCACCCCGAGATGACG